CCGCCTCTGCTTGTTGGACAGATACGGAAGTATGGACGTGGGGCACGAACGGCGGGCAACTTGGTTGGTTATCTTTTCCTGGGTTTTTAATATGCGCTCACGTTAAAATTCATTAGGGTACGACAAGGCATTGGTACCCGTCCAAGTGCTCCCTCGTAAAGTCTCCTGCATAGTGAAGCCTGTTCGCGCACATAGTTCGTCGGAATTTATATATGGTTCTAGAACGAGAGTGACTCCGAATTCAGGAAACCCTCATGGCATGTCTGTTTCTCACAGGCGAAGTCGTATGTGTTTGGTCTGGAGGGGTTTCAAAGATCAGGTTGGACTTTTCCTGAGCTCAGTTCACTTTCTTACTGACTTTTGTTGCCTAGTTTCCCCACCCAGAGATTCCCTTCAGAAATCTCTGTCTACCGGCCCCCGCAAGCAATCAAGGGTCAGACCATCATAAAGCTCAGGAGCTGCGACGATACCATCGCCGCCCTCTCATCGAATGGGGAAGTATTCACTTTTACTTCACAACCTATTGGAGAAAGCGACTCCGCAAAGAGTTCCCCTGCTTTCAAGCCTCAACGCATATGGGCCCTAAGACGTCAGTTCAGTGCTGTACAGGTGGGTGGGCTCAAATTCAAACACTATGTCGTCTGACGTCTTGTAGGATGTTGACATTGGGGCCGATGGAACTGTCATAATCTGCACCCAGTCTGGACATGTTTACGTTCGCTTGCGGAGTGCCAAAGGAGGTCAAGGCCCCGGTGCCAAAGCATTCAAATTCCAGCGCATACCGTACATCCAGCGTGCTGTTGCTGTCTGTGCAAACAGCACAGGGGCGTTTGGGGTTCTGCGTGTTGACTTTAATCCACTGCCCATCATCGTCACGGCGCGTTCATTTTCATGTGACATTACTAAGATTCAGCCATACCTAGGTCCGTCATCGCGTGCGGAGGCACCATCTACTATACCAAACACGACGACACCCTCTCTTGGATGCTGACGAAGATAGCGAGGACTTATCGATTCAAGATGATATCGGGGATCTCTCGAAGCTGCTTCAGGTTCTAGACCAACGCAAGAACGCGCCAGATATCGCCTTGCCCCATCATGCCGACGTAGTTGTTGTCACTCCCGGTCCACTGTACCTTCCGGCTCACCGGCTTATTCTCGCTGTGAGATGTCCGGTATTAGGTGACATGTTGCATACCGGACGTCCGTTACATGATAAATCTTCAGGAATTGAGATCAGTCTTGTCCCAGGAGACACAGTCCACATTCAAATAATCGGATGTCATCCTTTCACGGTCCTTATCCTCCTTCGATACTTGTACTCGGACCAGCTTCTCGCCATCTGGGATTTACGCATCGGAACCCCCTTTGTGTCCCAATTTCAAACATTTTCTGTGAAGCCTGTAGCAATCAAGGCCGAACTTCAATCACTCGCACGTATATTCAATCTTCAACTTCTTTTGAAAGCACTTCAATCGCCAGGGAAGCGGGTCCCCACTCCTTCACAGTCAGAAGACTTTCGCCTGCTCTACCAGAGAACCCAGTTAACTGGGCGTTTACGGCATAATACAAAAGAAGACTCCCTTGCGCCCGACGTCGCGCTCCACCTCGCCGACCAGGTCGTCGTTTGGAGTCATTCAGTGGTGCTACAAGCCCGTTGTCATGCTTCGCCAGCTTCTTTGAGATAGGTTATGGTCTATCTAAGCGTCGTGATAAGGTCGGGTATCATCGATGTTGATCTCAAGCACTTGGAGTGGGCAGGTCATGTCAATATGTCGTTCGATGGATATGTTATGGAGATGAGAACTTATTGAATCTCTTGGTATGTTTTCATATCTTATCTTATTGGTATCCGCCATCTTACTGCATCGAAGACTTCGTGCAAGGAGTAGACGACCTGCTATCCTTCATGTTCCTCTGTTCTTTTCCGCAGCGGTGAGTTTACGCGCACTATCTCTAGGCGCATGGTTCATAATACAACGTCGATCAGAATGAACTTTTACTCGATCGCCTGATGCTTCTCTGTTCACAAGTCATTTTGAAGCATCTCGATGTTTATAATGTGTGGCTATTTGCTTACTGACGCAACGCACATCAACGCGACCCATCTCGTTGAACGCCTGCAAAGTTACATCACTGCAAATCTGGAGATGATTGCTAGAAGGTCACATGCTCGAGGACCTCGACCCTTCCATTGTGCGGCAGCTTTCTGAGTACATCCGTAGCGCACAGATGACGAAGTCCCTGGTCTCTCGTTCTAACTTACTAGCGAACCAAGCGCTGCGGAAGCATGCCGAATGGCTTGCTCAACAGGATATTCCAGTCATCTTTGAACCTGTAGACAGGCCACAGGTTCACAGGGATTCTCTGAAGTCACTGACTGCGGGCTCGATCAAAACTCGCTCTATTTCGAGTCTATCTGTGCATGCGGCGGCAGATCCGCGCAAGGCTACTGATGGCGGGCCGTCAGGAGACGAGCTGTTCGTGATGGACGAAGTACCCTCGTCAGATATCACTCCTAATCATCCGGTACCCGTGGCTGCTGAACCGTCTGGACCAGTACCAGTATGGAAACGGCCCATCTCCGCTCCCAGGTATGTGAAACTTTGACTTCCATTCTTACTATTCATTATACTGATACCATCATGAAGGACCGATCTCAAAGCCATTATGGCAGAGGCTGAAAACACCAAAAACATCTGGTGTTGCGAATAGAGCAACACGCGGTGCTATAGCCAAACCTAGTTCGGGAGTCTTTGACACAAGTAGCTACGTTACAGCGTAGGACCGTAGGCTCGCCAAAGCCTGACGCGTCACCGACACCACGTCGAACGCTGTCCGATCTTGACTCGGGAAAGTCATCGCTTCCCGAATTATCCGCCACCGTGAAGCCAACGCATGCGGAGAACACCTCAGCGGCCAGTTCCTCAAGCCGTACCTTCATCTTCGAAGCCCCAGCCGAATGCATCTTCACTCGGACCCGTCTTTTCCCCCGTTCGACAGGTGCCTTCGACATCCAGTTCACCAGGTCCCCGACGTGTTTCGTACGTACCTACTGTTCTCCTCGGCAATGTCTTTCTGAATCATGATCACCAGGAATACGGGTGCCGCATGGACACTTCCGCCTGTTCAGCCGGTGGTGCAATCGAGCGTTACAGAATCAGCCTCGCTTTCATTTGCTGAGATACAACAGTTACAGCTTCTGCAGGGCATGCCTGCACCAAAGGACAAGCGATCGCTTGTCGAGATTCAAGAAGAGGAGCGAGCCATCCAACTAGAGGCAGACTTTATGAAATGGTGGGCGGCGGAAGAGGCGCGTACTCAAGAAGAAGCGCACAGTGCTTCTCAAACGCAAATTCAACGTGCTACTCCTCCTAGGAGCAAGAATCGAGGAGGGAAGAAGCAATCTTACAATACTCGCTCGAAGACTGGTGAAGCACACCCTGCTCAGGGTTCCAGCCGTTCCAAGGAGGGGGGGAAGTACTCCATGGTACCGGAAACTGCTGGTGCAATGCCGCAGGTTGGAGGATCCAGCCCAAAGAGTCGAAGGAGACAGGACGCTGCTGGGTCGGCGGTCCACGATTCTATCCATGTTCAACGGTCGAAGGGGCGGTGAACTATGTAACAAGCCTCCAACCAGCGAACTTATAGCAATGGTATGGACTATGGGGACTGTCGAAAGGAAAGTATGAGCGCCAAAGCGATACCCAATGATCTGAAGTTACGTAGAAGCACGCGGGCGAATGCCAGGAACTTTGTACACTGGTACACACTCTGACCTGACTACATAGATTCTGTTAAACTGTCCATATTGTAAACGGCGTCCTCACGCACAATATACATCTGTTTCAATGCAGTTCATTCCAATGGCGCTGAGGGTTAGTGGTCGTGAGATGTCACCCATGCTAACGGCAAAAGACAACTTGGGAATGGGGGCTTCAATCTGGAAATACTGTTCTACGACCGGCGTGGCATGATCACTGGAAGGTCGAGGCCCCGCAATCTCTTGATAGGAAACGCGCGTGAGGAAAAATATTTGCTCCATTGCCATGGTTAATGACAAGCCTATTAATGATCTGTTCAGTACTAGTGCGTCGCGTATTGATGTTGAACGTGGAAGCTGCTGCCAGGAGCTTGAAGCCATATATATGTCATGAGTCAAAATTGGCGAAAACCGTAAATTTCAAAGGATCGCGGCAGGACCGTCGACTTCGTGCGAGGTGTCTACACACTCCTAGGGTTTCCGAGTCCGCGCGGGTAACACCGAGGGACGCACCGCATTTGATTCTACCCCTATTAGTGACCCTCTAGATTCACCCATCCACAATGGCGGAACTCTACCTAACATTAGATCGACATGTCATCTACAACTGGGTTTACCTTCTCGTCTGCCTCAATTTATATAATGATGTATTGTTCCCTTCCTGGAACAGATTGGCCATTGCCCTGATTTATATGGTGGCAACCTGGCTCATAGCCGTGGTCCTGGTACGAATTCCAGTCACCTGCAGAACGTGCCACAATAATCCAAATGGCCTCATAATACTATACTTGGCTTTCTGTATTTTGTGGCTATGTGCCATCTTGCGGTATTATGAGCTTCCAGAGACGGAGAAAAAGATGAACATATCGCATCAGGAAAAAATTGAAGTGCTACATAGCGCTACATAGGCTACATACAACTCGTAGCCTCATTGCAGGTCCCCCCCCTACATAGCACTATATACCTCAGGCTATATGATTAATTGTGCTACATTGTATCCAGTATCTTGTACATCAGCTATATAGCCCTGCTATGTAGCGCCACATAGCCTCCAATAGTAAGCCAACATAGTTCATACCAGTGATACCACTCAAACAAATGAGAACAATTTGGATATGCATTCATTATTCATTATTCTACTCGTCTTCGCATCTGTTATCCTCAGATTGACTACCTTCATTTTCATCCTCATCATCAGTCTCATTCACACCACTGCCCTGCTGATATTTGTGAATGGCATTGTGAATCTCATCATCCGAGAGACAGTCTGCATCTCCGACATCAGCCGGATCTACTTTTGCATGGATTCTGTACCGTCATCAGCAAGACTGCGATATTTCCAAAAAAGAAAGACCCTTACCTCCCATTATCATTAATCTCCTTCAGAATACCATCGAGTATGCCGTGGTCCTTCGTTCACAAGTGGAATTTGTTGAGGTTAGCAAGGTGCTTGTCATAAGCCTCCTTGTACTTGCCACACGAAAAACTAATATCTGTCCACTCGCTGTCAACCCATTCGTTGACACAACATTCTGCCTGACATAGATGTTAATATTGGAACCAAACCAGTAAACACATGACTCACCACTGCATACACTAATGCCAAGGCAGGAATGGGAAACGGAGTAAAAAGCTTCTCAAACATTACCCCTTCGTCTTTCTTGTTACTATACCAGAGCAGATTTGCTGCTTTCTGATTCAACTTCGTGCGAAAAAGCCCGCTGCAAGGGACCTTAGTTTTCTCATCTCTGAGGTTCTTCCAACAAAGTCTAAGTAGACTATATGATCCAGCGTATTAATCACTCACCCGGTAACATAGACCAAACTTGTTCTTGAGCTGACGGGCCAGTCTGCGATTCCTGGACTTGACAGACTCCTGACTGCCGTGCTCGAAGCTGTAAATATTCTCAATAAGTGAACGAACCTTCCCTTTGTCACAACCCAATAACGAATTAATGCTGGGCAGAGACTAGGACTCGGACTAAGGTTATCACAACAGAGAGGAATGAGCAAGTACGTCTTGGATTGCTACAGTTGTAGATACAAGAGGTTTGAACTAAGGAACTATCTACCAAGACATGCTAACTATATACAACTATTGAAATGGAGATTGAAACTGAGCTACAACTACTAGCCAATCATAAAATAGAAAAGGGAATCGTACCATAGAACATCGTAGAATATTAAAGAAGCATCACGTGATCATATCTTATCTTATCATATCTAATCTAATCTATTTCACAATCAAAGAACTCGTCTTCTTCATCAGTCACATTGAAGACTCGTGTTGTGGGCGCTAATGGGATCTTTGAACTGGTAGACGCTTTCGGGGTAGGGTTAGGGTTTGTCTTAGGCGCTGTGTATTGGCGCTTAGGAAGATTCAAGAAAGAATAATGGTTTGTTAAAGGTACTCATGACACCTTTCACCTGACTGGTGAGATGTGACATGCGACAAGTAATCTAAAGCCAGAAATCAGCAGGTGAAATAATAGAAACAAACCACGTACAATTTGTATGATCTTGCTATTGAAGGCCATCTCGATCTCGTAAGATGCACATCCCTCCTTCCATGCCTCCTTTGCCCACAATACTTGAGTCATGCGGTCTGGATACGCATACTCAGAAGCAAGGCGGGCGCAAAAAGAGCTAATGGAAAATTTAATTAGCTGCTGCACAGCTACCTCGTAATTGCGCGCTGCAACTCGGCCTTTACTCTGTTGGACTTTTTGTGGCAAATACTGTTGCTGGGATGAAGGTGAGTCCTCAGAATCGTGCATCCGTTTGTGGCTGTTGCCCTTGCTATCGGAGGGTGATCGCGGATGCTTATGCAAACCTAAAATCATTCAGCTGTGGTGTGCGAGCAACATAGTATCACTCACCATCACAGTTAGCACTGTCCTCCCCATCTCCATCCACGAACATGTCACTATCGCCCGCATCATGGTCGATACTGTTGTACTGATATTCGCTGTAATCTTCATGTCTGTCGTTAGACTTGTCTGAGTCATTGTCCAAGTCACCTTGAGTAGTATGGGCTGATTCCAGCTGTCGGAGCCGCACAAGCTCTTTTGCACGAGCAGCTGTCAACTTGTGAGGTGCAGGTGGGGCCTTCGACTGGATGATCAGTGCATGAAACCAGACATGATGCCGATGATACATACACTGGTATTGGACACGTGTTCGCGATTGATAAATCCAGAGTCCTCACAAATGAAGCATCAGCGTGCACTGCTAGATATTAACTTAAGTATGCAACTCACCTTGGTGAGGACATCATCATACTGTTACAAGAACATCTAGATGCTTGGGCCCCTACCATTTTTCTCCTGATCCTCCTCGTATCAGCCCTTGCATCATACCCTTACCCCAACCTTACCCTCGTCATCCTCGTCATCCTCGCATTCCCCTTCGCTCTCTATTTGTTGCTTCAGCAGAGTCAGTACATCTGGCCGGATCCTTTCGCTGACGAAGCATACCCATGCTCCATTCCATCACCTGACTGATCCTGGGGACAGTCCCCTTGCCCTTACCGTCCGGACGGTAATCTATGATATGATGCACGACGCATCCCCTTTGCCCTTTTTTCTTTCTTGATCTCTGACTCAGTGCGCAGTCGCACATGCGACTTATACTTAGCTCCGCAGTTGCACGATCGTGCCCCTGCGTGTTTCACTTCTTATTATGACATTTGACTCATTTTCTTATCAAGCATGTTCTGGTTCACCCGTGTCTCACCCCGAACGTGCCTTCCTTTTATGGTTATACCCTTTACTGATTGCTTCTCTTGGTAGTACAAGTTATCACCCACTAATACACTTCCTGTCCTCTATATAAACTCGCTACCATGTACTATATTCCCTAACTTGAATCTACTTGGTTCTTGACCTCCTACTCTCACCAGAGTGATCCTTTCTGCCTAGCCAGCAGTCTATATTCTATCTTCTTATCTGCTCTTCGCGGATAAGTCCTTAGTCTTGATCTTTACTCATCGACTTCGTCGACGAGCAAAGCCCCTGTTAACTAGTCGGACTTTCACCCTTCTAATTAACGACGATCTTACGATTAACCTTCGGGTGTCGTAAGCCTTGGCAGATACAGCTCATCGTCTAAGCACCCGCTTGACGTAAGCTGCCTGATTTGGACATAGGCATCAAATCTTACTTGCTGAAGCCTCGCCAAGTAAGACCCCTAACCTTGGGCTAGCCCAAGGACGTCCTTGACCGTTGATGACACATGCTCTGTTTGAGTGTCACCAACAGATACCATCCAAGTCGTAACACATACCAGCCACCAGACTGGGTAGTCTGCACTGGGGTGTGCTTGTCTCGTCTTGAGGTTTGGACTGGCAGCATAATCGAGGTTTGGACTGGCTGGTGCTTGTCTTGGGGGGGGGGACCCTGCTAAACTGAGGCCTCAAATCCAGCAGGGAATCAGCCAGCACACTGCCTTTTGACAGGCTGATATTTTGAGATGAAAACTGTCAAATGATTAATGTTAAATAGCACAAGGGAATCAACAGGTTCTTACCTGGGTGCCGTCATGACCTGAACATGGATAGTTAGCAGAACCACAATGACATGGAAGCACACAACACACCTTTGTTGACACACTTTTTACGTGTTGGCTTGATTTTACTTTGTCCATTTTGCTGATGGACCTCACAATCTTGGTCTTCTTCAGCTAGATATGTCAGAGTGAGTAGTTGGTCTAGCAGGACATACTCAATGAGAACTGACCTTGATAAAGCGCTCTCTCTGAGGGCCGGCGGTCACGGCATTGATGCTGTGAAGCAGCTACATCAGGGCCATTGTTAATCATTTGTGTCAGAGCTTGACGAGTGGGGCTGTTAGAAGACATTCTGGAGGTAGGACAGATAAGTAGGTTGAGTTGTTAAGAAGAAGAAATGAGGCCTTTATAGTGTTGTGTGCAGTCATCCTACAAACAAATCAACAGAAAACACAACATCAACAACGCGCTTGCATTGAATCAACAGAGTACGTGCCTTGATCAGTGTGATCAGGGATCACTGCAGGGATTCCAGTCAGATTTGCCCACTGATATTGAATCAACCAAATATGCACCAAGTTCAGCACATGTCCAGGGATTCTACTCGGATTCCCCAACTTTGCCCAATGAACATGGTGTTGGACCACAGAAGATGGCCCCAGCGCGATTGGTAGTGATCTTAGATGAAAATTTTCATATCCCGATTGTGCACCTGGATTTGCTAAGTCAGCTAGGTGCGACTTGATTGAACTGTCGCTGTCACTCATGTCAGGATTCGTTGCGTTGGATTTGTCGGCTTATCGCACAACCACCATGTACCATTGTAACTTCTGCCTCAAAGGCAGCTTCAAGAGTGCAGGCGCCGTTAGCCTCCATATCAGCAAGACAGCAGCCTGTAAGCATCAGATGGAACGGCTCCATGAGTGTGAGCAAATAAGCAAAGAGGCAACACCCAGAGGTGACTTGGACAAACCTGGAGAACCTATGGACATTGATGGAGTTTGGGACCTTGATGATGGACTACCTGATGGCAACAATGACAATCGAGAAGGCCTGCAAAGACCCCTGCAAAGACAAGATCAGTATGTTGGGCTTGAGGAGGTGGAAGATGAAGAACGAACCTGGATGCGCTTCATCCACTCATTCCCTGGGCAAGTCGCACAAAAACTTGGCCAAGCAGAAACCATGTTCCAGGACATCCGAGCCCAGCAAGAGGCTCAGGGCCTGGACCCATGGGCGCCATTTACCGATGAGAAGGAGTGGGGGTTAGTGAAATGGTTGGTCTCACGTGTTGGCCACACTGCAATAGATGAATTTCTGAAACTCCCAATTGTAAGTCAGCTTCACGCTATTGCTTCACTTGGATCACACACTCACAGGGACATAGACTAGCCATATGAAGACCTCATTCACAAGCAAATATTCGCTGCTGAAAGCCATCGACAAACTTCCTCGTGCGACCAAATGGGAACTGAAGAAGATCAACGTGGTGGGCAATAGAACTGCCAATGATGGGCAGCGTGAGATGGAGGACCTTGAGTTGTGGTTGCACAACCCAGTAGACTGCATTCGCAAGTTGATGAGCAATCCAGAGTTTGATCAAGGGGTGTCATACGTACCAGAAAGGGTCTTTGCAGATAAGGAGGGAAAGACGCAGGTGTTTGATGAGATGTGGATGGGAGATTGGTGGTGGGAAATGCAGGTAAGCTGAGGTGTAGTATATACATAAGGAAAACACGCACTAAGTCCATTCTCACAGCATAGATTACCCAAAGGGGCGGTTGTTGCACCAGTGATCCTGGCCTCGGATAAAACCTCCCTATCGCAATTCTGTGGGGATCAGGAAGTATGGCCCGTCTACTTGACACTTGGCAATATCTCTAAAGACATTCGACATCAGCCGTCAAAGCGCGCAGCCATCCTAATCGCCTACTTACCGATATCCAAGCTGGAGTGCTTCACATGAGACATTCGTTCAGTCGAACATTACCGATTGTTCCACTACTGCATGGGACAAGTGCTAGAACCTTTGGTCAGTGCGGGTGAGAAGGGAGTTGAAGTTACTTGCCCAGATCATCAAGTACAGCGCCTGTATCCAATTGTGGCAGCATACATTGCCGACTTTCCAGAGCAATGTCTCGTTGCCTGCTGTATGGAAAACAGGTGTCCAAAATGCACTGTCGGACGTGACAACCATGGAGATATGAGAGAGTCAGCACCACGGAGACGAGACACGACAATGGCAAACTTACGGCTTCACTCTGAGGGTGAAATGAGCAGTGATCAGTTCGAGAGTAAGCTGGGTCTGCGGGCAATTTACTCACCTTTTTGGGCTGCTCTCTCCCACAATGATATCTTTCTCTGCATGACCCCTGACATCCTGCACCAACTCCACAAGGGTGTATTCAAGGACCATCTCGTTAGCTGGTGCTTGAAAATTATCGGCAAGGATGAACTCAACACACGTTTCAAGGCAATGAGTTCCTACGCCGGATTACGGCACTTCAAAAAAGGTATCTCGAAATGCAAGCAATGGACGGGAGCCGACTACAGGGAATTGGAGCGCGTTTTCCTTTGTGTTATTGCCGGTGCTGTTGACAACAGAGTACTTGCGTCAGTACGTGGAGTGTTGGACTTTATTTACTACGCACAGTACCAGTCCCATACTGAAGAAAGCCTGTCTCGCATGCAAGCCGCACTGGAGTTGTTCCACGCCAACAAGAATGTCTTTGTTGAACATGGGGTGCGGGAGCACTTCAATATACCGAAAATCCACTCGATGGTACACTGTGTCGATTCAATCTGTTTGTTTGGGAGTGCCAACGGTTTTAACACGGAGCTTCCTGAACGCCTCCACATAGATTTCGCCAAGTGTGCGTATTGTGCTTCCAATCGCTGTGATTATGTTATTCAAATGACTACATGGCTATGCCGTCAAGAATCTATCTACCTTCAAGATGCTTATCTGCGTTGGCGGGCCTCACAACATCCCACTAACAACAATTCTCACTCACAGGACTTGGATTCCAGTATCAACTCTGGCTCTGATGACGAGACACCTTCACCAGCTGACCACCACCAGCTACGAGTGGCAGACCTACCTCAGCAGATACATCATTTCACGATGTTCACAGCATCTCGCAGATATTTTGTCCCTAGGACATGCCCATTCCCAAACTCAATGTTTCAGCAGTTAGTTGATAACCACAACACTTCCCTCATCATTCCTGCTCTTGAACAGTTTCTCCACCACAATCTGCGAACTCAGCCCTGCCGAAAACTGACACTGCAAGACCGTGTTGATGTGTATAAGTATGTGAAGGTGGTCTCACCCGCACGACCACATTTCAACAGCGCCAAATGCATGTTCAAGGTCCGGGCATCACCAGAGATTGCACCAAAGGACACCAGGAAATTACTGGCTCCTGCGCGCTATGATACGGTCCTTGTGATTGAAAATTGGGAGGAGTACACTGGTGAGGGTATCTCGGGTGAGTCGTGATATTTTGCATTTATACTGCTGAGTCTCATCATTCTTAATAGGGCTTTGTGTCGGCGAAGTAAAGCACGTGTTCAACCTGCCACCACATCTGGGTCATTTTGCATGCCTGCTGGTGTATATTCACTGGTTCCACCCGCTTCAGACTTTCAACGAAAATCTACAGAGTTTTCGACTCACCAAGTCTTTGTGGCAACATCGACCCAATGCAGCAGTTGTACCAGTTGACCGAGTGCTTCGGCCAGTTCACCTCACGCCCTGGATCAGTCGAGAGGCGGCAGAAGAGTTTTACCTCAACAGATATATTGATTTAGAATTATTTGAGCACCTCTTGTAGTACAGGCTGTGCGGAGCTTGAGGAGCAATGATATTGGGTATATAGCACAACATTGGCTATCATGAGCGAGGTGGGATTACATAGCTAATATTGGCATCCGAGTATGCTACAGGGCTGTATGTAGTGATATGTATCGTACGAGGGCACTCTATTGAGCTATGTATCATATGAGGAGGCTCTGTTGAGCTACATGGCCTACATAGTGCTACATAATCTTGCACAGTGCAACTCATGGCCAATGTTTTTCCTGATGCAGAGTTGTGGCCACTGCCAGAAGGTAAATTTGCAGCAGCATCTCCAGGAATTCCAACTAATATCATGCATACCAAAGGTTTTCTATTGCAAATTACCATTGTCCTTGGTTCTACATATGTGTGGGCGCTGGAGTTTATAGTCATGTTAAGCTTCTGGGGGGATTTGCAGTGGAAGAATCCATGGGCGGCATTTTGGTGGTTTATCACCTTGGGCTCATTTGTTGCCAGTGGGTATCCTGGTCCAGATGTATTGATAAATCAATCAGTAGGTATTTCATTTGGCATCATGATAACCAGGCTAATATCAAGTTTAAGCTCCATGAAGATGTGCATCTTTCAGACCCGCAACTGGATGAGACATCCACCCTCACACCCAAGGCCTGAATGCTCACAGCACTGGATGATTGACCTGGGAAAGAAACTTGATGTGTACTACATGATAATACAGCCTGCACACCTTTCATTGACTGGACACTGCGTAGGATATCATTTTGCATATATAGCTCAACATATGCACTTGGACCTCATATCTATTGCAATCATAAGCTCTTTATTACTGTCTCTTACAGTCACCATCGACATGACGGTGCCTACACAAGAAATCCATAATTTGTAGTTGCCAAGTTGCTCATAGGGTTCCACACAAGAGTTTTGCATGTCAGCTGAACCCCACATAACCACCAATGGTATGCATATTCAATGCCTTCATCCCTTGCAGCTGCTGCCACGACTTCTTGTCTCTCCTTAAAGTGCATTTTCGGTGAGGTGAGGATGACACGTTGCCCTAGTAGACGACATCAGAAAACCCCACAATGACTTTCCTGATGGCCCACCTTCTAGGTAATGTTTGAGCGTCAGTCTTGCTGCCGGGTGTATGCCAGTGTCGTTCTCGTCCAGGAGATCCAGAAGTAAACCGCACTTCTTTTGAACCATTTCCAACAACAGCTGTGCTGCTTCTAAATCGTCTTCATACCCTATCTCCTCTGGGGTTGCAGCCACCAATCACCTCACTTCATTCCAGAGTCCGTACCACTTGCAAGATGGCCGATCACCAACATGTTAGAAGACCCGCTTACATGTAACATAATTTTATCATCCAGGTGTTCAAGTCGTGATAGAGAGAAGCCATACCTCAGGACGTGGACTTTGGGTTGGTGGTACCATTTGGATGCAAGACTGGCACTTGTGGGATAATGAGGCCGGGTGTAGGAAGTTGCTGTGACTTGATGCGGGTGGAATGTGATGTTGGGATTTTGCTGTGATACCGTTAGCGTCGATGCCGAAGGTGACCTCAATCTGAGGAACACCACAGGGTGCGGGAGGAATACCAGACAACTCAAACTTGCCGAGCAAGCTGTTGTCCTTTGTGCATGCATGTTCACCCTTGTACACCTGAATCAAGACACCAGGCTGGTTGTCCAAGTATGTCGAGGACTTCTTAGTGGGGATGGTGGTGTTGTGATTGATGAGGGCGGTCATGACACTGCCAGCAGTCTCAATACTGAGCAATGGAGGAGTGACATCGAGAAGCAAGAGGTCATGAGTCTTCTCGGAGGTGTTGCTGGAAAGAATGGCAGCACTGTATGCAATGGCCTTGTCAGGGTTGATGCTCTTGTTGGGCTCCTTGCTGTTGAAGAAGTCGGACACAAGTTTGATGATATGAGGGATACGTGTGGAACCACCAACAAGGACGAATTCATGGACATTTGGCTTGTCAATCTTGGAGTACCGGAGGACCTTTTTGGCGAACTTGAGCATGCTGCAGAACAAGTCTATGCACAGCTCCTCAAAACAGGCATGAGTGAGGGAAGTATAGAAGTCGATGCCCTCAAAAAAGGGAGTCAATCTCGATGGAAGTCTGTGATGCTGATGAAAGGGTATGCTTGGCATGCTTGCAAGCAGTCTGTAGACGACAGAGAGCATGAGGGTTGGAGGAGAGATCTATTATGTTGTCAGCACCTGAATTGATAAATAAGAAAATTACTTACCCTTCTTGTGCTTGCACTTGAATTCTTGTGCAAAGTGGTTGATGAGGCAGTTGCCAAGGTATCCAAATTGGTATCACCAATAGTGATGAAGCTGAAGTGCTCTACCTATTTACGCTATTTGCCCCCTAGCTACACCAAAGGGAGTTACTAGGCAAGTAGGGCAGAGCTGCTACTAGGTGGGTCCAATGAGTGGTGCGAGTGCAGCATTGTTAGTGCCACATGAAGTTCTAAGACCCTGTGAATTATGAGTGAAAATCACAAACAAATGTAGAAGTAAGTCATGTCAGGGTCTAACTTACTTAACCACTGAAAACGGTAATACGGACACTTTGACCTGAGCTAAACTCTAACCATTAAGTTGGGAGCACTTTAAATTTCGAACCAAGTCACACTTGCTGATGAGTCACTAGTCATCATCCACCTATCTTTTCTACTTGCTAGATGAATGAAAAACAATCCTTCTTGGAAGAAACACTGGGGGCAGCCGAAGCCAAATCATTCAGAGGGCCCTCATTTGGTGGAGGATAGAGGCCAAGGTGACCAAGCGCTTCACTCGAAGCACTCGACAGTCCCCCAATTGTGAAACTATGGTTTCAAGTTCCGGCCTATAGGACACCCAACCTGTTCAGTCAACTAAGGTAAGTATAATCTCAACTCTGATTGTGCCTTGTGTACCATGATTAGTACTGATCACTTCTGCAGGATTTCACCCCTCTCACTCTCAAACCAAATTGTGAGCAGTCTTCCAATTCAGGGATCATGGAGGTAAACTCAGCTAATGAAACTCTGGATATCCTCATCCGTCTCTTTTGACAATGTACTGACATCTATACTCAGGCCGAACATCTCAACCCGAAGGCTGTGAATGAAAGAATCGCCAATATTAACAAAGGTCTAGCAGACATGGGCCATGTCGCAACAATACTCCAAGACACTTCCTCTGTGACCAGCAATCTGTTTCCAATACAATCGAACCATTCAAGTGCACTCCAGATGTCAAAAAACAATGGCAGGCACTGATCATCGGACCCACAAGCATAGCCTCAAAAATTGCACCCATCCTGATTGTCATTGAGGCATTGGATGAGAGTGGTGAAGCTAATTACTAGGAACAGATTCTTCTGCTTGCTAGCAAACTAAACACTTCCACTTCACAACTATCTGAACTCCCAGTCAACTTCTGCATTATCCTCACTTCCTGCCCTCTTGGAGACATTCAGTACGCTCTATGCCACCTCACATGTTCATCAGGGAAACATAGTTTGCTACAGAATGTTCTGTAGCACTCTGTAGCACCCTGTAACATTCCATAGCACAACTCATCTCACCGATGTTCAGCATGTTTCCCTGGATGACATCCCGTCTGCGTCCACAGAACTCGACACTGAACTTTATATATCTCACAAGCTACATGATCTGCATCCCGTCACCCACTGTAAAGTGCTCGCCTTGAAATGTGATGGCCTGTTTGAATGGGCTCTTCTTGCCTCAGAATATATCAAGAGCACAAACTTCGTGAGCTGAGGCCCGATGCACCGTTTCCACAACATTTATGACACATCCGCCAAAGGGGTGCATCTGTTGGATGAGATGTACCAACACATCTTAGCAGATTTCATGCCAAAGCACAAGTCCCAGAAAGTGTTCTCAATCTTTCGATCTGTGATGGATGAAATTCTTGCATTGTCAGAACCGCTTCCCATCAATGCATTGAACATGATGTGACAGTGTTTTTACATGCGATCATGACTGCTACGGCGTGAAGTAACTCGTGAAGCATCTTGGCTTGTTTGTCTCTGGCACTTCAGATTCTGATATTCCCATACGCCCACTTCACGTGTCATTCTATGACTTGCTCACAGACAAATCACGGAGCCATGACTTCTTCATTGATTCCATCAGCGGTACATAATGCTCTTGCCTTTGCCTTGCTTCGGGTTATAGACTCAGCATGGGCTTCGCTTCAACATGCTCCTTAGAGAATTTGTACTTACCCAACTCTTTCGTCCCTGATTTGAAAAACAATGTAGAGATTCGCACTATTGCGGGTCTGCAACACATGTTATACTTCAGTGCATACCATCCGGGTTTGCAGCACCAACTTGCAGCATCATTCCCTAGCCTTTTCCCAGCTATTTCCATATCGGGCGACACTTTCCCACATGCACAATGTTCTCACGCTCGCTTTCCCGCTCTTTCATCGCCCTATTATCCAGGAGCATCCACCCACTGTCCAGCAAGTCTCCCTGGTATGTATTTTTGCTTTTATTCAATATGGCACCATATTAGAGCATGGACCCTGACTTACATACCTTATTACATACATTATCTCACACTCGGCTCACTTAGCAAGACACATATATAGGTCCGCATTTTTCACCCTTTACCACATGACACCACTCCTTACCTTAGTGGAGTTCCCTCATGATGTCCATAGCCAGATTCAGAATTTATTAGCAGTCTTTTGTTTTCATTGAGCCCTCGTTTATTGCTCATTGCATTTCGCATTTTCGCATTTTCGCTATTTTGCATTTTGCATTCCCGTGCCTCACGCACACATCGCTTGCTTCACACAGCCACTGTGTGACTGTGGATTTGTCTTCTTTGCTTCCCCTTGGATTGAATGTGCTTGTCCCTGCAAGCATAGCAGACTAGGCATCACACTGATCACTATATCAGCTTCTTGTGTCCCTCCCCTTGCATTTACCATTTGACCAACAGCTGAGTTGATTCACCTTCAACAAGTCAAAGAATCTATTCCGACTGAGCTCTCATACTCATTCAACGAGGTACATCAAGGCCACACCGGACAGACATCAGATCGTTTCAGGTTCACAGGACACAACAGTCTAGGTGTGGGATGTAGCAACTGGCAAGGCATTGGGTGCCCTCCAGGAGTGCACTGACTGGATTCGGTCAGTTGCAATCTCACTGGATGGAAATCACAAAATATTTGTAATCCATATAGTATCTGGAGTCCACAAAATATTCGGCATCCACAAAATATTCGAAATCCGCAGATATCCGAAGTCCACAAAATACCACAAAATGAATCCACACCAGATTACATATCATGAATTCTACTCAAGGCCTATAAACATGTTGGTGTCTCCTTCAACAGGACATTGTTATCCTGTCTTTCGCTCTCATCATGCACCTAGAGTTCACACCAGTTTCGTTCCTCGCAGCTCTGTCACTGCTTCTCCCTCTGCCATTGCAATGGCGAGCATAAAATGTAGCAACTCTCTCTATCATTGCCTGGCTTTTCATTCTCAATTTCATGTATGGTGTTGATGCCCTTATTTGGAGCGACAACATGAACATTGTCATCCCAGTGTGGTGTGATATCAGTGTGTTCAATTGTGACAGTGAATTTTCTTTGCTGACTCCCTTCGAGCCAGCAAAATCATCATAGGATCTACATTTTCCCTTCCTGCTGCCTGCCTTTGCCTTTGCATTCATATCAAGCATGTTGCATCAGTGAATCAGGGCAAAACTTTGCTAAGCAACAAATGGACCCGCCAGCTTTTCGAATTGTTCATGTGTTTCGGACTGCCGATGATCTCCATGGGACTTCGTATGAGCGATTCTTCTCAGACGTTGTGCCATGCTGATCATTTTGCTAGACTATATTGTGCAAGGCCATAGGTTCGACATCATCAAGGGGTATGGTTGTCACCCAGCGACATATGTCTCAATCCCTGCTATCTTTCTCATCTGGGTGCCTCCTCTCACACTATCCGTGATTGCTCTTTAGTTTGCATGTGTGTTATTTTCCCTGTTGATTTTTCTTCACTAAGTCATTTTAGGCACTTCTTTCGTCCATTTCACGTGATGTCGGTCTGAATTCGCACATCACCTTGAAACATCTCAGAATGGCCTGATGACTTTTTGTTACTTCTGTCTGATGCTCATGGCAGTTGTAGAAATGATCTGGAACATCATGGTCATGTCCTACACCCTTCAGGTTCGCCAGCAATGGATGTGCACCCATGGACGAACTGGGATGACGTGCATTGGAACTTCTTGCGCATCGACTTATATCCCGCTGCCTTCATGCCAAAGATTATCGCCACCAACTATTACATCACCTGGTGGATCATTCCGACCTCCACCTTCATTTTAGTAGTGTTCTTTGCTTTCGGCAAAGATGCTGTGAATGAATACATGGCATGCATGATGTGGATATGCCGAAATGTCCTCAAGCGAACGAACAAATGAACCACTTCAGACTCCACTCCACTCATGGAGTACGTCATATGCTCTCAACATTGATTTCTTGCCTGACTATTTTCAGGTATCCTCGCGTTGTTTTGCCATCCCGGCCGAAAAGGCTAAAGCCCACAAAATCTTTGATGCCCTCAATGCAAACTAGATTCCATGACTATCATGCATCCTCCCATGCCAAGCAAGCTTTTCAATTTCCCGCACCTGCCTATCATCCACGAGCATATGGATCTAGTGATAATTTCTGGGCGCTGGACACCCCTCCAAACCACCCTGGTTTCTCTTACCCGCCTCATCATCATACCCATTATGCTTATCAAGGGGTGTGATGCCTTTGATTCAACATCGTAGATTACGACCACTGAAGTCAGCCACTAGCCTCTTCGCTTGATACATGCTATGTTTCCCAACACTTCCTGTTATAGACATACACTCTTTTACACGCCTCACTTTCAATATTCAGGATCACTTGTTTAATTGTAACTGTCACAACACTCATTTGTACATCATGCTGCTCACCTCTTCCCTTGATACATGCTACGTTTCCCGACAGTTCATGTCATAGACATACACACTCTTTACATGCCTCACTCTATATATTCAAAATCACTTGTTTACTTGTAATGTTACAACACTCATTTGTACATCATATCAATCCACATTCTGCATGATTACTTGACACTTGAAGGGTCTACTTTACGAGTACTTCAAGTGGATTGTAGTCGGTCCTCCATATGCAACAAATCATAACAGGCATTCTCCCATTGCCAGTGGGCCCTCACCTACCTACCCACATCTTCAGTGGATGCTCCCTCAGACTAGTTCCATGGTATTAAAATTTTCATTATTGATATTTCTAGAGATTAGAGGTAGAGTGGGATAGAAAATGATCTATAGGAAATGGTATGCTATGGGTATAGTAAGTATACATCCATTTTGTTAGACAAATGGTAAGTACTTACATCTCAGTTTCTCGTAAAGAACTGAGATGGTTGGGTGCTAGGAATGGCACTTATAAAGTAAGTAAAAACTTTTAGATAAAATTTTGGGATAAATGTTTGGGTATAAGCAGGGCGCAATTGGCAGTCTGCTGTCAGCCTCTGCTATGTTGCGCTTGGACCATGTACATTTTTACTTCCTGCTCATTCCTATCTCAGATCCTTCGGTGTGTTCTCTCTCGGATTGTTTGGATTCCAACACTCCCCCTCGAGCGCAACCTAGTCCCATGTGAGTCCTCAATTTTTGAAAATGTGGGCAGGCTAAGGCCTTTGTAAAGGCATTGGTGATGTTGTCGTCTGTAGGGCAATACAAGAGCTTGAAGATCCTGTCTTTGACGTGCGAGTGAATGAAATGGTAACGAAGGTTGATGTGTTTTGTGCACGAGTGAAGCTTCCCGTTGGAGGCAATGGCAATTGCTGCCTGGTTGTCACACACATCAGGAAAGCGTCAAGTCCCTTATTTCGTCTTAAACACGACTTTTTTGACTTATCGCGTCAAATAAGAGAATCAAGTCAAAACTTTGTTACTTTAAATAAGGAGAAATAAGTAGGTCCTCATCCTTAGGACAAGGAGATTGATTACTCAAGGAGGTTCAGGTGAGCAAAAAGCAGCCAAAAGTCACTATTAGCAGGTGTAAAACAAATCAATAAGTAGCTCAAGGCATGAGTCCAAGGAAATTAAGCAGTATGGAATGAGGGACTAAAATGCTAAATAAGCTCTGCTGAGCGGGTAGAGTAATTAGTGCTGCCGGAGTCTGGTTCAGAACCTCGGTTCGAACCTGAACCATTCCAGACCGAACCTATGGTCCAGTCACAGGTTCGGGCTAGCCCCTGAACTGAACCTTCACATAGATTCAAGGTTCGGCTGAAGCTGTTAAATTATGAACGTGATCGGACACGTCTGAACGCATGCGAACCAAATTGCAGAGAGGATCCCTATGAGAGCTTCTGTACCTGATCAGTTGAAGCTGCTGCTGGTGCGAAGATAATGGACTTGCAGTAGAGTGTGGATGGTAGATATCGAGGGGGGCACAAAATGATGATAAATCCTGCAAGTAATAGATCAGTGATACAGCTGCACAGAAAGAAAAGAGGAAAATACAGATTCAAATGTGAGAGCGTGGGTTGACAGTGGAAGGTGGGGCACTGACACCTGACATGGAAAGTTCAGTTGATGGGCTGCTGTGACATGCGCACTGTAGAGACTCATGCGTCTCACCGTCTAATATAAGGCGCTATACCATCACTATTCCCCTATATTCCGGCTCTTATCCAAAGGATCAGTCCAACATGTTCCCGCACGTGCGCACACATCCGTGTCCGCACTTTGTTATAGCTCCTTGCACTTCTGCTGTCCATCCACCCATGTCCTCCCTGGTTCACTGCTGAGTACCTTAGTTATTCTCACAAGCTGATGTACCTTTGGTCCAAATTCTGTACCCATGCATTACACGGTGTAGCGATGGTCGTGGCGTTGGGCTCAAAACCACATATTTCCATACTCACGTCAACACCCGAAACATATGCGCACATGTCCGAGCCACTCTGTATCGGATCCGGCGCATCGGACCTTTGGACATCGCATCGGCCAATCGCACTTCGCGTGCACTTGTCCATCCCGTGTCTTGTCCATCCAAACTAGCCTCACTAGGTGCATAGTTATTCCCATGCACGTTTTCTGACATTTGTACCGCATTATTACATGTCCACAGCACCTCATGTCTTATTACATAGAACATCGGACCCGAAATATATTGCTACTATCTTCGCCTGTAGTTTTCCGAATTTCTATGTACTTACTTAAATACTCTGTAGTGACCCGTAGCAATCATCATCCAGTAGTTAGGAGCCATTTCCCAACTCTGCAGATCACCCAGAATATTCTCGTAGTTCTTAGTTGCATTGCGAAATATTACCATTCGTTGTTACAAGAACATCTAGACGCTTGGGCCCCTACCATTTTTCTCCTCATCCTTCTCGTATCAGCCCTCGCATCATACCCTTACCCCGACCTCACCCTTGTTATCCTTGTCATCCTCGCATTCCCTTTCGCCCTCTACCTGTCGCTTCAGCAGAGCCAGTACATCTGGACAGATCCTTTCGCTGACGAAGCATACCCATGCTCCGTTCCACCACCTGACTGATCCTGTGGACAGTCCCCTTGCCCTTACCGTCCGGACAGTAACCTATGATATGATGCACGACGCATCTCCTTTGCCCTTTTCCCTTTCTTGATCTCTGACTCAGTACGCAGTCGCACATGTTACTTATACTTAGCTCCGCAGCTGCACGATCGTGCCCCTGCGCGTTTCACTTCCTGTTTTGACCTTTAACTCACTTTCTTAACAAGCACGTTCTGGTTCACCCGTGTCTCACCTCGAACGTGCTTTCCTTTTATGGTTATGCCCTTTATCGTTTACTTCACTTGGTAGTACGAGTTATCACCCACTAATATGCCTCCTGTCCTCTATATAAACTCGCTACCATGTACCATATTCCCTAACTTGAATCTACTTGGTTCTTGACCTCCTACTCTCACCAGAGTGATCCCTTCTGCCTAGCCAGCAGTCTATATTCTATCTTCTTATCTGCTCTTCGCGGATAAGCCTATAGTCTCGATCTTTACTCATCGACTTCATCGGCGAGCAAAGCCCCTGTTAACTAGTCAGGACTTCCTGTCCTTCTAATTAACGTCAATCTTACGATTAACCTTCGGGTGTCGTAAGCCTTGGCAGATACAGCTCATCGTCTAGCAGCCGCTTGACGTAAGCTACCCGATTTGGACATAGGCGTCAAATCTTACTTGCCGAAGCCTCACCAAGTAAGACCCCTAACCTTGGGCTAGCCCAAGGACGTCCTCGACCGTTGACGACACACGCTCTGTTTGAGCGTCGCCAACAGATACCATCCAAGTCAGTAACATTCAGTTCACCATCATACTTCAGTCACTCGTTATACTTGCACATACCGCTCAGCAATCTGACACTCGTTATAAATTTTCCGACCCATTATTGTGAAGTCCGAAAGTCCGAAATCTCAGGACATCGCACTTTGGCTTCGGACATTGGATAAGTACCTTCGGACATCATTTCGCACCATCGGACATTTTGTTATTTGCATTACTGACGCATTTTTACTACTAATACCAATTAGCAATCCCTTTAGGATCGAACACACTTGCTCTGCAAGTATAGCAGACTAGGTTGTGCTAAGATCTACCTAAATATTTGTTGTCTAGGTAGTACGATTTCTGCTGAGCCCAGCAGGAATCAGCTTTCTACAATGGTCACATTAGACCCTGACAATAAATTTAGATTTACGTTACTCGGCTCAGCTCCGCACTCGCATGCGCTGCTTATTATATTCGCATGTAGTCAATTTTATCTTAAAAGGAGCAGTGGAAGGATCAGGACTCCCTTTTTACACACCCTTTACCTCTACATATTCTGACCATAGGCAGTATCTAGCCTTAAAGAAAATATTCCCTCATCACATCTCAGCTTGGGTCTAAGTCCCTGAAACTCACACTCCGTATCCACATATTACAGCCCTTGTTGTAATGCGCGTGCCTCACATACGCACACTTTGCATATCCGCGCTTCACTAACGCACCCCACCAACACGTCACACCAACGCGCCCTGCCAACGTGTTTCACCAACATGTTTCGCTAACGTGTCACACCAACATGTTCCTCTTACGTGTGCCTCACCTTCGTGCGCGTCTAACGCATGCATCCACCTATGCACCCGCCTAGTCGATGAAAGTTTCCCTCCATTTATTTCAGAGGAACTTCTCTCAGTAGCTGTCCTTTGGGTCGAGACACATTCTCGCATCCAGACACTGCTGTAGAGCCCACTCAGGCTTTAGCTTCCTTTAGGAATAGTCACTATTCCTCACCTTCAGCGCCTCATAAAAGGTGTTGCTCAACTAATGATCTCCTTGACTTGGCTCTCTGGCAGCTCCATTATCATATCCATGTAGGCCTTCATTTCTGTCTCCCAGTTAGCAGCAGAGAAAGCAGTTCCAGTATGACTCATCCTGTTTGTCGACTCATTGAATGTGAGTTCGATTTTGTGGTTTTTCTTGTTGGAGTCAGAGGGGTCACATGGAACCAAATAATTGTTATACACCAAGGAAAGTGCACGCTCAACCTGAGAATGAAGTCAAAAATGGATCAGAACCAAAAACCTGACTCACAGCTGCAGCCATCAATGCAAGTGCAGTCTCGAAACCAATCATTCCACTGTCCAGGGTGTCAACCTTCTCATGCCCTACAATTGCATTTCAATGCATAGCAAAGGTGCACAAGAAAAACTCCAATAAAAATGCTCCAGGATTGTCTTCACTATCGGGATTCTTGTAAATGAAGCATGAATCCTCGAGTTGATCATTGGCAAAGGACTTGCGTGCAGCTTGTGTTTCATACTCTGGATTCGTGGCAGTAAAGAAGGTCATCAAAATGGTGATTGCTGTCGAGCCAAATGAGGCCTTCCACTCGTGAATCTTCTGTACAGCCTGGTAGGACCAGCGAGTTAAGTACTGTATCTCAAAGTCAAAGGAAGCCCACCAGTTCATAACCGTAACTACCAACTTCAAAGTCATGTACCCCCTGGTTCTTACCACCAATACAGTTAGATATTTCGTAAAGCACATTGGAGAGGTCTTCCTCTGGGATGGACCAGCTGTAGCTAGAATTTCCGACCCAGTACATGAGCACAGGAAGGAATGTTGCTCTCCAGCTCTTGGCGATGTCATCAGGTATATGAGTGTTCCTGGGCTTTACCTTTTTCAAGTTGATGGATGCTGCCTTGCTAGTAGCCCCCTCCGTCTTGATGCGCTTCATAGCTGTTTGTTTGTTGGAGACGTCTACAGACATCTGTATATCACGTGATGGGGTGTCACTTAGTATCTCACCCGTTAGAACATAACACTTACAGATGTCGTTGAGCAAACAGCAACCTTCATGTCCACATCACTATCTTGGATTTGGTCCTCGCCATCATCACCATTCACAGCAGTGTTGGGGTCATCAAGCATTTCGAGTGCCTCTTCATCCTTAGGGTCAGCTGCTTCCTCAAATTCTGAGTCCTCAATAGTTGAAAACACACATTTTTTTATCCTTTTGTGTGCTCTTGGGTTTCTGATGTATATGTACGACAGCCTGACTCAGACTAGCATCAGTGTGCATCCCAAAGGTCAGTTGCACACTTACTTTTCCATCCCCTCCTCTACGAGGTTCATACTTCTCAGGTATGTTGTTGTCCAACTCAATGTTGATGTCATCTGGGACTAACAAATCAAAATTAGAACATGTCTTGACAACAAGTGAGTCACATACCAGTGGTGTGGACATCAGTAGGCACTGATGGTTTGCTCAGTTTGACCTAGAACCTCTTTACAGATTTGGTGACTTTATCAACCCAATTCTTAACAACACCTTCGACACCCAGTTGCTTGGAACTTTGACTGATTGTATCAAGTGAGCATATTAAGTCAAAGTAATACAAGGTAAGTTCTGATAGAAGCAACATCATGGTTTAACAATAACGACTTACAGCGATTTGGTGATGTATTTGCTAACAGTGCTTCCAACACGTGTTTTGCTCCCACTGTCAGATACAGAAATGCCAGAATTCAAGACTTTCCAGTTCGCCATGACGCTCTCTTTAAACATGAGTCATAATGGGGCATGCCTCTTCTGCTCTGTATTCTGAGTAGCTGCTAACTTTGTTGGTGCAGCTGTACAAACGTCCACGTCAAGTAAGTACATCTCTCACACTACATAACATACCATACTACTTACTTGGTTGTGCATCTCCTGGATCAGTCTGGGGTTCTGTGCCTTTTTTTTCCAGGAATGTGAGGCCTTGGTCATGGTCTAATGAGTTTTGGTGGGCCTGTAAGCTGAGCTTGTTGCTCAATGGCCATTGCATCTTCCTGCATGGCAGTCTTGGTGCATGCTTGTTCTGCTGCAGCGCTCTTGGCCGCTTGTTTATCTTGTTTCTGTTTTTTTTTTCAGCAGCGATCTCCTCCTTTGAGCGCTGCTGCCGGTTTGCAGTGCGGACAATATCTCCGGGGTGTTTGTTTGCATTGCTGGCACGGGTTGCAGGGCGCGACATAGTTAAAAGAATTTGAATGAGTGACAAGTAGAGAGTGTTTTGGTTGGTAGTAAAGGAAAGTTGGCTGGTGCGTCTTGTTAATTTTTGAGCTTTATTACCTCAGTTTGACCCTAAAACTGATTCACACAGTCTATTCCGCATTCATGTCATTACGAAGGTGATATTTGCATTGCTTTGAACTCAATATTTCAGCTAATTCAAACCGGTGTAACGATGGCTGCGGCGCTGGGCTCGAAACCAGGCAATCCAATACCTACGTTCATACCATTCCCCGACCTCCCTTGACCTTCCGAAGGCCGCGCGCACTTGTCTGAACCTTCCGCAGGCAGTTTTTCGTGTTCCGAGACCCGTCCAAACCTCGCAAGTTACCATACCATGTCCTATCCTCGTCCTTTTGACTTCGCTGGTGCATTTTCCTTTATTCTGACTATATGTTGACTATGTCTTAGTACTACATGGATAACAATCCCATCGGCATCCTGTCGGGAGCCTCGGAATACGTATAAGCAGCACGCATTGCGGCTTATTACATGTATACTTGTATTCTTGCATGCCTTGTGGCTTATTACATAGGTTCGGACTTGCTTATCTCGCTACTAGTTTCGCCTATGGATTCTGGCCTCTCACAGAAGTAGGATATAATCTCGCTCGCTGGCTACTGATAGGGCACTTCACTTCCCATACTTCGAGTAGTAATTAGTAGAGTCACCTCGGTATAATTGTAAACTGCGCAATTGATCCTAGTTCATTCGGAACAATTGTCTGGCTAAACTGCTGCCCAGTTCGCACTTTGTTTATCCTCAAGCCCCAATAGATTAGCATTGTTCCGGACTTCGGACGTTGCACAAAAGTCTTATACTGTTATTCGACACACCGACATACCGACACATCGACACACCGACATATATAGACCTTCGGACAGCTTTCACAAGCCTCAGAAGGCATTGCGCTACTTCGGACAACACTTTCGCAGCCTCGGACGACCTTCAGGTCGCATCAGACAAGTTTCTCAGTACTTCGGAAGTAGTCTCGGAACTACTGGACGAGCATTGAAGAGGTTTTCTTCCAATATATTGTCTACTCTCTAACTGTGTAAGACTTCCCTTGCATTATCAAGGTAGTTTTTAGGTTGTCTCTTGGGACGAAGCATACTCGCATCCCTCAGGACTAGGGACTCACATTCAGTGGAGCCCAGACCAGATCTACTCTTTACACCAGTCAGCATGGCACCATCCCGCACACAGTTCACCAGTTCCTCAGTCCTACTATAAGTCAGTTCTGCTCCCATGTCCATTCGCTGGCTGCAGTCACATGTTCAAGAACAAGTCTGGCTTGACGAAGCACACCCGCACACAGCATTCAAGAGCATCTTGCAACTGCCAAATATTTCACCAAGCAGCACCTAGAGTTCGTTCACCTAGTCCTGAAGCAAGGTCTGACTATGACCATCTGGACTTGGGTGGGCCCAATCTTGATGCTGAATTTGAGCATCAAGAAGGCTTTGTGCCTAAGGATGGAAGTTGGGTAGAACTGGGACCACTTTTTCGAGTATTCCATCCCAGTCTCACCGGTGTAGAAAGCTGATTCCTGCTGCGCTCAGCAGAAATTGTACTACCTAGACAACAAATATTTAGGTAGATCTTAGCACGACCTAGTCTGCTATACTTGCAGAGCAAGTGCGTTCGATCCTATAGGGGTAGCTGTTTGGTATTAGTTTAGATAGTTAGTTATCAATAATAGGAAGATAATCCGAAGCTAAGAACTACTTGTCCGAAGGGAAACTGTCAGGTCCAAAAATATTGGAGTCAGGTTGGGTGTTGGACTATGCGTCGGACTGTCAGGAATGTGTTGGTCGGTGAAGGAATGTGTTGGAAGTATGTCGGATTGTCGGTCAAATGAGTGTTGAATGTTTTGGAGAAAAAGAGTGGATAGATATTTCGCAATACAATCAAGTACTACTAATATCTAATGACTTCCATCCTACTACTGAGTAGGAAAAAGTAAGTAATGCAATAGGTAGGAAGTACTAGATATTAAATAGTGTCTATGTAGGATTTCGGAGTGCATTAGGCGAAAACAGTAGCACAAAATCGGGTCTGAATGTATGTAAATGTCACAACCCAATAACGAATTAACGCTGGGCAGAGACTAGGACTCAAACAAAGGTTATCGGACAAGAGGATAGTTGAGCAAGTACGTCTTGGATTGCTACAATGTAGATACAAGAGGTTTGAACTAAGGAACTATCGACCAAGACATGCTACCTATATACAACTATTGAAACGGAGATTGAATCTGAGTTACAACTACTAGCCAATCATAAAAAGAGAAAGGGAATCGTACCATAGAACATCGTAGAATATTAAAGAAGCATCACGTGACCATATCTTATCTTATCGTATCTAATCTAATCTATTCACAATCAAAGAACTCGTCTTCTTCATCAGTCACATCAAAGACACGTGTTGTGGGCGCTAGAGGTATTTCGGGAATGATAGATGCTTTCAAGGTAGGGTTAGGGTTTGATTTAGGCGCTGTGTGTTACGACTTGGATGGTATCTGTTGGCGACGCTCAAACAGAGCTTGTGTCGTCAACGGTCTGTGGATGTCCTTGGGCTAGCCCAAGGTTAGGGGTCGTATTTGGTGTGTCTTCGGCAAATACGATTTGATGCCTATGTCCAAATCGGGTAGCTTATGTCACGCGGATGCGAGATGATAAGCTATATCGGCCTAGGCTTACGACACCCGAAGGTTAATCGTAAGGATCGTCGTTAATTAGAAGGACAGAAGTCCGACTAGTTAACAGGGGCTTTGCTCGTCGACGAAGTCGATGAGTAAAGGTCGAGACTATAGGCTTATCTGCGAAGAGCAGATAAGAAGATAGAATATAGACTGCTGGCGAGGCAGAAGGATCACTCTGGTGAGAGTAGGAGGTCAAGAACCAAGTAGATTCAAGTTAGGGAATATGGTACATGGTAGCGAGTTTATATAGAGGACAGGAAGCGTATTAGTGGGTGATAACTCGTACTACCGGGAGAGGCAATCGGTAAAGGGTAAGACCATAATAGGAAGGCACGTTCGGTCTGGGTAGAACGTGCTAGATAAGAAAGTGAGTCAAAGATCGAAATAAGAAGTGAAACGCGCAGGGGCACGATCGTGCAACTGCGGATCTAAGTATAAGTCGCATGTGCGACTGCGCATCGAGTCAGAGATCATAAAAGGGAAAAGGGCAAAGGGGATGCGTCGTGCATCATATCATAGGTTTCCGTCCGGACGGTAAGGGCAAGGGGACTGTCCGCAGGATCAGTCAGGTGGTGAAACGGAGCATGGGTATGCTTCGTCAGCGAAAGGATCCGGCCAAATGTACTGGCTTTGCTGAAGCGACAGGTAGAGGGCGAAAGGGAATGCGAGGATGACGAGGATGACAAGGGTGAGGTCGGGGTAAGGGTATGATGCGAGGGCTGATACGAGGAGGATCAGGAGAAAAATGGTAGGGGCCCAAGCGTCTAGATGTTCTTGTAACACTGTGTATTGACGCTTAGGAAGATTCAAGAAAGAATAATGGTTTGTTAAAGGTACTCGTGACAGTAAAAGAGCATGTGTACTGCACCTTTTTGTAGATAACATGTAATAACACTGTCTGTAATGTTCAATAATGCGAAAACGAGTAAATACGCACCAGTGGGGGTAGATACGACTGGACAGGAACATAGGGAGGACGAGTCCAATGTGAAAATGTTGGGTCTGAAACTTTCGGGTTGGGGTCGGGTGTCAGGATCGGGATTGGAATGTCAGGGATGCATCGGACGAATACTGTTTAACATGAGTATCAAAAACACAGGTTTTGAGCCCAGCACCGCAACTATCATTACACCAGTAAGCTCGCTGTTATCACTGGCAGAGATATTTGAATTAATTCCTTCATACAGGACTAAAATGTGATGCTGAGGGTAATTCTATTGATCAGAATGCACTTCCACCACCCTGAACTGACACTTTGCCGGATGATTGGACCCCATATGAAAGCTGTATCGCATTCAAAACTGCTGAATTTCTATTCTTGTGGAATCAGATGTCTGCAAAACAAATAGACACTCTTCTCGACTTATGGACAGCATCATTGATCAAGAATAATGATGCTCCACCATTCACAGGTCATCGTGACTTATACGACACCATTGATGCAACACCACTTGGTGATGTTCCATGAGAGACATTCTCTATGTCCTACAATGGTGCCAAATCGCTGCACGACATGTCACCATGGATGGATGTGACTTATGATGTTTGGTTTCAGGATCCTTGCCTCCTTTTGCATAACATGCTTGGGAACCCTGATTTTGATGGATAAATGGAATATGTACCTTATCAGGATTACAGCACAGAAGATACTTGATACTTCAAGAACTTTTTTCCTGGAGACTGGGCATAGAGCCAAGCAGTACGTATTAACATGTCAAGCTAGTCCTGATGTAGAACTAACAAAGTACTACAGTATTTATGTAGGATATCATTGCTCAAAATGAAGTGAATCACAGATCAACTTTCATGCCTCTAATAATCAGTAGCGACAAGATGACTTGTTTCGGTAGCCACAGGACATACCAAATATCACCCGCTCTATATGTCCATAGGCAACATTTTCAATAGTGAATGACGTGCACATCATAATGGTGTAGTTTTGGTGGGTTTCCTTGCCATCCCCAAAAGTAAGCCATTTCCCAATGTTGTGCCTCAGTTCTTACTTACTTTTTATATAGCTACAAAGGAACATGCTGGTGATACAGCTTACCATGACTTTCGATGACAAATGTTTCATTGCTCCCTCGCCAAAATTTGGCCATCAAATCTTACATGGACACCCCTGATGTTGCTTGCTTCCCTGATAGGACATTTTTGCAGGGTCATATATGGACTGGGTCCCTACATTGCCGACTATCCAGAGCAGGTACTGCTGTCTGGGGTAGTCCAGGGATGGTGTCCAAAGTGCGTACTTTGATGTTGACTGACTTGACTATATAGATGCTGACTATTTTTAGGTGTCTTGCTGACTGGAGAGACTTAGACAGTGATGGACCGTGCTTGCACTGGTGTGAGAAACACAGGGAGCTTCTTGTCAAAGAGCTCGAGTATGGAAAGTGTTACGACTTGGATGGTATCTGTTGGCGACGCTCAAACAGAGCTTGTGTCGTCAATGGTCGAGGACGTCCTTGGGCTAGCCCAAGGTTAGGGGTCGTACTTGGCGGGTCTTTGGCAAGTACGATTTGACGCCTATGTCCAAATCGGGTAGCTTATGTCACGCGGGTGCGAGACGATAAGCTATATCGGCCTAGACTTACGACACCCGAAGGTTAATCGTAAGGATCGTCGTTAATTTAGAAGGACGGAAGTCCAACTAGTTAACAGGGGCTTTGCTCGTCGACGAAGTCAATGAGTAAAGGTCGAGACTATAGGCTTATCCGCGAGGAGCAGATAAGAAGATAGAATATAGACTGCTGGCGAGGCAGAAGGATCACTCTGGTGAGAGAAGGAGGTCAAGAACCAAGTAGATTCAAGTTAGGGAATATGGTACATGGTAGCGAGTTTATATAGAGGACAGGAGACGTATTAGTGGGTGATAACTCGTACTACCGGGAGAGGCAATCGGTAAAGGGTATAACCATAACAGGAAGGCACGTTCGGTCGAGGTAGAACGTGCTAGATAAGAAAGTGAGTCAAAGATCGAAATGAGAAGTGAAATGCGCAGGGGCACGATCGTGCAGCTGCGGATCTAAGTATAAGTCGCATGTGCGACTGTGCACCTGAGTCAGAGATCAAGAAAGGGAACAGGGCAAAGGGGATGCATTGTGCATCATATCATAGGTTACCGTCCAGACTGGTAAGGATAAAGGGGACTGTCCACAGGATCAGTCTGGTGGTGGAACGGAGCATGGGTATGCTTCGTCAGCGAAAGGGTCCGGCCAAATGTACTGGCTTTGCTGCAGCGACAGGTAGAGAGCGAAAGGGAATGCGAGGATGACAATGATGACAAGGGTAAGGTCGGGGTAAGGGTATGACGCGAGGGCTGATACGAGGAGGATTAGGAGAAAAATGGTAGGGGCCCAAGCGTCTAGATGTTCTTGTAACAGAAAGCTACTGGGAGGAATATGGTATTGTCAGTGATGTTGTGGTGAGTGTGGTCTCAACGGTTCCCGTGTTAATACACTCTTACTTTTGATTTTTTAGCCCTTTACAAACAACTACCCTCAAGCTGATATTCATGAATTGATTTCACTGGACATTCTCCACCAAATTATCAAAGGCACTTTTAAAGATCATCTGGTGAATTGGGTTGAGTCTTACCTCAAGATCACACATGGCACTTCCCATGCTGCACAGATCATGGATGGCATTGACAATAAGTAAGAGACACACAGCTTTGCATGATTATCACTAACATATAGTCAGGATTGCAGCTGTTTATTCATTCACAGGTTTACAACGATTTCTGGAAGGACGCGGATTTAAACAATGGACTGTTGATGATTCAAAGGCATTGATGAAGGTGTGTTATGATGTTTCTCAAGGACTTAAGCTGATCTGCTAGTAATCAGGTCTACCTTCCTGCTATCAGGGGTCATGTCCCTGATGATGTAGTACGCACCTTCAGTGCTTTCCTGGACTTTTGCTACATTGTTCGATGTGACACGCTTACTGAGGACAACCTCTTACAACTTCAAGACGCACTTGATAGATTTCACACATACCAGAAAATCTTCAAGACAACTGGTGTCACCCTGTCTTTCTCCCTGCCGCACTGTCACAACCCAATAACGAATTAATGCTAGGCAGAGACTAGGACTTGGACTAAGGTTATCACAACAAGAGGAATGTGCAAGGATGTTTTGGATTGCTACAATGATGTAGATACAAGAGGTTTGAACTAAGGAACTACCGACCAAGATGTGCTACCTTTATACAACTATTGAAACTGAGATTGAAACTGAGATCCAACTACTAGCCAATCATAAAAAGGAAAAGGGAATTGTACCATAGAACATCATAGAATATTAAAGAAGTATCACGTGACCATATCTTATCTTATCTAATCTTATCTAATCTATTCACAATCAAAGAACTTGTCTTCTTCATCAGTCACATCGAAGACATGTGTCGTAGGCACTAAAGGGATTTTGGAACTGGTAGACACTTTTACTGTAGGGTTAGGGTTTGACTTAGCCGCTGTGTATTGATGCTTAGGAAGATTCAAGAAAGAATAATAGTTTGTTAAAGGTACTTGTGACATGCGCCAGCACTCATTAAACCACTATTTGCTTCTTATCCGGCAATTTGGGGCCCCCAATGGGCTTTGTTCTTCCATTACAGAGTCAAAGCATATCAAGGCTGTCAAGGAGCCTTGGCGCCACTCAAGCCAGTTCAAAGTGCTTGGACAGATGTTACTCACCAATCAACAACTGGATAAACTGGCAGCTGCTCATGCAGATTTTCAGGCACATGGAATGTTGAAGGGCTCATGTCTGTCTGAAGCTTTGCATAAGCTTCAAAAGTGTATTTAATTCTAATTTCATTTATTACAGTAATAATCTCACAATGCACAGGTCACTACGAGTCTGATGAAGAAGATGACAACTTTGCCAATAGTGGAGCCACTCTCGCAGATTGGCCTGGGTTTCTGAATGTCAATGCACCTGAGTGTTGGTCTATTGAGGGTGAAGTCAGTGAAATGGTTGATGGACCTGCAGTAGAGGCACATGTTGACCTTGCAGCAACACCTTGTAAGTTTGTGTGCGCTCTTTGTAAGCCTTATTGATACTACCTGTCTCAGGCTGTAGATGTGATGTCCATGCACTTGGCGACGAACTGGAGCTCCCCAATTTTCAGCAACTGATCCAGGAATTTATTCATGACCAAGCTCACACTGCCGACCCCAACCCTCATGTATTTGACCCTGCATCAGCACCATTATTATTGGGGAAAGTCTTGATTTTCAATTCCGCAGCTGCCTCATTCTACGCACCTAGTGATCTTAGCGGCACTGGAGGTATGTGACGTGAGCATATTTGTGTGGTGTCCTCTTGGCATGGAGGTGCACCTTGGCATGATTGTGTCTTTGTCAACATGAATACGGATACTGATATTATGAATGGTCTCGCAGTTGCACGAGTGCTCTGTTTTTTTTTCTTTCAGCAATTGCACATCTTTTTTCGATGTGCTGTCGTTTGGTGGTTCTCACATGTCCTCAACACACATGATCTGGATACTGGAATGTATGTTGTTGCTCCTGCGACACTTGAGGACGGCACACCAGACATTTCCATCATTCATATTGACTGCATTTTCTGTGCAGTGCATCTTATTCCAGTATATGGCTCAAACATTTTACCTTGCACAATTACTTCACATGATTCTTATGTCTTTCACTCTTATTTTGTCAACAAGTACACTGATCACCACAGATTTGAGATTGCATAATCGACTTCATTTTACCTTTTCTGCACATTCTCTACCAAAGCTACCTATGACACCTCCCTGCAAGCTCTTCTCTCATGCACTACCATCTCCCTCCAATTCTAGAGCCAAGAAAATATGGCCTACTCAAGACTCCCCCAACAACCCTTTCCTTTCCGGCAATGATGAAGCCAATGCAAGCAGCTGTGAGAGCAGTGATGATGGATGGCCTGTTGGAGAAGCTCCCAGGTGTGAAAGCACACCAACTCTGGCACCAGAGTGTGAGGAAAAGCCAACAATAACCTATGTCTGGTGCATCTTCCTAGTTCTCGTTATTTTCTGTCTACTGACTGCTTCGTTAGCCGAGGCCAAAAAGTGACCTTCCATAACCCCCAATATCAACTTCCCGTCGATGTTCTCAAGGCGTCTAAACTACCGATCAATCATCCAGACTTTGAAGTGGCTGAGGCATGTCCACCCCACCGGCTCTTTTCCAACAAACTCAAGCGCGAGTCTTGTGACTTCGACGAAGACATTCCTCCAATCAACTCCCTTGGTGCCAAACACGCAAAGATTGATGCTGGTGCATCTGAGGGTGAGAAAAGTACTACGGACACCAGCTCCTGCAAGAACATTGTCTTCCATGCTCGGCAGGTGCATGAACATGGGGAGAGGGACATTATTTGGCGGGTAATAGGCCCTGTGCATCATTTGTAAGTTGCCTGCGACATTGACCATCTTCATATCCTTCTCGACTTATTGTTTTGTATGTGCGATATGTCTTTCCCTATGGTCATAATCCCCCATGCTCTCACACCTACTTACAATGAACGAGGCCAACATTGTCATGTCCTTCCTGGCATGTAACAATTTACTTAGCATTACTTATAGATACAGCCTTTCTTAAAAATATTATCTTCCTTGGAAATATTCACTCAAAGTTCTCTAAGTAACAGACTGATGGCTTTGGCATCCTTAAACATCCTTATGTACCTTATGAAGTTGCCAAAGGAAATTAAGAGTTGAAAAGGAACTCAACGTTTTCCTGATGCAAGATGGGAATAGGAAGGATGGGTGCCTCGTATAGTTTGGCTATGAGGAGCTTCAGGTAGAGGAGTTCACGTACAACGCTGGTGAGTGCAATGTATTGGGCTTCAGCTGTGGACAGTGCTATTAATGGTTGCTTCCTCACACTCCAGGCAACTGGTCCTCCATTCAAGAGGATGATATACCCACTCATGGAGTGTCTGTGGGGTTGGGAAGCCCAGTCTGTGTCCACGTACACTTGGAGACCCTTGTCTGTAGTACCTAGGGTAAGCTCATACTCATCCGTCGCCTTCAGATAGCGCAGTGCTCTTTTGGCTGCCTCCCAATGGGGCCTTCCAGGGCTTTGCATGAATTGCAACAACATTGCCATGGTAAATGCAATGTCCAGGTGCATACTCGTCACTGCGTACATCAGAGAATTGATAGTGTGCTGGTAAGGGACCTCTTGCATTACCTGAAGTTCTGCATGGGTTGTTGGAGATTGCTCTGCAGACAAGGTGGTGCTGGTTTCCATGGGCATTTGCACATTCTTTGCATCGGCGAGGTGGAATCGATCAACTATGGTGTCGACATAGGCCTTCTGTGAGAGTGTGATGGTGTGTTCGACTCTATTTCAGGTTACCTTTAAACCTAACAGCCAGCTAAGTTCTCCTAGGTCCATTATTTCGAAGAATTTCTGGAGATGGGATTTGAACTGATGGATGTGGGAGATGTGATTCGTGGTGACAGCCATATCGTCGACAAAGACGGTAATGACGACATGCTCTTTTCCAGTACGTTGTAGTATACAGCCTGATCCACCTTCAAACAGCTGAAACCTAGGTCACAAAATGCACCGGCCAGTTCCTCTGCCCACATGAATCCAGCTTGCTTAAGTCCAGGTAAGCTTCTCTTAAGCTTCAACACCTTTCCCTTCTGACTGTCTTTCAGATAACCAGGTGGCACCCTCATGTATACCTCCTCCTGAAGACTCGCATAAAGGTACGCACTCTTAATGTTGACTTGGTGGATCTCCCAATCTTTCTGAGCGGCCATTGTCAGGACTGTGCAAATAGTAATCATGTTCGTGGTAGGCACAAATGTGTCGAAGTAGTCAACACTGAACTGCTGCCTTTGTCCATTCGCAACAAGGCAGGCGCATAATTTGAGTTTCTCGCTGTCTGGACCACGTTTGGTGGCCAAAACAAAATGACAGGGAATCAGGTTGGCGCCTCTAGGTAAGTCAGTTACCTCCCATGTCCCAAGCTTCTCTAGTTGGCTGATCTCATAATCAAGAGCTTCTTGTCATTCCACAGCATCTGGCCCATTCAGTGCCTGCTGTAAAGTGGGCTCTGGCTCTGCGGTTGCTAAGGCCAATTCTAGGTGAGCTTCCTCATCTAGGAGATCAAGTTCTGACACTTCCATTAGTGATTCGAGGGCGATGGACGCAGTTTGGCCCTCATTGAGGGCTACATAGTACCCTGGGGCAGGATGGACTCAAGTTGCACGTGGTGCGGGCAGTGTGGGGGGACACAGGCTAGATGGCTTTGCCGGTGTTGCTGTTGCTGGCGGTTGGTAGGAGGGTTTTTGGACGTTAGGTGAGTTGGGCATGTTATTAGTGCTGCTGGGCTGTCCATTGATATTATTATTACCATTGTTGTTGTGTTCGTCAGCAGCAGACTCCCCCTCGTCCATAACATCCTCCACCAGCTTCACCTCTGAAGGGGTGAAGGTGAGGTTCCTCTCCACTGTGACCCGGTGCTTCTCTGGCCAGTAGACTGTGGTATCCCTTACTCTGGGCGTCCACACCGACAAAGGTTGCCTCCTCCGCCTTTGCCTCCAGCTTCCCAGTGTCATGCTGGTGCACATACACAGTGCTGCCAAACTCGTGGGCCTAGGCAAGGGTGGATGTCTCTTTGCAGACAAGGGCAAATGGTGTAGTGCCCAGCGTTGTGCACTGATGATAAGCAATTTTTGAGCCAGGTTGTGTAATTGATCGCCTCAGCCCATAGGAATTTTGGCAAGTCCTTCGCGAGCAGCATGGCCCACATGTGTTCCACCAGGGTCCTGTTGAGCCATTCCGTGACTCCATTCTGTTGAGGTGAGTTGTGGACAGTCAACTGACACTCAATGCCCTCCTGCTTTAGGTACTTGTCAAACTCGGCACTCATGTACTCTCCCTCTCAATCGGAACGGACTTTCCGCAACCAAACTGCTGTGTTCTGGCACCTGAGCCATGCGACGTACACCTTGAATGCGGTGAGTGCTTTGCTTTTCTGCTTCAAGAAATGAAGCTTTGTCTGACAGCTAAAATTGTTGGTAAAGCTGATATAGTATAGGCACCCGCCTAGGCTCGTTGTTTGGGCTGGTCCCCACAGGTCAGTATGGACCAGCTCCCCATAGGTAAGTGAGCACATTTTGGACTCGTCAGGAAAAGGCTTGCAGGCTGATTTTGCCTTGATGCATGCTTCACAGAACTCGGGCTTTGTGCTCAGGTCCAGCTCAACGCCTGTCACCAGGCCTTTTGTAATGGCATTGGCCATGGCTGTTTGGGACACATGCCCTAGGACCCAGGTGTAAGTGGGCAACGGTGAGTTTTGTTTTTGCAATGTTCACATGGTGCAATCTCTGACATCCCAAAACAACACTATACAGGCCCTCGACCTGCAGTATTTCCGCAATTACTCTGCGCTCCGGTTCCTTCGACAGGATCTGGCACATACAGCCTTCGAAGAGGATGGCCATCCCGGTTGGTGTGATGCAGTTGGTAGATATGAGTGTGAAGGCCATCTTAGGTGCATATAGGGTATTCTTCAAAACAATGGTAGTTCGTTTCTGACCTAGGGGCAGCTTCACATCTCCTCGACCTATTGTGCTAAGGGTGGACCCGTCAGCTGTATGGATGGTCTGGGGAGCTATGGTGACAAAATTGGAGAATTTGGCATGGTCCGGGCAGAAGTGGAAGGTAGCGCCTGAATCAATGATAGCACCTCTCTTCTCTGCAGGTATGTTCAAGTCTTTAGCTATATTCGCCAAATCTGATGTTACAAAAGTGTACTGGTCTTGGGACTTTGACTCTGCAGTGGTGTTTGCAGTTTGTTTCTGCAACTTTTCAGCCTTCCTCTTCTGCTGGTTCGGACCCTGTCCCTCCTTGCCACCACCTCATCTCCAACAATCAGCTTTGGAATGTCCTTTGTGGTTGCAATTTTCACAGGTGAGATCCGGATTGTGCTTTGGAGTGCTTCCTGATGACCCTGACCTTCCTTTACCCTCCCTTGCATTAAGCGCAGTACTTGCTCCCTTCTTACTGGGTCGACACTCGGTGAGTTGTCGGTGTTCGTACTCTTTGGTGACAATGCTGATCAGTTCATAGGATGTCAGTGGGGTCTTAATGATCTTTGCTGTGGCATTGATTGATGAGAGGAGGGGGCAATACAATTTTGGAAGGGAGCCAAGTATGATGGCATGGAAGTCAGTATTGAGGATGGCTGCACCCATGCCTGCTAGCAACTCCCGCAAACATAGGAGTTCTGCGAAATGGGCTTTGACGTCACCTGATTCTTCACACCTCGTTTCCTGCAGGCGTCTGTGCAGGTCAATCTGTACGAGTCCTGTTTTGCCTTCATGGATCTGGCAGATCTCTGCCCAGACTTTGCACGTGGCCTCGAACTTTTGGACCCTCAACAGGAGGCAATCTGATATCGTGCAGAATATCTGCTGTTTTACTAGTGAGTTCTTTTGCAGATGCTCATCAATTTTCTTATCCAGCTCGTCAATCTTGTTTTGGGTGGGTGTCAAACCATCCACCTTCAATGGCTGGCCTGTCATCTCATCAAGGAGGAAGGGTAACGGCTTGACTGCACAACTGTCCGCATATTGCATCAAACCTCTAGCACCTATCGCCGTCATTGTTCTTTCCTTGTAGGTGATCCAATTTGTGCCATCTTTGGCTAACTTTGGAACATTGAACAGACTAGATGTGGTACTGGGGAGCGTATTATCGGTGGCCATGACAAGGCTCATAACCTCTAGAGATTAGAGGTAGAGCGGGATAGAAAACAATCTATAGGAAATGGTATGATCTCAGTTTCTCATAAAGAACTCTATATTGATGCAGTCTATACCTATAGGAAATGTTATGCTATGGGTATAGTAAGTATACGTCCATTTTGTTAGACAAATGGTAAGTACTTACATCTCAGTTTCTCGTAAAGAACTGAGATGTTTGGGCGCTAGGAATGGCGCTTATAAAGTAAGTAAAAACTTTTAGATAAAATTTTGGGATAAATGTTTGGGTATAAGCAGGGCGCAATTGGCAGTCCGCTGTCAGCCTCTGCTATGTTGCACTTGGACCATGTACCTTTTTACTTCCTGCTCGTTCCTATCTCGCATCCTTTGGCGTGTTCTCTCTTGGATCGTTCGGATTCCAACAATATTATCATATCTACATGTTGGGCAAGGAGGTGTCTATTATACAGCTAAAATACCGCAGGAGTTGTTGTTATCCACCTGCGGCACTCAGGAAGTTGAGTCATGTGATCGACATTACGGACGTGGCAGCCCAGGGCCGGTCTCAAAATTCGCACGCTAGGTGTCAGTTAAGTCATTCTTTCGACTTATTAAATTTCATACAGGACCACAAGAAGACGACCGATATGTGCCAGCTGGTTCATGGAGAACGGTGATCATACTCAGTCACTCGGGCTCAGACCAGTGAGGTTGCGACGAGGAATTGTTGCTATCCTAATACATGGACGTCGCCTACCAGGATGAATTTTACCCCATATTCTTCTACTAAGGCATGTGTCAACTGATATTTCTATTTCATGGATTGCTAGCGTGGGTCGTGCTCTACAGGGTGAGATTATAAACCGCTTCAACTTTCTTGCGGAACGCAACTAAAACGGACCCTTCAACAAGACAGAGCAAGACAACCTGAGCAACTTCCCTGGAAGTTCAGCGACTTCTTTTATTTCCGTCGTCCTTGCACTCTGTACATGGTCTAGATGGTCAAACGTTGCCTGTTATAAGACATTCGGTAAGTATACGTAGGGATTCATCTCTCTTCAGCACCCTTGAGTCGGGTACCTGAATTCTGGCTAATATGTAATGGAGTTAGTGTTGACCAATCACCAGTGTTACAACGTCACTATAATACAATAGCTCGTGAAGATTGCAACTTATGCTCATCTCCTTATTGACGATTAGAAGGTACTCTGTGAATGATGTGCATCATCTTCCCGTTGGACTGTGCGGGGAGTGCCGAGTTGCTGAATCAGTTGTTGATTTGTGTTTACTGTATCCTGGTGAGTGCAATCGAATAGAATTGAGAAAGAGTTCGGACAAGAACTTGGTCGGCGGCAAATTGGCAGGAGACCAAAAACATCGGGAGCGTCGATGAACAGCGATGCAACGGAGGCTGCACTCGGTCTCCTCAGCCTCTCTCCTCTGAACAATAACACAATCCCTCAAATCAGAAAACCGGTACAAATACCAACGCCAAGACTACCGCCAACGACAACACCATTACAACCAGCGCCATCAGCTAGCCCTCCTCTTCCAGACGCAGATGCTATCAGCTGCATATGCGGCTTTCTCTTTGACGATGGTTTCAGCATTGCCTGCGACGTCTGCTCTCGTTGGTGCCATGCAGCATGCTTCGATATTGTTGAGGGAGAGGTTCCGGAAGAGTGGCGCTGTTGGGATTGCGATCCCCGTCCTGTTAACCGTGACCGTGCAGTCCGCCTGCAGAAGCAACGCATTACGGAGATGCACGTCAGGGAGAGGGAAAGAGACAAGGAAAAAGATAGAGACAAGGGCAAAAAACGAGACAGAGCAGGCTCTCCCGTACAACGACGACGAGCCAGTGCTGCTGCCATCGAGGGCTCTGGAAACGCAAAGAAGAAACGTAGAGCATCTATCATATCCCCGTCGACTCCGCACCCACCGCCGACGCCGACGCAGCATGGGGAAGACGAGCCAGTCGACATCGACGAACCGTGGTCCCTGTCCTACATCCCTATTACTAAAGACATCGTTACAGCCGAAGCGCATGCCAGACTCCGCAGACAAGCCCAAGCATGGCGGGGCGTCACTGCCCTCTCACCACCCATACACCCCAATCGTACGCAGATCAACCCAGTCCCACCCACACCATCTCCAAGTCAGCTACATACCAACCCCCTCGTTCGACCGCCCACCTACAGCCTACACACAACTACGCCAGTCCCTTCGTCCAGCTACATTGCTCCATTCACCTGCGCTATCACCCCGAGCGCCTCTTACCTCGCCGACCCGCTTAATGCGTACGCCCACCTTGGCATGCCGAAGCCATTCGTGCATCTGATGGGTCCACCTCTGGACGTCGCACTCGATGCGAGGGTCGTTGGCGACGAGGGACGCTTTGCCCGGAGTGGGTGTCGTCCGAATGCAGTGCTGAGGCCCTTACTGTGCCGTCAGGCAAAGGATGAATCCAAGGCAAAGGAGTCATCCGAGAAAGACAGGACAGAAAGCGTGAAGAAAGAGAAGAGGGAAAGTGGGAAGAAGAAAAAGAACGACAAGACAGACTCAGATGAAGAAACTCTCACATTTGGCGTGTTCGCACTGCGCGACCTCAAAGCTAACGAAGAAGTCGTTCTCGGTTGGGAATGGGACGACGGAAACGCAGTGCATAGTCTCCCAGCGCTCATTGAGAGTCCACATATGTTCTCGTGCGTCTTTATCTCATCCTGTTCTCTCTTTTTAACTTTCAACACTTTGTTTCTTCTAATTGATCCTGGACCGTTTACCGTTCCGTGCGTTCACCCCTCCTCCCTCCTACTCCCACTCCACTCCCCGCCCTCTTTCCTCGTCCTACATCCTTACTGACTCACTCGCACAAATAGGACGTACCACCTAACTCACCTCCGCGCACAAATGACCTCAATTCTCCATGCCCTCAGTTCCACATTCACAACGTGTGCGTGCGGTGCCCGCGCAAGGGACTGCGTGTTGAACGTCATGGCGCAGTATGTTGATGGCGAGCATGATGCACCTAATGTCATGCGTGCATCAGGGCAGCCCATGAATGGTACAGGCGTGAATGGGAATGGGGCGAGGCAAGCAGGAGAGGCAGATGCAGGTGATGGATCGAGCTCAGACAAGGAGAATTGGGGACATGAGAATGGGCGAACTGTGGTAGGTCTCGGAATCCAGATGAACACAAACCCGACTGGCACCAACGGGAACGGTGGCGTCAATATCAACACAAACGGTTTGAATGGAAACACACCATCATCCGCATTCACCCGGAAAATTGACCTCGGTCCGCTTATCGGTGCGAAGCGCGGCTTTAGGACACGGGAGAAGGTACCGTTTGGTGGGGGCGTTGGCGGTGTGGAGATGGTTCCGTCGGGATCAGGAGTCAGTTTTGGCGCTGGGTCGACTGGGGGGTTTGGTGCTGAGTTGAGCGGAGGTTTTGGCACTGGGTCGAGTGGTGGGTTATCGAGTGCAGGACCTGACGTATGGCCCTCAAGTCTCAGTGCTCCAGCTGGGTCTTCGAACTTGGGACCCAATGGAGGAATGTCGAATTGCCGCCCTACGATTTCTACCTCGAGCCCGTCACGAACTTCGAATTCTATGAGGGCAAGCGATAGGAAGGGCAAGGGGCGTGCTCCAGAGGAGACAGATGTGGATACAGACGTGGACGTGGAAGGCGACGGTGAGTGTATCGTGCCGTCTTTTGGTTTTTGGTGTGTCCGCTCTGCGGCGCGTGTCCATTCACTATACCCCTCTTTGCTCCCTAACCCAGACTTGCTCATGCCCAGCATTTTATTTATCTATTTAGGCCCTACTTCTGATTCGATGGACGTCAACGAAGAGAAGATTCCGCCCAGGATGCGTAAAAGGTGGATGCATACTGTGTCTGTGCCCGTGTCGCATGATTGTGATGAGCGTGCCTCTTCGCGGAATGGGCGAAATTTCGTTTCTATCAACGGACAGAGCCCATCTGGTTCGCGTGGACAGCATGCACATAGTTCACCAGTATCGAGTGGACATAGTCCACCCGCTCCGGTGTCTACGACAGACTGGAGAAGCCCTACATTACTGTCAGCGGACAGTCCAGCACCAACGTCTGGAGACAGTCCTTCGCCGCCATCCCCAGAGAGCACGGTGGATGGAATGGATATTGATGTGACCGATACGTTTTCTGGTAAGCTTCATTTTTCCTTTGGACAATTCTGTTATGTATTTTGCATCTCTTTTCCTGTGTGCCGCATGTTGGCTGACCCTCTCCCTTCATAGACATCCGTCAAATGCCACCACCACCAATGCCGGCAGCTCTCGACCCCACCACCATTTCCTCCGTCGCATTTGCATCCGTCTCGCCCTCAGCAACATTCTCAAAACTATCTCTTCTGTCACCCGTTCTGCCTGATATGCGCTCCGGGTCACCATCCCTCTTTGGAGTGCCTCTGACAAACTCGTCCAGGCGTCCTATGCCAATATCGTCCCCTCCGCCACACCAGTCATCCAATAGTAAGAGTCCTCCATCCACATCGAGTGCACAAGTCATCGTTCATCCGCAATCATCCAATCCATCGACGTCCAGCGCTTCTCCACCTTATCGTGTGCGGTTTGCATCACCGGAGGTGTTAGATGGGCAACCGTCCTTGAAGACCACTCATCATGCTCCGCTTAAATCGGGGAGGGAAGCGACGCCTCCTATTTATTCACATACCCCTCCACCTGTGTTGGAAGATGACAAAACAGCTGGCTCAGCGGTGGATGATGTACCACAGTCAGATAGGGATAGGAGCCCTGTACATGACGGAATTTCTCTTGAGGTCAAGATAGTCCCACCAGATCTTGAAGCGCCACATCCACATGCGTCCATGCCATCAGCCATGCACAATTCCACTCGATTGGTGTCATCGATATGCGAGTCAACGTCATCCCTCCATGATTCTGATTCACCACCTCCATCATGCGAGCCCGCACTGCCTATACACGAATTCACGCCAGTGACACACGAATCCACTCCAACAGCACATGAACCCACGCCACCCACGCGCGAACAGTCACCGCTGCCTCCTCCAAAGGTGAAAATGTCCCTAAAGGACTTTGCCCTGCGTAAGAAGAAGCAGCGGGAAGAAATGGCGAAGGAGCGAGAGTGTGAGTCGCCTGGTGGGCTAGGTATGGGGTTGCTAGATGAGAGCGGGGACGAGGGGATACACGTAGATGAGGATGGTGCAGATGTGCGGCTGGGGAGAGATTCTGAGAGCACAGACCAAGAGCGTGATTTGGAAGTGACCATGTCGGATGTACGAGAGGTGCAGGATGTGGTGATGGATGGTGATGATGATGTGCGGACGGCTGTTGAGGGGGTAAAGGATGAACCTGGCGCTTCTTCTGCCATGCAGGACGTAGTGGACTGCACGCTTGAAGATCCACCCGCTGAGAGTCAGCGGCGCTGTGAATCTGAGCCACGAGGCGCTACTCTATCCCCGCCAAGGTCTCCCGTCGCATCCCTGAGATCTGTTCGTAGCATGGATAACACTCGTCCCTAACATCCAACTTGCAGATCCCGCTTCTCTCGTGGCGAAGATCGAGATACCGGAAATTTCTATACCCAATGGGCTTGTGGGTGCTTGTGATAGGTCATCACCATCCGCGCCGGACCCACCTCCACCTCCATTGCATCAGCAGACCAGGGGTACAGAAAGACAGTCATCACCCAAAACGCTTTCGTCACCCCTACCCCCTTCCGCTCCGGCTTCCTATTCTATCAGACCCTCTCATGAAGACGGAGAAATCACAAGCGCCTCTCCTCCAAAGTCGTTGCATTTCTTTCCCCGATCATATACGCCTCCAACCCAGCCCCGCTCATTTCAGGCCTCACATCCCTCATCTCCTCATTTTACTCATACTGCATCTACACCCACCTCGTCATCTTCAGCTTCCTGGCGCGGCCCACCTCCGCCGACAAGAGCACCCTTATCCAGCACTCCTGCCTCGAACGGACCTTCGCGCCCCTTACCCAGTGGACCACGGGCACTGAGAGTCAGTCAATCATCCCATCCACCGACATATTCTTCTCCCAGCAGCCGCGTGTACAGCGGTTCGCAATACATTCCTCGTGGACCGTCTGCTGATCGTGATCGTTATGACCGTGATCGTCTTGATTGGGAACGAGAGCGCGGGTGGCCGCCACGATCGCGGGGACGTACGAGTAGCAGTGGCTGGGGTCGATAACACCAGCCGTCGAATACCGAATACGGAACTTGATCCCCCTGTGTTTTTATAAGCCCATCCTTTTCCTTCGTGAGATTATATTTTTCTGCTTGATCCTGATCATTATTGCTTTTTGCAGCGTGTTTGTATCGCGCCTTCCTGTGACTTTTTATTTTTATTTCTTTGTTCCTTCATTTCCTCGTATCGCTTATGAGTATAGAGTACATATTATATTGCGTAACGAATGTACAACGAGCCGCGTGTACCATCTCTGCAATTATACTGCGTGGAAAATCCATTCCCATTCGGTACTGTTCCCACCTGTGCGGACTCCAGTGCAACGGAGTACCTTCAAGCGCCAGATCGCAACTGCTCGTTCCGCAAGGGTCAAAACTATGCACTGGTCAGGGAAAAGGACCTAAAAACGAGCGAGGACTTGAACATCAGAAGATTTCGTGGTTGGCGTGTCAGTAGAAGACTGCAGTAATTAGAGTCAAGATGCCAGGTAAGGATCATGAGCTCAAACGTTGTTGGTGTCGCTCGCATTGACAATGCAGCTTTACCATCGCTATGGCGCAAATCCTGGAGTTGTGATATGCAGTGAACCAGAACTGATCAAAACCAGATATAATCTCAGCACCGTGTGGCCCAAATCCATCAAGAGCAGAGACGTGGTGAAACCACGAGTACCTATCCCACTCAAAGAGCTGCGAGCGTAATCAGTTAAGATACGATGCCTGAACATAATATAAACCTACATCAGTACTCAACGCCCTATTTTGCTCGCTGTGAGCATAGGACATCGAGCTGATAATCATAAAACCAATTGCGATGGGCCCCTCGCAAATGCCTGAGATAAATGGGCTACGAAAAGGCCAGCGAAGCTGGTGCAAGCCGTGCAAGCGCAATGTCCCAAACAAAGGTATCGATGCTAGTCTGGCGATTGAATAGCGTTAAATTTGACCTCTATCTCTTCTGGTTGCTGATAAGCGGCTTATAGGTAATGCAATTTGTCGGCTGCCACGTCGAAGGATAAGGTCATTCAGTTTTGACGTGTCCCTGTTTTGTTGATACAATGGACCGATGTACATTTCTTCTCATTGCTTCATGCCTAGCGGCGTGATAGGGTATAACCTAGCCCGAGTGGCTCGATGCCAACGTGCTCAGGAGAGCGCCACTTCACCGATAGGGACATCCCGCGATAAACAAAAAATAATATTACTTGTCGTGGTAATCCAGATGTACCCATAACCTACACAGGTATTCAATTTGAAGATATCCAGCTAGTTTGTGGAGCATAGCAGACTCACGTTCTAAATACTCAAAATGATATTGGCATATCTACTGCGTCTTCTTTGACGAGTTGGCTGCAAAACGGGGAGGTTCTGTGGCCAATTCGATCGTCAACTGCGCAAAATCAATCTCATTCCGGCGAAAAATATCCGCAATGATCGTGTCCACTTCCTCGGTGACAGGTAGTGGAGTTCCGTCTTTCGCAACAGTCTTAAGCTGGATGACTTCCACTATCTGAGTAAACACGTGTCGTTTGCCCATGGCAGTGAGTTTGCGCTGAAAATCATCATGAGCGCGCGCAACATGAGACGGTACCTTACGTACTTGAAGCTTTTCCATCATACCAGCTTGACTCAAAGGGTGACCGGCTTTCCCGTGCTCAATTACGGTCCAACCGTCCTTCATCTTCATCCATACGCCTAGCTTCCACACATCTATAGAGATTAGACCCTTTTTGTCCGCCTCGTATGCAACCCCCATCGCCCGAAAATCCATGACCCACTCATCCCAAGGCATACCCCAAGTTGGCTGTTTAAATTCCTCGGGATCAACGGCACGGCGCAGAATATCATTCATGTAATCATCCCTTTTTTCCGGAGGCTGAATAAGAATATTTGCAACGGTTGCCGAACTAGGTTTTCGGAAAATAATTTCAGATTTTGGAAACCCATGATGGTACCGCAGCTTTGCGACGGAGACGAAGTTGTTCATCAAGGGCAGCAACACGGACAATAAAAATATGTCAAGGCACAATTGACCTGCTAATGGCCAGTTCACTGCAGGAGGAGGGGTCTCGAGTATTGGTGATATTTTCCCAAGGATAAACAGGATGCCGTAGCGGTACAGAGCGCCGTATGCGCGTTTGGCAAGTAGAGAAGACCATGCAAGATTGGCACCCAGCATTAAGAGGAAGTGTTTTCTGTGATGAAAAGTTAAGTCTTTTTGTCTTCGAGCCCCAGGGTGCGACTTACTTTCGGCTTCTCGCCTCAGTGGTGTCATGATGGCTAACGAAGACCTCAGTGTCAGAAGCATATTCGGTTAAAAATGCGGCAACTGGGCTATCCTGGGGGACTCGATGAGAAGCTGGCATCGATTAGAATACTTCGATCTTGTAGTGGGTGATTGACCAAGCTGAGCGCGTGAGCATTGGTTACTTGGTGACGAGACTGCAGTGGAAATTAGGTAAGCATCTGTCACTAATTGAGTCAAGTACGATGAGCCTGCAGACGGGTCCACGATCTCGGTCGTCAAACCTAGTACGTTCGAAAGCTACAGCGAAATTCAAGCTGCTCCGAGTCATGGCACAAAATAGTACTGCAAGATGCAATGGCCGTATAAAAGTTGGACTGCATAAGTCCAAAATGGAAGCGATGTTCACACGCATCCATTCCCACGCCTCCGCCTTATAACATTCGCGACGAACATATTTTTGATTTTCATCCTTCCACAATCAAAACCGCCAATGACGAGAAATGACGGTGCAGAGAGTTGAGTCGGACCCTATGCAGGGATCGCATTGACATCGCCCGTTCGGCACCACCTCCTTGTTACATTTGTAAAGGGACGGGCTACCACAACTCTGATGGCGGCTTTTGATGGTCAATTCGTGGGCTTCAGTATTTACTGTACATTCGTCAATTCTAATACACTGTTAACAATCTCATCTACCAATGCTTCCTATGTGTTGGGCACTGGTACCCATCCGGTTCCTTGAATAAATATAGCTGATGATATTCTTCAGCATCATACCACTGCCCAGCTTCTACAATTTCCGTCACGATCGTTTGGCCCTTGAAATGTTCCTCTTGTACCTTGCGCGTGACTTGCTCCGCTACTTTGTTCTGTTCAGGTGAATGTGTGAAAATTGCAGAGCGATACTCTGCTCGACAATTAGGATTTTAAACATGATATCAAGAGAACAATCGTACGAGTGCCCACATCACCGCCCTGCCTGTTTAGTGTAGTCGGGTCATGGGTACGGTAGAAAAACTCTGGCAGCAGATCAGGCTGATTGATAGAACTAGAACTGCAAACTCACCGACGAGCTCTCCGTACTGGACTATGGAAGGGTCAAATTCAATTCTTAAGGCCTCAGCATGATTGGTTGTCCCAGTGCACACTTCTCTATATGTCGGGTTCTTAGCTTTCTCCAGCCCGCCGGTGTATCCGACGCTCGTCTTGAGAATGCCCTTATTCTGCGAAGGAGGATACTCCTTCAAGAATATATGTTCGACACCCCAAAAACATCCCGCAGCGAATGTGGCAATCTCGCTTTGAGCATGAGCGCCTGTATTGATGAAAATTCTCGGTTAGATCCACACATTTCGAAGGTGCAATAAGTACTTGCCTGAGGACAAAGCGGCACGATAATGAGACGTATCAACTGCATGTGACATTGCAGGCGTTGCGAAAGAAAATAAGGCGGTACGAATGTGATTGAGACGACTAAGCATCAGGTGGGAAGTGCAACACCGCTGCGTGCTGGCCTCATAATGATAATATTATTATTGGTGCCGATTAACCTGATGATGTCATATAGGGCATGCGACTAGACCCCTTTTCGTCGATTCCAGCGTGTCCGACGTTCACATGGGAATGATAACAATAATACAATATGTCCCATGTGTCTACCTAGACTCTTAGTATAGCACTACATAACATCTATCCGCAATAAATCATGCCAGGGCACCCGACAGATGTTCCGTATGTTGCCCCAGAGATCCCTGAAATCGTGAAAACGGCGTTCACGATACCACCGATACCTTCTCCTGCAATAAAACCCGCTGCCACAGCAAAACAATACATCTGGTAGTTGTTGAAGAACCTCCACGAGATGTCAGACGAAACAACTAAGAGTATTCAAAGAAGACCTACATTCTTCTCCAGAAAAATGCAACAGTCGAGCCAGTAAACATCGCAATAGGATACGTACAGACGTCTGCAAAGCAAGCATTGAAAACGGCCAATCACCGAGATACAAATCACATACTCATTATGAACCCAATTCCAATAGCATTGAAGTTGCTTCGTTTCTACGTCAGATAAAGCAGGAACACGATGGCAAATCACTCACGGTATGAAGTCGTGATATTTCGGAGGAACCACAGTATACTTGGCCACGACAGAGATGACGGCTGCCAATCCAAGTGCGATGGCAGTATATCCAGAAGACGGTGGAATGGGCAACGTGCTCGAAGACACAGCAACGGCCACTGCCCGCCAGGACTGCACATCAGGAGCGGGGAAGGAGCATGTCGCGTAGCTCAAATCGTTGATGCACGGGTAAGCGGTGGAAAACACGACATAGAGACCAGCAGCCATGAAAATTGATACTACAGCTCCACAGAGTTGAGCGACGAAAACAGCCTTTGGGGACGCGCGGAGGAGGTGTGTTGTTTTAAGATCGCCAATCATGTCCCCAGCTAAATCGCACGTCGACACAATTTCAAAAAGTTTTACAATAAAACTGGAATACCTTGTTCCGCGGCACCTGTTTGATTCACGACATTTCAGCACCCGTCATACCTAATGATTGATTTACTCACCTAGGGTCAACATTCCAGAAAGCAAGTTCAGGAGTTCGCCTCGTTTGACGGCGTAGTTCTGACCCCTCCCTAATCCTCCGAAAATGAGCTGCGAGGCATTACCTGTGAGTGATGTTAGCGTCTGAACAAATTGACAATTCGACAAAGTTACCAATTGATGTGACAGGATTGATGTTTGTCCGACCAGAACTTTCACAGCCAATGAAACTGAACAAGAACGAGAAGACGATCGCTGTACGATGCAAGGCAAATCAACTTCTCCTTGAAATCATTCTAACACGCCGATGACATACCAAGGAGAGTAATACCAACGTTCTGTCCAAACTGAACGCCCATTACGACACATGTAACGATCGTACTGAGGACAAGCACAGAACCCCAAGCCCAGAAAGGCACGCGTTCGTGCTCGGGTACAGGATCCACGACATCTTCCACTACACCGTCTTTTGAAAATCGTTGCAGGAGCATTCCGAAAGCGGAGCGCATTGCGCCGTATAAAGACTTCCAATTGCATGCTACTTCTGCGAAACTTGCGCAGAGAAGCATTAATGTGCCAGGCCAGAGCAGCCAGTATCTCGGAGATGGCTCGGTTATCGGATCTTGAAGACTCCTGCTACAAGTCAGATTTCCATACAGAGGAAATAAGAGATGACCCACATTCCCATATAATTCATGTACCCAGGTATAGATGAGTCTGCAGCGATCCCGAAAGCCTGTCATGGATGGTTCAATGATCATCAGCATGTGACGACATATGAAGAGTCTTGCACTGACCATGCCTTTAGCGACAATTATAGGACCCAAAACAGCCCAAGCGAGGAAACTCTGAATACCTCAACGGTCAGCGACGTATGCAGTCATAGTAACAACACATACTCCGCCGATGAAGCTATAAGAGGCATTGATGCCTGTGAGCATCCCTGCGCCAATAAACGCGGGGGTCCACTCCCAAATCCATCCCTTTCGGCTGCTAATCAGACAAACATCCCTATAACGGATGACAATGCTCACCCAACTCTCAGCAGCGATCGCTGAACTCCACCCAACTCGATTGAGAGCGTAGAAAACGTGCCAATCCCAAAGCAATCCTGGAGCATACTCGCTGACCACCCGTAAAGAAATAGCAATGATGAAGGAGTAAAACAGCGCCTTGGTTTTCTTCCTCGCTGTCGCTTCTGCGTTCTTGCCCGCATGCAAAGATTGAATCGTGTATGCAGCAGCCACGCCGGAGGGAAATACGAGTTTCAACTTCAATATGTAGAACTTCCTCAGCGGTTGAGTGAAACTCAAACCAAAGAAGGCGCAACAAATCGTAAAAGTGATTAGTCTGACAAAGTCGTCTTTGGGATTAACGCTCAGTAGCCCAAGTTGGTATGCGGCAGGGAAACCAGAGGTAAAGAGCAACCCTAAGCTTCCTGCTGACGTAGCAGCGGATTGACAAACATTGTTCTCTTTAGGCCCAAAATAGCCCCCGCCAAGAAACTTTGGTGCGCTTGTTGAGAGTGGTTTCAGGATCGCGAAGCCTAAGATTGAGCCGAACAATGACGCGCCAAACGTCCACCCCGTCTGCGTGAAAGGATGAGCGCAAGGATTGATATATTGGAAGGATAACTGACTTTGAGACCCAGATAGATGTTACTGGCAGCGATAATACCTCCCAATATGCAGCCAACCAGTACGGCTCGAACAGTTAGCTGTTGCTCCTCAACAGGGGCATCAGGATTCTCCGGAAATGGATCATCGGTGTTCAAGAATTGTGCAGGCGGTTCTTTGGAGTCACCAGACACGGAGGTAATCTCCGCAATGACGGCGCTCTTCTCCTCCGAGTAACAAGATATAGAGGGCACATAGGCTATTTGGTCCTGGTCTTGAGGAGCTGCAGTCGCCATGATTGGGTCACTAGGCAGACTTGGACTTGAGGTTACCACTGCTCAGAGAGGCGACATATATATACTATCCTCGACTCGTTCATGCCGATGTGCGAGGCATGAGGTTGGTCTTATCAGTGAGAGGTACTTCGGTGATAAGTCGTATTATTGGAACAGTAAAAGTCAGCTGTAGAATCCTACGGAAGCCCATCTGATTATTTCTTTCCCGTGGCATCTGATTGACAGCAGGAAATCAAAAAGTGCACATGCTCACCTGCTGCGGTGGTCCAAGATAGTTCTGTCAGCCAAAATCGCTGAGCTTGCGATTGAAATATAACACGACCAACCAGTGAAATGAAATGAACCCTGTCTACGAAATCATGCAGTGATTGAGCATTCGTCAAATTCATAACCCAGCATGAAGATTACATATTAGTACAACGCCACCCAGCGATAGGACAACTGGTGCTTAACCGCAATATATTCCCCCCGGACATCCAATTGTCGTTCCATGTACAGCACCAGAAACTCCCGTAATCGTCAACACTGCATTCACGATGCCACCCAGGCCCTCCCCAGCAATGAACCCGGCAGCTACAGCGAAGCAGTACATCTCATAGTGGTTGAAGAACCTGAAGAGCCTCTGTGAAGTTATCAAAATGCAGCGGGGAAGAATACTTACTTTCTACGCCAGAAGAAAGCGATCGTCGAGCCGAAGAACATAGCCATGGGATAGGTGCATACATCTTGGAGTGTGATAGCATTAGAAGTATTCAATGGCTTAGAAGTGTTTTTCCTTACTCATGATGAAACCGATGCCGATGGCATTGAAGTTCCTGAATGTCCAATTTGTAAGGCTTCGTTTTGGGGTAAGATGCAGGGAAACCTACGGAACCCAATTATGATATTTCGGCGGGACAACAGTATGCTTCGCGATAACCGAAATCACAGCCGCGATACCCAATCCTATTGCTGTATACCCTGATGATGGTGGGATGGGAAGGGTCGATGATGAAACCGCAACCCCAACTGCCTGTTGAGCCAGTCAGTAGCATGCAATGAAAGGTACAATTTCATGAATAAGAACCCACCCTCCAAGATTGTACATCAGGTGTCGGGAAACTGCAAGTAGTGTAGGAGAGATCATTGATGCATGGATATGCAGTCGAGAAAACGACGTAGACACTAGCGGCCATGAAGATAGACACGATGGCGCCAGTCAGCTGACCGCAGAAGACAGCTTTGGGGGAGGCTCTGAGAAGATGAGTCGCTTTGAGATCGCCAATCATATCAGCGGCTACGTGACAAATGAGTATCTGTGAGCGGCTCAAAGTATGATATACGGACCTTGCTCGGCAGCACCTAGGAATGACGCATACGTGTGAGGAGCAGTGTTTTATAGATGCCCGATACATACCTAAAGCAAGCATTCCCGATAACGAATTCAAGAGCTCGCCTCTCTGAACTGAGTATCCTTGCCCTTTGCCAATACCACCAAAAACCAGCTGGGAAGCATTACCTTTCGAAATACATGTCAGTATAGAATCACAGGTTCCCAGATGCACTCACCAATAGATGTCACAGGGTTGATGTTTGTGCGTCCAGCACTCTCGCATCCAATGAAGCTAAACATAAATGCGAAGACAATAGCTAAACTCTGACGTTCAAGCACTGGTCATCATGAAGGAGTCGTGTCTTACCTAGAATTGTGATACCAACTGTTCTGGCCATACTGGACACCCATGACAGCACATGTAATCACGATGCTAGCGACGAGCACACCGCCCCAGAGCCATAGTGGAACGCGGTCTTCAGGTGGTACAGGATCCAGGATCTCTTCTGCATTATTCTTTTCGTATAAATCTCCGTTGAAACGTCCCTTGAGTGTACCTATCGCACCGCTCACGGCCGAATAGATAGATTTCCAGTTGCAGGCGACCTCAGTGAAACTCGTGCAGAGTAACATGAGTGTACCAGGCCATACCTATACATGATGAATACATTGGATCTACGGTTTTTAGAAGATAGTCACTTACCAGCCAGTATCGCGGCGACGGATGATTAATGGGATCAGTCAGAGACCTCGAGATAACTGGTTCGACTGAGATGAACTTGAACAAGGAAGAAGATCACGTACATGGATGCATAGTTCATCTGCCCAGGGATGGATGTAGCTGCTGGGATACCGAAAGCCTGTGATCCTGTCAGATACTCCAGTGAGTAAGGGGTTCTGTGCACACCTTGCCCGTGTGAACAATAACAGGTCCAATGATAGCCCACGCAAGGAAACTCTGCAGGCGTTATATAAGATAGGCACGCAGAACATAACACGGACTCACACCGCCCAAGAAACTGTATGATGAGTTGATTCCTGTGAGCATCCCTGCGCCGATGAATGCCGGCGTCCATTCCCAAATCCATCCCTGCTGTACTTTAGAAGACAAGTTGATATCTCGTGTAACAGCACAGACTGACCCAACTCTCTGCAGCAATGATATATTTCCATCCTACTCGATTCAGCGCATAAAAGATATGCCAGTCCCAAAGAAGCCCGGGAGCGTATTCGCTGACGACACGCAAAGTAATCGCAAAACAAAAAGAGATCAGCAATGCCTTGGTCTTTTTCTTGGCGTCTGTCGCAGCGTTTTTGCCCACGTGAAGCGAGCGAATCGTGTACGCTGCGGCAACACCAGAAGGAAACACGAGCTTTAGCTTCAAAATATAGAACTTCCGGAGCGGGATGGAAAATGCAAGCCCAAAGAAAGCGCAGCAAATAGTAAACGTGAATAGCCGACCGATATCATCTCGGGGGCTTGCACCGAGGAGACCGAGCTGGTACGCAGCAGGAAAGCCAGAGGTAAAAAGCAATCCAAGACTACCAGCAGCAGACGCTGCAGATTGACACACGTTATTTTCCTTGGGACCAAAATAGCCGCCTCCAAGCCAGCGCGGTGCTGCGGTAGAAAAGGGTTTTAGGATAGCAAAACCTGCACATCAACGGTAAGTGACGCTAGCGCCGTACCATATGAACAATCAAACCAAATATTGATCCAAATAGCGATGCTCCGAAAGTCCACCCTGTCTATATGCATTTTCAGAATTCGAAATTTCCCAAAAGATATATACAGACCTTCAAACCTAAATAAACATTACTTGCGGAGATAACTGCCCCGAGTAGGCAGCCGACAAGCAGAGCCCTGACGGTCAGCTGTCTCTCTTCCACGGGAGAGTTGGGATCGATGGGGAAAGGATCGTCGGTATTAATGAAACGTCTACCAGACACGAATTCTTCATCATCATCCTGAGAGTTGCGCTCGACCGCGGAGATGTCATCACCAGCAGCTGATGACGAATACTTCTCACTCAAAGCGGAAAAAGCGGGGTCGTCAGGGCTGGATATACCACTCTGATGGATGCCGTTGGAAGTCATGTCGCACAGAGACGATATTGGATTATGCTGATCCGAGCTTTTATGAAAATTCTTATCTGGCATCACATTTTGAGAACATCAGGTGTCCCACATCCTTGTGGATGTTGTTGTCAAAGAAAACGTCTTGGCGAGCTGTGTGTGTGTGGCATAGTGCAATCAGTTCACCCATATCGTCGATAAGACTATTTTTGTTTCGAGTTCACCTGAAAGGATGTTCGTGTGCCCGCGGTCTAGGTAGGCCTACCACATGAAACGTAGTCATAAATGACAGCGAAATTAAAGCCTATCAGCACGAAGACAGGAAGATTCAGGCACTCACTGTCACTGCGACGTGCGTGGACCAACGTCAGAGATGATTGGTATGATGATGCGTTAGATACTGGAGATTAGATTTCCCATACTTCAACCTCTTACTAGTGACTGTCACAATCATAAGTGCGCAGGTTTAATACGAGGCAGGCTGAGTGCGGAAGCCCGTCAGAGGTTCAAGGTGGCCTTGGCGTTCAAGATAACCAGATTGTATGTAGTTCGGAATCGATGACAACAGCCTCAGAAGCATTGATGCGTCCCAGAATATTGCAACTTGTAGATTGAGGATTTGCATGATTTGATTCATAGTCGTATAACTTCTAGAGTTATCGTTTATGATCATCATCGTGATTGATACACCAATTATTCTCGGACGTAGCCGTGTAGATGGGTTGAAGCGGCGCCTTAAGCCCTCAACCCGGAAATTCGCGGAAGTTGTTCTTTCGTGTAAAGTCTAACTGTAAAGTCGGTCGCGTCCATGTCGATGACATCGTTTTTCTCGTCTTTCTTCAACACCGTGCACGGTGACGCGCCGGAGGAGAAGCCAGAAGATGAAAGCAAGGAGGTAGAAGTTGCTGAGGCGGAGGAACCATCGAAAGAGTCTGAGGAAGAGGAAGTGGAAGCCGAGGACGTATGTCTCTATTCTGGATACAAATACCGTCTTCTCCTGTTGATATGACTCCGGTCTATAGATCCACCCTGTTATTATAGAGGAGTGCAAAAACTCGGCAGCATGCGCTTCTCTAACGAGACATTTTGAACACTGTCAGGAGAAGGTACAATCTGGACAAGGCTTTAAAGGCGAGGACTGTGTGGAGGAACTGTGAGTTGTTATTTGAATATTGATCTCTGCATGACACTTATATGCTGTGATCATAGATGTAGGTCACTTGTGCTGTTATATACATGACATTCATATTGATTTTTCCTATTTCGACTTACTTCATATGCAGTCCAGTGAGTCGCCTTTTCTCATCTCCTTGACATTTTAGTTAACGGCGTAATATACAGCATGATGCACTGTGCCGACGTATGTATATTCTGTACCCTTGAGGATTCTCACTCAATATTCTACTCAGGCTTGTGCCGCACCAAAATTGTTCTCCAAGCTCAAGTAGACGCTGGGGTGAATACTACAGTGCGTTTTTCTGTCCTGCTCCTGTCCAGTATTTGAGTTGTTTGTCCCTATAGTTACAATACACGCTATCGTTCTCGAGGAGCAATACCATTGATCTGTCCTGTCACTATATCCTGCTGAGGGTCATGTTGATCGGTAGATGTGCCCAAATCATCATTTCGTATTGCTGTCGGGCTATCCTCTCGCCTGAACTGGGCATTATTACTATGTGGTTTTTGTTCCATTTATCCAGTTTATGTGCATGATTGACCTGGCCAGAAAGTCTGAGATTCGTGGAGTACGGGGACTCGAGTCCGCTGGACCGTTTGGGACCGCGTGCACCTGGATTGGCCTCTCCAGAGTAATCAGCAATCCAGCATACAGACGGGGACTCGGCTCGATGTGCCAAATGCCGTAGGCAGTCAGGCTTACCGTCATCTTATCCTTGTGCAGATGCGTCATTTTCAAAACAGGGTTATCTTTGAGGTGTTGTTTGGCAAGAGCTCCCTGATTAAATCATAAGACAAGTGGCTTGTATTAAAGTGCAGGCCCAAGGGTGGCTCTGACGATGCTTCGTGTGCTGTGATACCTGAGCACCCATGTTGATATTGTTGACAGCAGCAGTCCTCAACGAAGCAGGTGGTGGTTCCATTGGCTCCCCTTTCTTCATCTTCAGCTTGTCAGGTACAAGTCCCGGGTCGTATAATTCTCCAATTCCAATGGCGACCGTCTTCTTCCTTAGCTTGAAAACACGCTCGTCCTCGATATCGTCCACCAGCGCCAGTGATGCACGTTTCATGAAGACCCAGCCGTCTCTCCGACATCGGACACACGAGCCTCATTTCGTATCGGTGCAGGAGATGCCGATGTGTAATTCGGAACATACTGCCACTCTCATATTCGCTTCCGCGTGCTTTAGCTCAGTCGGCATCAGGAGTGGCATATCCATAATCCCAGCGATGCAGCCGTCGAGTATTTGGTATACGGATTGGTTGGTTTAGCCGGAGGTTTCTTCGGCGCTGGTGTTGCAGCAGGAGTACCATGCGAATTCCCCAAGTCCAGTAACTACGATGCGGCGGCGGCCTGAGTGGCGAGAAATTACAAATTGATGCACTTCGGTAATTCTTTCCATCTCACGCTTCTCCTCCGAGTCGTCCCTATCCTTCACGGCTTTCTCGTGAACCTTGTACAGCCCGCGCACGATGCGATCGAAATTACCTTTGTGACGCATGCCATCCTCGTCGTGCTGCCTAGATGCAACGTAGATGGAACACCATCTGCTATATAAATGTTGCAGTACTTGCAGTGGTAACATTTATGCGACACCCAATATTCTGACTCGTCGATGATCGCGGTGAGACACCGCGTGACAAACCCTTCTACCTGGGTATCCCTACGTAAGGTTTACACTTGACTTGGTCAAGAAGACTGCCCAAAGATGATAGGTTCAGGATCGATATTGATATTGGATGAAGAGTAGCAATAAGGCGAAGAGTCGCGGAAACGAGCACAGCCTGCAATGATGTAGTTCGGGTGAGCAGACAGGCTCACAGCCCATTGTGATGGGGCACAGCCCAATGCCCATGACGGGCGGGTGACTCACAATAAGTAGGGCTGCCGTACAGCCAAAACATGAAAGGGGGTGTACAAGCCCAATTAGGTTGACATGGACCGGTGCTGGAAACAAACGCCTCCTTGGGCGGCGGACTTATGTAAAAACGAAGCGTCGACGCCCTTAATGAAGCTTAATGCTGGTGACCTTTTCGAAGGCTCACGCGCTCACGATCCGTCCCACCGTGAAATCGTCTAGTCTGATTCTAGAATGGTCTGATCAAACGTTCATCATGAATGCGTTGACATAAACGGTGTAGCTCACTGCAAGGCCAGTGACACTTTTAGGCGTCGAATTGGTCATAGCGCTAATCTTTCTTCGGGAACCATCACGCACTTGCCTAAATCTGATACAGTACGCGCATATTCTAGCGCTCAACAAATGCATAATAAGTTCAGGGATCCCATGCGGAGCTCTAACCATGCTCCCCTCCGTGACAGAGTCGCTGGTCACCAGCACAACTGATGTACCTTCTGCAAGTCCTACCACCCCAATATACCCTATATTTAAATACACGTGTCCGTACGCCAAACACAAGGAGGGCAGGAATTTAGTAGTCTGTATTGATGGTTCATCGAACAGGTTTGGACTCAAGGTGCGTATCTACTCAACCCACTTCCTTTAGCTAACCACGACTGCCCAGAACACCAATGTCGTCGAACTCTACAGCCAACTCATTAAATCTGAAGACCAACTCACGTATTACAACAGCGGAATCGGCACCCACGCGCGCCCCTCGTGGCGCTCTCTCACATATGTTCATTATTGGCTGAGCAACAAGGTCGACTTGCTTATAGCTTGGTACGTGCACCGCCTAGAGTTCATAACCATTAACAAACAATTTTTCAGGAATCTCGAAACAGTAATTCTGGCAGCCTATCGATGGATATCAGAAAACTATAGGGAAGGTGATAGAATCTATCTTTTCGGTAAGGTTCTTGTGCTCCACGCAACGATGCCTCGGGTCACATTAAGTCGCCACAGGGTTTTCCAGAGGCGCTTACCAGGCCCGAGCGATTGCTGGAATGATACACCGCGTGAGTCGCCTGTATACTAACCAAAATAGGACGCTGATCTTATTAAAAACTTTAGGTCGGCTTGATCCTCCCCGGCAACAACGAGCAAATACCATTGTAAGCACAGTCCCATCTCGTCCCATCGCTCCCTTCTCATCCTGGCGACATCCAGCGCCTTCGAGCTATACTCAAAAATAGATGAAAAGGCGTCAAAGACAAAAAAATCTCGGCGCAAACACGCCTGGGCGAATGAACTTGCTGAAACGTTCAAAAGCACATTCTGCAGATCACACGTCCACATACATTTCATCGGCGTATGGTAAGCCCTCGACCTTTGGAATATGGATGGTATCTGTTTATTCATTCATGTCAAGGGATACCGTTTCTTCGGTTGGCGTTGTAAGGGGAAAGACCCTACCTTCGACCACTAACGGCGACCATCATATGTGCTATTTTAGACATGCTCTTGCTTTGGACGAGCGGCGAGTCAAATTCCTTCCGGAGTATATTCACGGTGCAAATACAGAAGGATCCCATTCCGATCGCATCAAGGAGGTCTGGTTTGCAGGTAGCCACTCGGACGTGTACGTCAAATGCATTGAAATATCCCCATCTTTCATTCAATAACGGATATTTCTAGTGGTGGAGGCAATCGACTCAACGAGAAGCTTCAATCAGGTGACATTCCATTGTTATGGATGCGAAAGGAGGCCGTCGAAGCAGGCTTGAGGATGAAGCCCACAGAAGTCGTCTGGAAGATGGATGACTTGCAGAAAAGGACGTTCGAATCACTGAGGAGAATGTGGTGGTTCCTCGAATTCGCTCCTGTTAAGCGAGTTATTTATGGCGCTCAAGACGATCACGCGTTCGGGTACGTGTCGTGAGCTTTTCGCTGTGCATCGACGAATTCATTCGAGTCTCCTCAAGGCTCCACCGTGGCGCGCCTCGGGTGATCCTCCCCGGACAGAAGATTCATGCTTCTGTCCTGTTCAAAGGCAACTATCGAGCCAAGGCTAAATTCTGGAGGGACTTCGACGTCTGGCCAGGATTGATGTACTGGAATGATCCAGCCAGTCAAAAACGACTTGCTGAATTGGGTCAGATGTGGGAAAAGGATATCTTTGACGCATCGACTGTGCCCTCACTTTTAAGAGATATCCAGTTACATGGAGTGGAGTGTTTCGACGCAGTTGACCGATTAGCATTCATGGCTTCATTTGGTGGGTGTTTTATTTCTTTATTGTGATTTGTCTTCTAAGTACCTTACAGACCAAGGACGGGCTGCGATTAAAAAATCGGACAGCTGGGAGAGCCGGTTAGATAGGTTAGTCCGTTGCAGCGACGATCCGAAAGTACGTGTCAGTGCTACCGTTGCACTGAGCGAGCTCTGTAAGACACGGTCAACCTATCACATGGACGTCTTCTTATTCTTTGCAGTGCCTACACTTGACGCGGAATACTTGGAAAAGGCAGCCACTGATGTGTTGGAAATGCTGAACAGCAAGGACGATATCGATCAGATTCGGGCTTGCAAAGCCCTTCCCGCCCTAGTCAAGCATGCTGCGGTAGGGAATAAAATCTTGAGCGAAGCAACATTCCAGCGTGTACTAGACCTCGGAGGGGTCTCCGAAACCGAGTCGTTGATGGTGCAAATTCATGCATCACAGACTTTGTCGTTGCTCGCTAGTCATGGTTCGTAATTCGGCCTACCGGACCGATATTCATTTCGTGACTGTGGGATATCTTCAGACGTGCATCGACCGACTGTGTCAAAAAAGGCCGCGAAGAGTATCATCGATCTTCTTGGTAGCGCACGTGAGTTTTTGATCGGAACCTTTTACATTCAAGTTGACATGACCTATCGCAGACGAAGAAATTGTAGTAGCCGCCTTACGCATACTTACTGCCCTAGTCCACGACGGTATTTTCAGTTCTTCTTTGAACGCAGCCGTACGATTGACAACCCGTTACAGCAAGCGCGCAAGCTGAGGTCCTAGTTCTAATTCCTACGCTCATCAAACATTTGAAGCAACACGACTTTTACATCTCGCCGCCGGTGGGCAATCTCATATGTGCATATGCAATGCATAGTAAGCTTCTTATGCCACTGTCGCTTCATTGACGTACTTAACACAAGATACAGATGAATTCCGCGAGCAATTAATCAAACCAGAAAGTGGTTTTCTCGCACTTCTGGTCAACATGTTGGAAAATCGCTTGACTGATATTGAGGATCCCGCCATCCAGATCCTTGGCCAACTTGCGGAACATGGTGCGGCATATGCACTTGCACTCATATACGGTACCTGATTAGCCGTTCTCCAGTTGACGTTCAGGTTGACTTGATTAACAATGGGCATGTCAAGAACTTGGTGTCGATGATGAAAAGCCGAAAGCACGAAATAAGTAGCGGAGCTATACTTGCGACGTTGTCTATACTCAAGCATGGTGAGTTTTTAATACGATAATGTCTCTTCAGCCGCCAAGCTTTTTTCAGCATATATACGACATCGGGCAATTGAGGAAGGTATCGTTGTTACGTTGGTCAATCATTTAAAACACCAGAAGAAATGTTTGTTTGCGGCTTATGCATTCTCTCGTATCTTGGACTACGGTCAGTTCTTCACGTGATGTCGTGATTGAATCTTTCTCAATGCAATCCAGAAAACATCAGAACAGCTATGATTGGGCAATCCGCTCCTGACTATATCGTCACCGCTCTCAAACAAGGATCTTTTAATGCGACGGTCGAGAATGAACCTGGCAAAGAGGTGCTCAGCAGTCTCATGCGCAACGGTAAGCTTGTGCGCTGCTGCGTTTCCTCTCTCGTGATCTCAACACTTTTATAGATGAACTGAGGGCAGAGGTTCTCGAAGCCCATACAACAGCCGCCCTTTGTACCATGTTCAAAAAGGGTGATCAAGCGTTGAATCATGCAGCATTTGACTTCCTGGACATCATGTCCGACTATCGTGAGCGTGCATCCTCATGCATGATAATTTATACTGAGAAAAGTGTAAAGCCGATGGGAGAGAGCTGATTAGAGGAGCTAAGATTCCCATATTCCGCGCCATAGTGGCAGCCTTGGACCACCAGAAGTGGGACTCACAAAGGAATGCTGCAATGGCACTTCATACTCTTTACGGGATTCAGGATCCTGAGAAAAAAACGTTTGTCATGCAAGAGTTCCAATCGGCCATCTTGTACGGAATCCCGCAGATACTGAAATTGTTGGTGCATGATCGGTCTTATCGCGTCGTTGGCGGTGCGGTAGCTCTCTTGGCATTATCTCATGACGGTATGTTGCATCGCACAATAGGCGCCTTATACATGCTTAATATTTTTGAAGAAACTGTACGGGCTTGTGTGCGAGAGCACGAAGATTTCAAATTTGCCCGAAGCGGGTATTTCTCAAAGAGCAGAAAACTACAGTACCATGGCTCAGACCCACGTGAAGGTGAGTTGTGCTTTTTTCTCGAACATTACGGGGATCTGACGTCATAACGCTTGCCATTAGAGGATGTCCACAAGATGCTTGACATATTATTTCCAGCCATGGAGAACGGCCATCACCATCACCATCACGGTGCCCTGAAGTTCCCAGACGTGCACCCAATGCCTGCCCGCAGTGCCTTGGTGAATTCCCTTGCGATTTTATCTTGCGTCTTCTACATTCCTTGTGGGCTTACGGCCATGTTGGCTGGATGGGCAATTGATGAGGCGGAAATGTAGCCCCACATGACTACAGAAACCATGTATTACAGAGTCTTGATAACGATTGAAATGTCAGAATCAAGTACGTTTCTTCTCGGCTGCTTTGCGCTTGGCCTCTATCTCTGCGGCCTTTGCTGCGGGATAGTGAGTACCGTTGTGTAAATGACTTGTGGGGACATTGCAGCGAACCTTCGGCTTCAGCCTTTCTCTTGGCTTGAGCAGCCTCCCGCTCCTCCTTGATCTTTTTAAGGCGAGCGAGATCAGACTTTGCTTCATCGGTCTTTCCAGCAAGATGTAGCTATAGTCGACGGTAGTGAGACAACACAATATGTCACTTCGGCAATTCAAACTGACCTTCCAGTAGCGATCCTTGGCTTCTTGTTTCTCCTTCGCCTCCCTGAGAAATAGACGGTCAACGACATTATTACCGAGGCGTAAACACTCACCTTTCTTTACGGGTTAGCTCACGAGGTGCCGCAAGATCAGATATATTCATCTTCTTCTCGACGTGGTTGGGGTTTATTAGATCTGCATCTGTATCGCTCTCTCCCTCCGCTGTTTGTTTCTGGTCCGCTTGTTTCTTCTTGAGCGCCTTCCGCTCAGCACGACTTAGCTCAGGCTGTGTGACACTGCCACCCCCTTCTTCCTCCTCTTCTTCCTCTTCCTCCTCTTCGTCTTCTTCCTCCAACTTGTCTTCGTCGTCGTCGTCTTCCTCCTTCGCCCTCTTGATCACGACGAGCCCTGATCAGGACAAACCATTGAACCGAATGCCATAATTATCTCCCAAGAATAAAAGACTCACCATCGTTTATCAAGCGACACAGCAGTTCCGTTCTCGTCAATTTCAAGGTGTTTACTAAGTTCAAACAACGCTATTCAGCGTTGACGATGGGATGACAAACGATGGGCGAAATTGCACCTGAAATTCCTCCCCCCACCGCGCTTGGTCTTAAACTTGCCTGTATGATAAAGTGTTCAAGATAACCCATCTTTGATCCCAGTCGGAAATGACTGTTTACCTGAGCCTCTGACCATCTTATTTTCTTGGGTGTGATGCTTGCGAGGAGTCAAGAATCGCCTTTAGGCGTGATAAGATAGATAACAACTAGCCAAAGTCAGTGACTCGGGGCAAAGCTTATGTCAGCAGCTCCACTCTGCAATTGCAACGACGCTTATACCAGTCAGTACGAGTTCAAGCCGACTATGACCACAATACCCTCCCGACTCGCGCAGATGACGCGCGTCTCAAGCAACCGCGGAGAAGCGCGCCTTCGAGCTATTGACCTATACAGGGCATGGGTCCGTGCTGTACGTGTACTACCGACTGAGCTAGCTTTCCACCCGACATTAACCGAACGATCCTTCAAGGCTCCTGAGATTTGTTCAATCTATGCGTTGAACATCACTCCAAACTACCTCCGCCAATCAATTCGCCAAAAGTTCGAGGAAAACCGCCACGTAACAGACCAGCGCGCCATCGAGGTGTTATTGCTCAAGGGCCAGCAGGAATTGCAGGAGACATTGAACTGTTGGAAACAACCGGATCATATATATGGGATTATGCTCCAAAATCGTCAACGGCCACAACGAACGTTCTTGCAGAAGTTTTATGAGGGTGAATTTCACTTTGTCTTTTGTATTCGATCCCGCTCATATGGTGTACCACGATAGGTCGTGACGAGGACGCTGTTCTTCCCGCTGCATCTGGCACTGTATAGAACATACTTAGATGAGAATGATTTATTTGCTTCCTTCTGGTACCGCCATCTCCTTTCGAGGCATTGATTGTGTAGATTTACACGTCATTGATGGGTGCATAATGCACCACTTGCGCGGCCATTTTGCTGTCCAACTATTTTAGCCCACCTCTTGGATTTAAAGTGACCTGCAGGCGCCTACACATTCTACAAGGTGTATCAGCAGTGACAGATGTGACAAAGCAAATATTATTGACAACATTTCTGAAGATACTATCGATTGGCTAGCGTGTTAGTAAATGTACGTATATGATTGATACATGATGTAGATTTCTTCGCGAGCGAACATGGTCATGACAGGCAGTCAAGCGGGTCCGGCTCGCTATCGTCAATCCGATGCAACGTTGCGCTTGCCTTGATGCGGTCTAGGACATCCTTCGGCGGACCTCTGGACTTTGACTTGGAGTTGGGCTATAAACAGGCTTGTGAGAAAAGATCAGGACACTAGCTATATAAATAGAACCAACCTTCCCCGTTCTTGACTTTCGCGAAGGAAGGGCGTTCTCTTTGTGTCTCTCGGAGGAAATGTACACGCTGAAATCGCAGATTATTGGAGCGCTTAGCCAGTTTTTGCAATAGAACGTACACTGCCTTCGGTTCGTCATCAAACCTTGCTTTCTTTGAGACAGATTTCACAGGCATGCGATCTTCGTCATCCGATTCCTGTGGGCACGCCTTTTTCCTCTTTGTGTCTTGTTTTGTAGGTTTTTTGACAGCAGCGTCTTCGAGATCAAGTTTCGATATCGCAACAGATAAAGATAGAGATTTAGCGCTGTGAGATTTGGACACTTTAGGCTTCTTGAGAGGCTGTTTCGTATCTCCGCCAACATCGTCATCAGGCGCGCTGCGCTTGGGGTTAGTGGACGACTTCTTCACGGGGACATCAACGGTCAGAGATCCATAATTTTTGGTTTTCATCAATTTTGGAGACTCATCGACTTCTGTCCACTTTGAACGTTTCGGCACCAGAGAAGGATTTGTCGGCTCTGCTGTTAAATGAAAGTATTGAGATGATGCTCGCAGCGTTTCATACATGTATGAAAATGTCACCTTCATCTGAGTGCTCCTTGCGAATGTCTGTGCGTCGTTTGGCTTGTGCCCGATTAAGTGGAGCATCTTTGGCGGAAGGCCGTTTGTGAGCAGACTTCGGAATCGCGCGAGGCTCAGAGGCTGCAGGTTTATTGTCAGGCATGGGCGCATCCTCGTCATCGGGATCGATTGTGACAATGATAGGCTTGCGTTTAGAGTGTGTCTTGAGTCGGGGAGCTTCTACCAGGGTGCCTTCGTCGTCTGATCGAGGTACCTGCGCTAATTTGGTTTTGACTTTAGATATATCGGGTGGCTCTGGCTTTGCTACCCGCGTCTTGCAGTTTGATAGCTCAGCATCAGCATCGATATCTGGATGAATAATCGTCTACATATGCAAAAAGATGATGTTGATGGACGTGCCATGATCATTAGCTTGAGGTTTGGTTGTCGGCGGCCGTCCTCGGCGGTTTGGAGCAGGTTTGACTTTGGTTGTTTCTGCTTCTGAGACATCGTTACCTGACAACTAATATGGGAATAATCTGAGCAGAATGGAAGAGAAGCTAACCGTCAGTAGCTTTGACCTTGCCTTTACCCTTGCGAGTAGTAGGACCTGCTTTCTTTGTCTTCGCCTTCGAGATTTTGCCTCCGGACTCAGTAGAGGGACCTTCACGATGATCGACCGATGACGTCGCGCATGAAGTAGTGATACACACCTGCTGCTGCGTTTTCACTGATGAAGCCCGCTGGCGCCTTTGTGTTGGCTTTTGAGCGTGAAACCTTGTCATTGGTAGGACTCCCTTGGGCTTTACTGGTCGTCTTGTTGCGTTTAGCCTTTGATGTGCTACGGCTTTGGTGGCGATAGGGTGACTTTGTGGCCACTTTTGAAGGGGACTCTCCAGAAACAGTACGAGCCAACAGAATATCTTTAAGGACATTCTTTTCCGAAGGAACAAATGCACTTCAGAGGACGATTGAGGTGAGTTCAATATATAGGTAGCAGGGACTTAGTACTGACCCTCCACGATCCCTAAATCGTGCCTGCTGTCTCTGAATACGCTGAGCCTTGCTCTCCTCCACAGATACAGGCAACATCTAGAGCTTACGAATAAGTAGAAGAAAGAGAAAGCTAAGCTAGCCCAGGCGTGTCAAGAACTGAAGTCATGTGATAAGTGAAAGTCAATCATGTGATACAAGATTGTCCGCGTCGTTGACTATAGTCTATTTTGCTTTACTTACTTATCATTTGCAGTCTCTTTTTCCTACCGAGTTGAAGGCTCGCGACTTTTATATAAATATAAATCTTACCTGTTTACAGGTTCGCCCAGTATGGCCCACTGCATACCAATAAACAACACGTCCGTCACGAATCACGAGCAGCGTCTCGTTAGCTCCGTGAAGAGAGAGATCCCACGAGCTACCCTTTGGGGCCAATGATAGGCTAACATATTTAACCTGCACAGTGCGTTATATTCCCGTACAACAACTTTGCAATATTAATCATCAACAGCGATGATAGTTCGTTTCGACAGCCTCTTGGACACAAGCTTAGTGGACAACGAGCAAGACTGATCACAGACGATAATCTTCAGACAAGTTTAAACATCCACATAATTTCTCGAGAAGTATTACCATTTGTCCAAAATTAAATGTACTGCCTGAATACTCAAATCCTACAAAAAAACCCCTTCAATACTTCGTACGATTCAATTTGACAAACAGAGCAAAGGGCCATCCTAGGCACGCAGGCGAGTGTCATGTGGTTAAATCCTGGTTGCACAGCGACCTGCTCATACTTACGCCATCACCCTGACAAAATCAGACAAAGCGGGTCAACCTCCTTTCTGGAAAATCTTCCGTTCAGCCTTTCGTTTTCTCGTTTGGCCCAAAAGCCAGCCCCCGGACCCTGGTTATATCACGCCCTCCGCAAATTTTCTGCCAGCATCGGGTACCGCCAAAGAGCTATTCATTCTATCCGACAAAGAACTGTCCTGGAAATCTACTGCCCCCCAAACCAACCAAGTTCTCATGTCCTGTTTGACTCACCAGATAAGATGAACTGTTCTCCTCGAGGCTCGCGTGTTAACGATCGCTTCTCTGACCGACTTGTCGGATATTGCTGTGAGCACAGTGATAATGCTTGATTACCTGGAAATGCTAAATTTTGGTGGTGCTGGGGTGAAATTTGTGCGTGGAGACGAGCCGTGGTTAAGAGCGCGTTGGTACAAGGGCATTCTTTCATATGGATATGGATCCTGAAACTCGCTTGTCTGTGGTAAAAATCGAGCGAAAGTTAGGGATGATCCGTAACTTGAATTACAGTAGTAACTTGCATTTGGCAAGCATGATATCTTATAACTTTTCCACTAGAACCGGTGAACAGCATCTGGACTACTGCTTGCCTTAATGATCATTGTCCTCCTGCGCCAGCATAGTGTGGGTGGTACTCAACTGACGTATATGGTAGTGCATTGCAGTCTGTTACAAAATCCTGAGTGCAAGGGTAAGCACTATCGGTACAATTCCAAGTATATGCGTTCAATTTGTCCAGCGATGAAAAAACTTGATGCAATCTAATAACTAGGTAAGTGAAGAGGCGAATACTTAGCGTGATAGATAGGAGATAACGATCGAGTAAGTGCTATGTACTTGAGTCCCAACCATGTTTTGAAGGGCTCCCTGGCTCTTCGAGCCGATGCCGCAGTCTAGGATCAATAGTAGCGTCCGGTGGTGTTATCGGGGTGAGGGACTGCGGAGGGTGTTCAGCGACTCCTTCCTTCGGGGAAGGATCAACATCGTCCGAAGAATGTTGCGGGTCTTCCAAATCTTGCATTTGTACATCACCTCTGTCCGCATCATCCGCTTCACTCTCTGATCCATCACCGAGATCCATTGCTTCGTCGACCGACATTACCATAGGCACGTCGCCTCCCTCTTCGTGATCATTTTCCTCGATCGCGAGCGAGGCCGCTGGTGCAGTAGACGATGAGGCTTTCCGCTTAGATTTCTCGTGCTTCCGGAGCACCTTAATGATGTATTCCTTCGCAAACTTCTTGATCTTTGCCGTCTTCTCGTCAGATAGCACGTCCAGTTTTCCATCTTTATAGCTAGAAGACTTCTTCTCCTTCTCAGCAATAATGTGCGTGAGCTGGGACATGAAATCAGTGGATAATCCCCTTGTAGAGCAGTAAGATGACACCCACCTCCTTGGCATATTTCTTGAACTGGTCGTGGTCAAGCTGCTTTGAATATTTGGACATGCATTTGACGACGACAGCGCCCACGAGTTTCAATAGTCTCTTCTCCTTATTGGCCTCCTTTTCGGCTGCTGTCTGAGTCTTCCTCGGAGGTCTTTCTTTCTTCACCTTTTTCTCCTCTGGAGGAGGTGACGGGGGAGGGGCCTTAGCGGCCTCCGCCTCGGCAGCGGCTTTTGCAGCGGCGATGACGGCAGCAATTTCATCTTTCGATCGCCTGTTAACCACCGGCGGAATGTAAACAGGTGACGACCACGCTTGTTGTTGAACAATAAAAGTAGAGTTAGAGGGTGGGCGTTTTGGGGCGGGGCGGAAATGGTGTTGTTCGTACTGATCTTCCCATTTCGGCTTCTTGAGTGGGCGGAGTTCCCCTTCTAGTGATTCGATCATGGCAATGTGGTGCGGAGGTTGTTCTTCCTCGCCATCCTGCATATTTTTCGTGATAATGTGCTCTTACTGACTGAAAATGGAATATTGACTTACAGCTTTAATTCGCTTGGGAATGCGATATGCGATTTCGAGGGTGTCCCAGTGGTCCAATAGCTGTAGATATCCCGTTAGAATGGTGGTGAGTCTGTAATGGTATTAACGACCTTCTGGGCAAGTCCTGTCATGTTCTCGTTTTCCGACTCCAGACACATGCGAACAGGTATGGTGATCTTCGAATCGTCAACTTTGTTCCTCTGGATAAGCGGCCAGCGGCTCATGGCCTCCAAGGCCTACAACGGGTACGTTGGCATGCGACCACCCCTACTTGAGAATAATAACTCACGGCAATTGTAATATCAACGTCTTTGGAGTGATCTTCGAGAATATTGTGCATCAAACTGAAACCTCGCAACCGCATAACTTGGCGCAATGCCGCTTGGTCCTCAGTAATCTGAGAACAATACATTAGGCTTCCCATCAAGATCGATGTGAAGGCATACCTTAATTCGAGTAAGAAGTTTGAAAAGGACTTTTTTGCTCTGCGTTTGCCGGATTGCTTGAACCAATTTAGGAATGTCCTTCTCAAGAAGTGGTTTGAGCTCTGGCTGAAAGATGATGAGTAAAATAAAAGAGAAAACGTTTACAAGGCATACCATGTAATCCTCGTCAAGCTTTCTACCCTTCTTTTTCTTATTACCCTTGAGGCCAAGCTTCTCCACTTCGTCGGTAATACCCAATGCTAAGATAGCAGAAGCATTAGCAATCACAAGGAAGGTATTCACTGGTAGGCGCACCATCGAGATAAAGGTCATCCATCCCAGCAATATCAGTCTGGGTCTTACCACCCAGGAAGCCGACACAGTTTGCCTCTCCGCAGTAACACGGTTGTGCTTCATGCCTTGAATGTATGAGCTCGCCTGAGAAATCAATAAAGAACTAAGCATACCCGTAACGGTCCACATTGTAATTGAAGGTGAGTTCCTCATCTTTACGTATGTACCTGTTTGCGAAGATGCCCATGCGGACGTGCTTTCCCACCGTCCACTTCGCGACGTAGCAGTTCGGGTTGCAACTATGATTTGCGAATCTGCCGATGCCACCTCGCTTTGTAGCATCGATGTACTGGAAAAGCAAGGGAGGACCATCAATGATCTGTCGAGAAACCAAAAGATGACGCAATGTACTTCATCTTTCTGCAACATCATGAAGTAAAAGTGCTTGACTCCTTCCTCCCCATATTGACGCATACGCTTCATAAAGGAAGGGTGACTGACGACATCGCCGACATACTCATAGATAAACGTATCCCTAGCTGATGTGAGGGACTTATAACGCTTCAGAAAGAATGGGATATCTCACTTTGAAAGATCTGTGGCCGTTCGAAGACCAAAACCCTTCTTTTCCGTCTGTACTATCTCGATATTGGCGTACTCCTTGCGCTGAAACCTGAATACGTGCAATTGAGGATATAGCATGTTAAAAGACTGACGAAACGATAAGCTTACCGTTGATTCTGGCAGTAAACATGACACCGACAGTCATCTGGGAGGCACTCCACCTGTGTGAGCCGATTGATACAGTCTGACTCATGCCCACAGGCATCCGATGGGTCGTCGACACCTGCGCAGTAAGAACTTAGAGTCTACTACTACCCTACTCGAGATGGTATCAGACCAACCATGCTCATATTGACAGTCACAAGTCATACTCTCTCCCTCCTCTCTTGAGCGCCCAAGCGTCCCATACTGATAGTGGTTGTCAGGTATCTGTACAAATGTTGCGTGAGCGGCGGGTTCCGCGCGCGGAAGGTCGCCAATGAGCTGTGGGCCTGTTGGTCTTGGTTTTACATTGACTGCGGATTCAGAAGATTCTCGTTTGAGGGGCGGTGATGGCTCCGGCTTCGAGGGCTTAGTGTCTACTGGAGGGGAAAGAGATTCCTCTAGCTTGATATCCTCCTCTGGCTTTGGTTTAATGTCCACAGGGGGGCTCTTGCTCTTAGAGCAAGATTTAGACATTGTGGTAGGGATATAAGTGCTCGAAAGCGTGAGTCCGCGGTTAGAAATGGGAACAAGACCTCTGACGAAGGAGAGGTCAACGCTAACAACAACAACTTCAACTCCGAATCCTACTATACAGGCGTATGTATGCCTATGAAGCGCTGTAGCATAAAGTATAAATGAGTTCATATAAGTTTGAGCAAGTGAAACTGACCTGTTGTGTTGTAAAAAAAGTCACGGGCTACGGCAATATTTATCGTGGTGAGCCCGATCTTCCAGCACGCAGCCACCAATGGCTGCGATGACAACTTCCAAGAAGCGCAAGCGCGAGTTGGATGACACTCAAAAAGTGTCCTTTGCGCTTTCAGACCAGCCTGCAACGCAGCTGGGTCCCGTTCTAGGTGAGTGCAGATGGTCGTCACAGTTGAAGCCTTTCAATTCAAGCAAAGCCGGTGGTGCCACGTCCACCTACGTCCACTAGCTAATTTCCCCTCCGTCAAGCCCACAAAATCTACTTCTTTCAAATGTTACAAGACACAAACACAAAAGCCGACGACGGACAATGAGGAAATGCCATTCGCTGATATCCCGATGCTGATTGCGGGCGAGACAGAAGCCGTGGATTTTTACTCCTCTGAAGAAACACAACGGGGTTCACAGGGCAGCAGGTGCGTGCATATACTCATTTCTGAATATTGGATCTTTATATCTATCTTTTCATCATTTATTTCGCAGATACCTTGTCGGAATTCATAATAAACGCACTGGCGTCACAACCCTTCGAGCTGCTCCGTTGCACATTCTAACACACGAAGTTAAAGCCCTCAAGGGTCTCCAGCCTGCTGCTGTCTCCACTCTTCAGCGGCTTGAGGCCCGTGCGGCACTTGGAGAAACGTTCGGAACCAAGAAAGCGAAACTAGCTATCCGCGCGCAAGAGCGCAACAAAGTCGACGTCTCTGCAATGGAGGGTGTTGCAGATCACCTTCAAGAGAGTATTTTAAAGAACACATCTACACTACCATCAAAAGGTTTGTTTGTTTTCTTGCCTTCTGAACTCATACTCAGTGGTCTGCCTAGAGGAAGCAAAAGCAAATGCGGACAGTACTCGTTTAGTTCCGCAGTACGACGTCGATGCTCTCAATCCAAGCGACATTTATCCCTTGCACAACATGATCCCCAAGCCTGAATGGAAGGCACTGTCCATTTCTGCTTACATGAGTGCAGGCGATGGATCTCAGCGGGTTGCTCTTCTCCCGTTCAAGCGTTCCAACTGGATTAATGATCATTTGACGCTCGCATTTGCCTCTCCCTCACCAAACAAGACCGCCATGTATGTACAGGTATTATTTAGCACTAGAACCCACTGACAGTGATATTTACAGAAAAATGCTCATATACATCTCGACAATGATCGCCTTTCACAAGGCTACCTTTAAAGATATCAACAAGGAAGTCATTCAACAAAAACTCCCGATGGTTCCTAGCATCGTTATTGACGGGCTTCTATCACGGTTCACAGAAACAGCACGCGGGTCCACGGAGTACGTCCTTATACCTTCCTGGGTAGTGGCCCTCACAATTTCCCAGACCACGAAAGACAACTGAAAAGGGGACCATGCTTCTGACACACATGTTTGCATTATGCCTTCACGTCGATGATTTTGCGACAGACACAAGCGTTATCGCCGCTGATTTGAGCATGGAACCAGCGAAGTAAGTCTTTCACCAGCAATAGTCGTGCACAGAGCTCATACCCTGGCAGAGTCAATATGTTATTCAAGTCTTTAGGTACGTGCAGACTGATTTCGATCGTCCTTATTCCTCACCGACCGTGTTCGCCTTACCAGGTTGCAAAATCAACAAGCTGACACAGTCCGACTTGAAGCGTTTGGGTCTGCCCGATTCTGCTGGAGAGGTGAAAAGGGCCATTCTAAAGACGCCTCTAGAATTCCCGAAGCCGCGGATGAGACGCCGGGCGTAAGATCTGAGTGCCTTTACCCGAGATCATTCCATTGGAGTGTCTGATTTTTACTTTCTTCCACGGAGTCGAGGATATTCACTAGGCCTGGCCTGGAAGGTGTTGGAACAATAGTGTCTATAAGAAGACTAGTGCCATATTAATTCCACCTCATGGCGCCTCTAGCATTAACATGTTAACACGGTTGTTTGCTCCTGTTCCTTCTAGTGAATCAGTGGAAAAAGCAGAACGGCATAATTTCTACAGTATTAAAGTTGTATTAAAGCATGAATAAGCGCTGAGTGCTATTGCCCCACCACGTCATGCTGTGTGCAGAGATTGCATAGTAGAGTAAAGGACCGTAAAATTTATAATAGTGAATTCCAGCTGCAAAGTATCGGGGCATGATTTTTTTCTTGAGAGTTGTATGGCAGAACGTTAATTTGCCAGAATCTTTGTCATTTCTCGCACAGATGAGTATGGAGACAGCTGCGGATTAAACTGTTACATATCCTACACCCATACTTACATGGAACAACGCGGGATTGGCTCGATATCTACACTCGACCTTTGCATGGTAGCAGATCACACCAATTTGATTACTACCTTTCCGACATGCTTCTGGCTCTCGAGGTACGCATAAGCCTCAGTAGCCTCCTCGAAGGTAAAGACTTTGTCTATCACTGGGCGAATTCGACGCGCTATAAGGAGTCGGTTCATGTCCTCAAACCTACCAGTCGCCTATCAGTACAGTAAAGATATGGAAATTAGATCATACTGTTTGACAGAGCCAATCAAAATTCCGCGGAAGGTGATCGTTTTCATGATCGCAAAGATCACAGGAATACCGTTATCGCCCTATATAATTAAGTAGCGTTAATGGTATCGATAAAGATACCGATGTGAAGCATACCCCGGACACGACGCCGATGACATGAATCCACCCAGCATAGCGTACGGCATTGGCACATTTCAGTATAGTATTAGGCCCCCCAACCTGCATCACACTCGATTAAGTTCGCCACGATTATGCATTTTTAGGTAGACTTACTTCAACGATGTGGTCAACGCCACGGCCGCCGGTCTATATATGTTAGGCGCTAGTACGAAGGCCATCAAAACAGACATACAATGTTCAAGACTTCTTCGTCCCATTTAACGTTCTTCTTGTAGTTAATGGTATGCTGCACGCCCAATTTCTTTGCAACTTGTAACTTTTCGTCAGAAGATGACGTGACGATGACGGTAGCACCAGAAGCAAGGGCGAATTGGGCAGCAAAGCTGACAGATCCGTGTTTACACGAGTTAATATGGTTAGTGAACTGTCACGTACATCGAAACGCCCCCGGTACCAAGAACGAGGACGTAGTCACCGCCTTTGAGAGGGACGGGTCCAAAACAAGCGTTGTAAGCTGTCAACGCCGCGCATCTAGCGAAAGTGTGAGCATGTGTCAAGATAAGGACAGACAGTCAACCTACGGAAGAGTCGATGCTTCCTCGTATGAAAGATATTCTGGGATGCGAACCAACGACTTAAATAGACATTCAGTCAATACGACACTAGAATAAATAAAAAATAAATAAAATACGTACGTGAACGGGAACGTTGATGTATTCCCGAAGCACGCCATCTATGTGGCCACCGAGTCCAGTTAGTTTGATTTCTTCAGTGATATCGCCATGGATATGATCCAGTGAAAAGTTTGGACAGACACGATCTCCAATTTTCCACCCCTTGACGTCTTGCCCAAGTGCCACAATCTCGCCTGCGCCATCAGAACAAGGAACGATGTCATGCTCTTGCCTGTTGAATCAGTGTTGAGCGTGAATTCCAACTTCAAAAACAATACTAACTGTGGGTAGATTCCTTTTGAAACCATCAAGTCACGAAACTGCGAATACGTTGAATGTCTGGCAGTTGAATACTTAAAGGACAGACCTGCAGGGAGACAGCATGTATTTTGATGGTCACTTCTGTAGCATTTGGCTTAGAGAGAGTCGTTGATTGAAGCTTCAAGTTCTGATAGCCATCACCCTACCTCAGTGTTTGCAAGTCAATGCCGACCTCTGTTGGTAAGTGTACAAATCATGCGCACCTGGGTTCGATATTCACGAGCAGTGGTTGGGACAGACATTGCTGCTTCCGAAATCAGCTGTGTGCGTCACAGTCAGGTAATCTTGTGGAAGATAGAACATCAGTTCTTGCAGACTACCACTTACTTATATTGTAAGAACAAGGTTAATGATGGAAGTGCCACGACCGTACCTGCGGCTCAGACCACCACATACTTATAAGGTTAACAATGGAACCAAGTACGTGTGAATGCATGTTCCTGAGTATGGCAGCACCTGCGACTCGGAGTAGATAGGTGACCGGCGTGTGTCTGAGTCAAGTTATTTGACTCGGGTTACTATACAACCGAAAGGGTTTGTCCCCAATGATGGTTAACCCTGCAGGGAGGTTAGGAAGAAGGTTCATTACCGATTTAGCTTTATAAGGACCTGCATGTCGTCATTTACCCACGTGCTACATACATAAATACTAGCTACTACGTAAGGCACTTAGATTTACATAACCAGCCAACGTTAGTAACAACGTTCACTAGCACTAGGCTGCATCTGACGCTATCGCAGCATTGGATGTCGCCTCAAACAAGAGTCGTTTTGCAGTTCGACGATTAGTCAAATGGAATCAGCGGCCTTTCAAACGATTGAAGCGCATCCGGGCTGCTTAAGTCTATCCTCAGTGAATTGGAGTGCGTCACTGGTTCACCCCCCAGTAACACTAAATACAAACCCTTCCGAGTCCTTGGTCATCTTAGACGGGGAAACCGCTGAGCCCAAAGGCAGATCCTTCAAGAGAATTGCCTAGAGACATAGGCTGATGAGAAGATGAATGCTTACGGCCCAGATGTCTTATCAGCTTTTGTCACCCCTTGCAGCTACCCTCATGGCCATGGCTTACAGTGCCATCAACCTTCTTTCCTATGCCCACCGACGAGTCACGCCTTACTACCACTGACAGACTTCTTGATTCTCGCCTGCGCGACCAAAGTCGGGAGTTTGTTCGAGGAGTATACGTAGAGCGCTCGAACGTCCAAGTCACGGTGGTTGCAAAAGACACGCTGATAGGAGGCTGCCGCGCGCACATGGGCAGCGAGGAGCGCTTGAGCGATTCGGAGCTCAAGTGGAGAACGCACAGCACAACACCATGAAAAGCTACAGCTATGGTGGGGAGTCAAAAGGTTACAATTGCAAAAGGAGGACTAGAGACACGGATCAACGAACAACGCACGCAAATAAGAGACTGTTGAGCGATACCGAGCGATTTGTGGAAGTGGAGCACGATTCACGCGTTGCTTCTGCAGGATCAAACGTTTCGTCCTTACATATGTTAGATGAGTAATGTTTATACTCTGGATAGTGTACCTGTAGTAGCGTAATATCCACATGTACAACTGGTAAACAAAATAAATAGCTCATCGTCACAAAAAAAAGCTAGACCTGATTCAGGGGTTCGTAGCCTCTCCGAGTGGAGCCCATACCCATCCGTATGCTGAGCTTGCCAAGCAGACTCTTACTCCTGCTGTTGTGAGGGCTTTCGTGCTCGTGCTCAAGGTCGCCCCGTTCCGCTTCCTTCCGTTTCTTGGCCTCCTCAAAACCTTCCAAGGGCACATCATACACCTGGCCGTACTCCACGCCAAGTTCCTTTCCCATACTCCAGAAATCCCTGCAGTTCCGTACAGCTCCGAAGTCAAATGGATTCCGTGCATGCGAGGTGAGTCCACGTGCGGCACGTCCACGTGTGAACCGGTCGAGGCCGAGGAGGTTGAGTAGGAAGGCGGTACATGTTCCAGGTGCTGTGAGGGTCCCGCAGAAGGTGTGATTATGTGCCTGTTTGTGGGCACCACCTTCTGCTTCGCTGTCGCTGTCGCTATTCTGCTGGTGAGCGCCATGGTGGTGCCGATGTCCCATTTGAACACCGGCACCTCCACTACCAGCAGCTAGGGTACCACGGCCGCCCATGAAGCCGAAACGCCCGATGTTGGAGACCTCGAACGTTGTCAGCTGTCTGGTCACTTGCCAGTACTGTGTCACGAGGAGCACGGAAGTCCACGTCAATTGCAGGGCTGACCATAGCGAGACGCAAAGAAGGAATGCATCCTTCAAGGCTGACTCGCAGAGGATTGCGGAGCAGTCAACGGGTTCGGGCAATGATACCGACGAGAAGTCTGTCATTACTCAGATAAGACTCTTCGCAAAGATGATGATCGAGGACATACATTCATAAACGAGGTAGTCGAACAACACAATATCGATGACTAGTGTCGACACAAAAAGTAGAAACTGCCTGTGGTTATTTGCCCCAACTACAAACTGCGTCAGAGTTGGAGTGCTAGTATTCAAAGAACTTGGCTTACCACAGTTCCAGACCCACGGACAATGACTATGACACGAGAAGTTCACTTTTGTAGCTCTCTAAGAAAGGACAGGACGTACTGGTCGCTCCGCGCTACACATCGATCACAAACACGGCAATGTTTTGACCGTAGGGGTTTCCTTGCCTGCATAAAATGTTGACATAGGTTTGCACCTTACAAAATTGACACGCACCATGCATTGTATGCAGAATGTTTGCCCATTTAGTCTGCCCTCTGAAGCAAGGTCTTCGATGATCTGAAGTCGCCGTCACCATGCGCAGATTCATTCTAGAATGTCAATAGACTCACTGCCTTCAATTCTCCGTCGTGTGCTGGTCGTGGGCAAACGCCTGGGTCCAAAGTAACGGCACGGAAGAAGTTATACAAGCATAGACCAAAGATGATTGCGAAAGCAAGGTGGACAAAGGCATGCGATTCTGTCTCTGTAATGATGTCAGCCCGCGGCTGCAAAAGTATAACGTATGGCGTACGCTGCACAAGTCGTGTTATCCAGCAGTAACCAACCCATAGCATCGACCCTGCGATGATGCCTGCAAAATATGGGCTTTGGTTTACAGTCCCGACGTAGGTATTCTTATTCAAGAGTACCCGCGTTACAATCTGCTTGTCATGAGCCACCGCATGGTCATAGCGAGCTTGTGGACACCTACATGATGCATGGCAAAAAACTCAGCCTATGGCGAGTATAATGCCGGTATACCACGGCAGAATAGAAAGCGTTGTGAAAATGAAATATAAAAACAAGGAAGGTAAAATGAAAATAGCGATTTTGGTATGGCGCTAGAGCTGAATTAGAAATTACAGAGGAAGATCAAAGGGAGTGGACGGACCTCGTTCAATGGTTTCGCTTTGACCACACCATGTTCCGTCATGCCACTCTCTTCCATGGCTCTCTTCCACGCTCCTAGGCTCTTTAACTCGACAGCCATGTCTCTTGGTGTACGGCCTTCAAGATCTTTTACATGCATGTCTGCCCCCATCTCGATGAGGCGCCGGAGGATAACTCTATTGCCTCGGACCACAGCCCAGTGTAAAGGAGTAAGCCCAGCATCATCTTTCAAGTTAGGATTTGCGCCGTGCTTGAGCAGAAGATCCACAGACAATGCATCGCCTTGATATGCCGCCCACATCAATGACGTATGACCTTGCAAGTCACGAGAATCGACGTTCACAGGCTGATGCAGTAAGTAAAGGAGCGGCATTACTGATGATGAGTGTGTTACGAGGTGGAGGGAGTTGTAGCCTTGGGTGTCAGCGATAGTTGGATCAGCATTGTGGGATATGAGCAGTTGTACGATGTAGAGGTATCCATTGCGGGCAGCCCATTGCAGAGGAGTGGCCTTTAAGTCACCCCCTATGGCGTCTATTTCCGCGCCCTGTTCTATGAGATAGCGACAGGTTGCAATCTGGGCGTTGATTGCTGCCCAGTGAAGAGGAGTGCTGCGGACAATCCATGAGTGTGGCAAAAGGATTTGTGGTTAGGCTTACACATTCTGGTCATCTCTGTCTGTGACCTTGCATTTTCCTGACTCTATGAGCTCACGAATGGTATCGAGATCTCCGCGCTGTGCTGCTGAGATTATTTCTGCCTGTGGGACCGTGAGTTGGAGCCTGTAAGAGTGGACTAATACTAATTACCACGGGTTCAGCTGGCGGTTGAGAGTAAGATATGTTGGTTGCTGTAGCTTGCTCATGAATTACTTGGGTTGTAGGGTCGGATTTTTTGGGTTCGTTCATGTCGTTCGTGCGGTCGTTGGCTGTCGTGGTCGTTCGAGCTGAATGCCATCCACGTGGGTTTATTACGTGACGACGTGACGTGACTATCATCAATAACCCCTAGGCTCGGGTTAAGGTTCCACGACTTCTCACTCTTCCATGACCGCCGCAACAGAAGTGTTCCTGGTAGTTGCATCAGGGTATATCCCCTGTCTCAATAGTTCTGAGCATATTTCTCACTTGTGTTTTTGAAGAGGGTTTCTGTTTATCAGCTGCCGCATCTTCTTGCAAAAGAAGTTGTACAAGGACCTTCAACAACTCGCCCCGCAAGACACGTTGCCAGGGTCCGCAGCGACTCCGCAATCAAGTAGCGCACAACCATGGCATTCGACACTCGCGCAGACGTGCTTCTCACTCTGCTTTTCTGAATGTAGTATCTTATTCTGCATGCTCATGTGCCAGGGTTTGGATTGGTTGGAACCGAGGTGTGTCATGGCTCGATTGTGCAAACGCTTGGCTCTCTGCGGTGACTAATTCGGTATGGTCATAACAGAATTCGCCTTCTGAGCTGGCGAATAGCACTATTCCTTCTACTGTTCACGATCCTTCTACTTGTTCCTATATCGTTCAGCCTCATCTTAACCTATCGCCCTGGTAAGATACCATGTTCCCTCCTATCTACCCAACCGTCTTCTAACGGCCCCAGATAATCCAGGTTTTGTGCAATCTCGTGCACTGCCGATTCGTGTTGCGTTTGCATTAGCACCTGTGGCACTTTTCATATTCGCTCTTTCATACATTCCACTGCCCGCTGAGCTACTCTTGTACAGCCCACTCACAGCAGTGACTGCACGGCTGGTCACGTTGGGAACCACGGTACTTGGACTACTTTCAGGACTCGGTGCAGTTAGTGGTGCATGGGGCATCATCAACCGGTCTCGGTGAGTGGACGCCCGATCAGTCGTACTACTTAGCATTCAACTTGAGAAGATCGATACCTTCTGCGACATCGATCGCGTCCGCTGAAAACGCGCTTGAAAGAGTAAGAAGTGATCTGCAGGATCGTTCTCGTGACTTGGAAGACTATGCAAACTCAAAGGTACTGTGGTCAGCATAAGTTGCGTCACATCATCTCAAAGATTGTAGCCGCAACCAGATGGATCGTGGTTGTCACGCATGTCGTTCAAACGAAATGGACGTACGTATAGTCTGTCTGTCTCTTCCGAACCTGTATTCACATTATTTAGAACAAAGCTCAATACAACAGGAAGTTATTGGTCTTCAAGCCCTTGAAGAGCAGATGAGCCTTCGCGTTGTAGCTCTCAAACGCAACCGCATCGCAGCAGAGTATGCAGAGTCGTTCACAGGGAAGACGATTACGTGGTCGTGGGCAGTTTATTGCGTCTGCCGAGTATGCAGTGTAAGTGGTCTTCCACTCGATTGTGAAACTTTCAGTGACGTTTATCCCAGTCAGCATTTAATATCTTCTCTCCAACTGTGTCGAACTCGAGCCCCTCTTCCGCATCATATGGGGATATAGTTGCGCACATACTTGCATGGTTGTTCTCTTTTCTTTCCTTGTCTGCGATAGGAGAGGAAGGAAAAGCACAATTTGACATTCCATCTCTATCAAAGCAAATAAGTCTTTCCCTTGTGGGCGTCATCATTCTATGTTCCCTCCGCATGGTGCTACGTGGTGTCACGCAAGTGAGTCGGCTGTTGAGCATTCACTTCAGTTATGTGTTGATTGCACACAGACGTTTCATGTCACATCACGTAAAACATCAGCATCACTGATGCTATTGACCCTCGCACAGCTCATGGTATTGGCGAATTACTGTTTTACGTTGCTCATGTGACTAAACGGGTACTTAGGGCATATATCTCCTGTCGACTCTTGTGCAGCTTCGCACAACCTTTCCGCCGGCAGTATCCCCGGTGATAGGCGACTCTCAGGGACCGTCTGATGATAGCATGAACTTGTTTGCGACACTGCCAGAGTACTCGCTATTTGGTGGCTTATTTGATTGGTCATTCCTGATAGGTGCTGTGGGATGCGCATTTACTCGTTGGGTGAGACGTTCATTAGAAGGAGACGTTTTGGATATGTAGCGGCACCTGCCTAATCTAGAACAGAAGGTCCGTGCACGCATAGGACATATAAAAGGGAGCTGTAGACTACCTGAAACCTCACCACTCTGGCCTTTTGGCTTAGATCAAGTGTAGTATCTGTTCTTAATAGTTTAACCACTATTATGAGGGCACCGCCCTCATTCTTTGGTTATCAAATTTTTGCCGCCCTTGTTCTCACGAGCTCTGCTTGCAACTCGAGAGACATGATGACCTTGCCACTGCACTACAGGCTTGTGTCGTCGGGGGATTCTTCGCTTATGTGATCGCTTCTTCTCTTTGCTATTGAGTCTATGCATGGTCCTTCGCCCATGTCTGGTCCATAGCAAACAGAATATCTTGGTCATGCCTCGGATGTGTCGTCTGACATGACGCGTTTGTCTAGACCCCGGAGGTGTAGCATCATGCACATTGGACGCTCTGATGATATTTGGTACATCTCAGGTGGGTTGTTCGCAGCAGGCACGGTATTTATTAACAATTTAAACATGACATGTCTCGGTATCCCTCGTCATTTCAGACAATGATTAGATGAAACTTTGAAGCCTTGAACATTCATCTGGAAGTATCAAGAAGTCGACAAAAGCTGATTCTGCGGCGCATATCAAGAGAAGCACGAGACCCTGATCCGGATCAAGGGGATACCACGCCAATAGGCTTGAAATTTCCCCAAGGGGCAGGCTCGTAAGAGTGATAACATATTGAGTGTTTCAATTTCAAATTTCAACGTTCTACCTCTTGCAAGACTTCAATCAAAAGCAGATATGGACCTGGCAAGAGCACTCTGGAATACCTTTCGAATGTGGCGGCAAAAGGTCAGTTTCCCCGCTGTGTAACGTGCCCTTCTTTTAATTCATTGTCAAGGCTGACTGTGCTCTTTTACATATTAACGTTTATTAATGGATTATGGTTGCTAGTACGTACTTACTTATCTTAAAGAACACGTCCAACCTTTGACATACACATCGATTATTCGGATCGCTGATACAAGACTGATGACTGCCCCGACCAGGCCGTATCCATGACACAAATCCATTGACCTGGGGAGCACGTGTATCCTCAACATTCAGGTATTTAACATGTCTTGTCGCAGTCTCCAAAGACAGACCAGTGCAAGCATCATGAGTCTACTAAAAATCCCCTTCCTCGTAGCCTCAGCCATTGGCGTCCAAATTTCGTTCACTACTTCTTCTCCGCCACCGTTATATAAAGAGAGGTTGAAGCCTACCGCATTTGAATCCTCCTACGCCAGTAGCTCCGCTCTGACAATTTCCAGTCTAATACTTGTCAAGGTATGTTGCTCTCGTATGCCCGTCTGTATGTATCTGTGAACAGTATCACAGGCTTGCGCATATGCGTTATTGGCTGCCGAAGTGGCCAACATCCTTGCCATGCATATAGACCCCTCGAAAATCCCGGGGGACATCTATGGCGCCCGCCGAGCTGTGGAGCTTCTACGCTCTCTTCATTCCACACCGATCACCCCCACTTTTCTTGCGGGTAATCTTGCCATCGCGATCGGGGGCGCGTTAAGGTTTTATTGCATAATGACGTTAGGAAAACTTTGGAGTTTCCAGCTCAGTATCAGGAAAGAGCACAAACTTGTGACGAGCGGGCCATACTCTGTCGTCCGCCACCCAAGCTACACCGGTCTCCTTATTCAAGCTGCTGGGGTCATCATCACGTACGGAAGCCCTGGATCATGGATGTGGCGGTCTAGGATTTTACAAGTGCCTTTCATGACGGCGCTCACAGTCGTTGGGTTCATCATGTATACGATATCTGCCTGGGTTGCCATCAGCCGAAGTGTGGTAGAGGACAAGATGATGCAGCGTGCTATGGGACAAGACTGGGAGAATTGGGCAAAGGTGGTGAAATATCGATTGTTTCCTGGGGTCTATTAATCGTCTACATACCGAATGCTTTCTGTGCTATTAGTTTCTCTACCTGAGTACGACTTTGCGAAATTCGATCAGAAGGATAATTTGACTGAATGTCCGAACCGTTCCATCTGTAAAGGAAACTTGAATCTAAAAGCCGAGCCGCGCGAGAGCAACGAGTTGATTGGCATCTTCGGACCGCTATTGAGTAAAAAAGGCGAGTTCTTGATGCATAGACGATATGTCTCAAGCACATCATGCGTCGTGGCACGGTGCTTTCCTGCTTGAAAGAATTAATCGGAGAAAAAAATGTGGACTGTCGTACCATCAATTTTTGAGTCGGATGCTGGCTATAGCACACTAGGAAGATATACTCAAAATTGAGAACATCCGTTCGGCAGTTGAAGAATCGGAAAGGTGAGTGTTCTCCTGCAGAGGCATCCTGCTCGAAATGAGCGCCTAATGTAGTGGAAAAGGCTGCCGTTAATCCTACCTCACGAGAGCTAACACATGTCGCATGCAGCCATTTTTCAAGGGGTGTCATACTCATAGCCTTGCTTCTTGTGTTCTGCTGATGAGATTGGACGTCGGAAGTGTAGTGACGTTAACTTTGAAAGACCGGTCTGCAACCCCGGGCCGGGTCATCACTTGGTTCGAACCATATAACATTCTTCAGCAGGGATCTAACCTTGCTTGTACCGTGCCAAGGAAGGCCCGGGAGAGGTGCGCTATGCGGCTGACACGACACGTCCGCGTCAGGTGATTCACATCTCCCATCACATGACCGTTGCTCCGCAAGGTGACGCATTTTGTTCGGCTTCAGCTTCAGCATTGCAGTTTTGACACTTTTCGATGCGATCGGATCGCACGTAAACTGCAATGGAGCAAGATCAGCGTTATGGGTGTTTGTCAGAAACTCAAGTGCCGGGGCACTAGTTGGCAAACGTGTACATTAGGCCACCGCGTGCATTGTAAGCGAGTATCGCAGCTCATCGCCATGTACTAACTACAGGAAAAGGATATAATGTATGTTCGCGAGGATGCATCCACCATAACACCCTTCAACTTTTTACGTTCTCATAGCTCCGCTCATTGAAGATGTCTGCAGTTCAACAAACTTATCCCGGCAGCAGCGAACTCGATGCCCTGTTCCCCTCCCCATCTTCCCCACCGAACACACTTTCTCCTCTGCGGTATCCTGGTGCTTCCCCAGAAGCAGCTGCAGCTTTGACACGTGTCTTGAAGGATAACTATACAAATTACCACATTTTCTCCAACTATAAGTGGTTTCATAAGTGCGTATCCGTCTTAACTAATTTGTATCTCATGTTACTGAATTCGAGGTCGGTGAAGTCATATCACTCATCGTGCGCTGGCACTTTATGCCACGGGCGCAAGTGGGTCCCTGATCGAACAGTTCTACAAACAGGACAGCACCCACGAGCGCCCGGCCATCGAGTCTCCCGAGGCAATTACCGAAGAGAACTTCACCGAACATATAGGTGACGAAAAGTGAGTTTAGACTTGATGCTTGCAAAGCCCCGCTCAAACAATGTCTTGTCAGCTTTTATGCCGCGTACAAAACCTTCTTCAGCAAGGTTATTAAGGAAAGGGGCCTCAGCGCCACGCTGGAGGAATACATCTTCTCTAAGAAGTACAACTTTATGGAGGGACGAGACGCATCCGTCCAACCGGTGATGTTGGCCCGCTTCCTTGGAGGTTTGTTCCACGCCTTCATCCATGTAGGATACGGCGCAGAATTTGGCATCCCAGGCATGGTTGTTGAAGGTGAGCAATGTGATAAATCATTGTAAACAGTTTCCTGACAGATATCTCAAGGTCTGGCATTGACCAGCGTGCATGAGTATGAGTTCTTGCCGTCGCATCTTTTTGAGCCTAGCGGCACGACTGCAGTGGAAAAGGCAACGACTCAGCTTGCCTCCCTTGTCCTCAACACACAGAGATCTACGACGTCCCCTCAGCTCGAACAACCGCAAAGAAATCACGCATTCTCCGTTCTTGCAAAGATCATGCAAGATTCGAAATTCCCACCGAAGGAAATCAAGAAACACTCTAAAGATTTTGACAGCCTGATGTCCGAGCACGGTGATACCATATGGTGCTACGCTGAACAATGGACGATCGACCTATCACAGCCAGGCGAAATCGAACGTAAGATAGAAGAATGTATTTGGACAAGCACTATCCTCTATAGTGTGGGCGGATGGAGCGAAGATAGAAGCTTAACAGCAGACTTTTTCTTGTAAGTGGCGTTAATTTGATTATCTGCAAGAAATATCCTGATTTTCGGGACGCTTCAGCATGCATCTCGTCACTTCGAGTCTCTTCCTTCCATCCCTGTTGCCTTACCTGCCGCAAGACTCGCAAGTACTCTTACTTCGCGGATACTTTGCATCGACTCTTGGGTGGTGGATCACACGTGGCTTCCCCAAACTGGACATTCAAGGCTTCCTCAACGCAACCTCGCATCTTTCGTCAGAGACCAAGGTCGCCAACCCATTCCTCGACATCGTTCAGTCTGCGATAACGCACCCAAACAACCATTTGTTGAAGTGTCAGCGCGCACTTGCGCATTTCTCTTCACTTTATGGCGCACGGCCCAAAGGCACCTTCTGCGGTACGGAACTGGAGGGCGCAGAAGCGCTGGATGGATCGCTCTTCCTTAGGGTCGCGAGATTGACTGAGGAGTATATGAGTGGGGGCACGAGGTTCTGGAGCCTAGAAGGGTTTACTGCGTGAGCGAGGGATTTGAGATGTATCTACTACGAGCACCACTTATTTCTATTTGGTGGACCATCCTACTTTTGTCTATGAAATAATTATACTGAAGCAGTGAAGCGGTGTACGAAGCAGATTCTTGCCTCATTTGTTGTTGCAATGGACAATATTTGTTGACATTTAGCACGCCACATAATGTGAGCGCTCAATGCCAATAAAGCAAATAAAAGAGTGGCAAAAACGGAAAGTGGACTTTCATAATGACCGTGTTTCACTAACCTCGAGCGGTGGCGCTCGATGTTCTTTCACAAATCAGGATGCAAGTACCGGGAAACCTGGAAGGTGTATGGCCCGGTCAAGGCCCGCAGCCCTTGGTTACATCAAATCAACCCAGATACTGTTCGGACACAACCGACATCTTCAACTATCCACACCACACCTTCTACCCTTACCTCATACTGAACTAATCCTAAGGCAGCTCATATTAGGACACCGCGCCTTAACAGTGTCTGTTGGATTCAACTTTGTTTAATCTAGTCGCCATGACTGAATAATTTCTAGTTATCATATCGGTGCACGGGGCATATCGGCTCCTTATGGTCCTATATCATAGGGCTGAGAAGGTGTCGATCGGTCGGACTAGGACCAACCTGGCTCCATGGGTTACAATGTACACTTATACTGATCATCCTATCCCAACTAGTCATAGTTGTCACAACAGTACGGGATAATTTGCAGCCTGTCGGGTTCGAAACCCGACCGACTGCTTTTTATCTGTGGAAGTAGTATGTAGACTGCCTCGACTTGGAGTATATACGTACCACCCTAAGGAGTCGAGGATTGGTGCTGTGCACCGCTATGATACGGAAATGTATGTTTTCTACGTATACTCTAGATGTTTGACGCACGACGTCAAGATTCCCATGGTTTCGCTGTCATTTTCCCAATGAAATAGCTCATCATGGTCATTGTGTTCCAACTGCACGGTGCTGGCCATATACGTATTGTATTGAGATAACAGCCATACACTAGGCAAGCCAATCTTCCGGCATTAACCACATCTGTGCAACGACGTGTACGGATGCTAGCATAAGCACGAGTCATTGGTCCAGAGGACACGTCTCGGGGAGCATATCTAACTCAATGGAAGCCGGATCCTCGGCTCTAGCTTACTTTTGGAGAACAAAATATCACCATAAGGTGATCAATAATTGAAATTGGTCGCTGGGTATGTTTGCCGTATGCAATACGCCTGTAGGTATTAAGCGCCATCGGGTATTTAAGGTGACTCAACGCAGGTCCCAAAGGCACTTCAGTGGTACACCATGAGTTTATTGAAGATCCCCTTCATCATAGCTCAGACCATTGGCATCTATATTTCGTTCAGTTCTTCTTCTCCGCCGCCTGCACCTGAAGAGAAGGTGGAGCCGCCCAAGTTTGAAGTCATCATCCTACGGTTTGAAGGTCTTTGGGGCAATGATATAAAGAAGGTGTGTGGCTTCAATGTATTGGTCGTTTTTATATGGATCGGCGGACGATAAACAGATCTGCTCATTAGCAGCATCGTCTGTTGAAGTGGCCAGCATCCTTGCTACGCATATGGATCCCTCGCAGATTCCAGAGGGCATCTATGGCACCAGAGTTCTGCAGTTTTTGCGCGCTCTTCACCCCACGCCAATCACCCCCGCTTTCCTTGCCGGAAGTCTTGCCGTCACGATCGGCGGCGGATTAAGGTTTTATTGTATGTCGACGTTAGGGAAGTATTGGAGCTGGCCGCTCAGCGTCAGACGAGAGCACAGACTTGTGACGAGTGGACCATACTCTCTCGTTCGCCACCCAAGCTATACCAGTTTCCTTCTCCAATATTTTGGGCTCATTGCCATGCATGGAGAGCAAGGATCGTGGTTGAGACAGTCTGGGATTTTACAAGTGCCTTTAGTAAACGTGATAGTAGCAATTCTCTTCTTCGGGTTCACGTTATGTGCTTGGATGACCATCAGCCGACCTGCGGTGGAAGACAAGATGCTCCAACGTGCACTGGGAAAAGAATGGGAGAATTGGGCGAAGAGGGTGAAGTACCGATTGTTTCCTGGGGTTTATTGATCACGGGCATACTGAGTGTTCCGCGGGGTTGTTTCTTTGTTATACGGTATCTTCTACGGGGTCCTGGGTCTATTGTACACGTGTAATATAAACCATATGGAAGGATCCGCGTGCACGGCAAGGATGCTGACCGCCTTAGCAGATAATACTGCCCATGTATAGACCTATTATATCGTCGGATCAGACAACGACCATGTGTAGAAGCAACAGTAACACACCTATTTATATCTACACCCTGAGGTCTCACAGGCCATGTCATGAAAGATTCGGACAGGTTAGGCGCCTTGGGTACCCGAACATCAACACCTCCAAGCGTACTACATGTTCAGAACTCACATGTGATAATTTTGAATCATCAATCCGAGTATCGAAGGTTATCAAACTACCCTAGAGCGGCTTTTAGATTGCAATGATCAAATTTTACCAGGTGCATCCCTGTGCTTTCAGCATTAGATGCGAAGTACGCTCGGTCAGCCCAGAAGACAAAGAATGCGTGTTGCCTGTTTGGGTTATTTCCCTAGGTATGTGGCCTCCACGAGCGTCAACGCCAGTAGTGTAGGAAATATAAATATATGTGCTTACCATCTGAGCACTGAAGTCGCCTTATGAGCACCTAGCCATGAGGTGCATAACCAGAATTGCACATCACCGAGAATAGTAAGTATGGCTTCTCCGAACTCGCGATTGAAGTATTCCATAGACAAGTCCCTTTGAAGATGTTCAATTGGCGTACGGAGAATCCGACCTAGAAAACCTGTGAGAAGAACAAGATATCACTGCCAGAGCGATCGCCACACAGCGTGTTAGCGAGTAAATGCCTGCGGATAGGGTGCACTACACTGTGTGCATAGAGACCATAGGTTTTGTCTACATGGGGCCACGCCCCACTGCAGATCATGAATAACAATTCAAACAAAAAACTTTGCGCGGAGTACGAGAATCGGTGAAAGACGCACGGCTACTTAGCAAGCTCATAACGAGCATATCGCAGTTCGGAAATGAGAAGGACCTCGGAGAAGTCGTAGGGTAGAAAGGTGAAACGTAAACCTTCGAAGCTATGAGAGGGACGAGCAGGTGCTCACTCCAGGTTAGTAGCAGATTACCGAGTGTTTTAGTGCAGTGGTCATCGCGCAAGTAAAATCAGAACACAGGGTGCTCACACAAGCACAAGATATCCGCCATTATTCTGCGTCAGGACTGAGGGGGCAGAGGGAGAGGTATCTGTGAATCAAGTCAACAATCAATAACCTGGTAGTGCTACCACATCAATCATCGTGTAAAGTTCGCACTCGATAAGTCGGTTGACGCGTAACCCCTACATACAAGTACACAGGCAGATGACACCACCATACTGACCCTCAAAGCCTTGCTACCGATCCACCAAGTCACTGCGCAAAAACACCAAATCAGACATGGAATTCAAACCCAAACCACCCAATCTAGCTCACATACCGTCTACTATTTTGTACACGCAAGAACAACCAATCCACAGCCTCACGAACGCCAGCTCTGAAAGGCCAACCCCGTCAGCCAACTAACCCCACACATGCGCAAAACTCGCTCACCCATCAAGCGCCGAAACTCCCAAAACATCCAAACTAGCAATCCTCTCGCGTTTCCTCTCCATTTCTGCATCCTCATCTTCGCCAAACCTCCTCCTCGCGCTCTCCCTCCTCCTCTGATCCCAATCCTCATAATCCTGCCTTATCTCTGAAACACTGAGGCTTGAAGGGGAATCTTGTTTGTTTGCGAGGAGTAGGAGGGGGATGTTAAGCGTTTGGGGGGAGGAGAGAACTGTGTCTGTGGGAGTTGTGAGTGATTGGTTTGTTTTGGGTTCGTCGTTTTATTATGGTCAAGGGAGTGGTGAAGGGTGCGTACGTACCAAAGACTTCCCAGCCCTCACTGAGCCTCTCTCGGTCTTGCGCATCAATAACGTACGCCACGGCGTGACAGTCGTCATAATATCTGTGCCAGATGGACCGAATACCGCGTTGCCCTCCGAGGTCAAAGAAGTTTATGATACTGGATGGGAGAGATATTTTACCCGCTGCATATCAAATTCACATTGATGAGCGACGAAATCGAAACTGGATTGCGAGAAACGTGTACTATTTTGCCCCACAGTCGGGCCAATCTTGGACGGGTCAAGCCCAGGAGTCTCGTTATATAGAGTCTTTATTTTCTCCAGAAGTGTCTAATCTCAGAGTCTTTTCTCAGCGGAATGGACTCGAACTCAACGGAGCTCCGAGCGAGACGCACGGTTTTGCCAGCACCATCAAGGCCGATGATGATTACTGAAAATTCTTCTTTCCTGTCATCTTCAGATGCAGGTGAAGGAGCGGATATGAAGCATTACCTCGTCAAGTACTCATGGAAACCTTTTAAGAGGTGATACATGATGGATGATGATGGGAGAAACGGCACATGTTGACTCAGCAATGTCACGGTCACTAACCGGCGTAGCCACTTTACTCAAGGCATCACCAAAATTGCCTAACTCAGACTCGGCCAGACATGGGGGTAACTGACTATGGCTAGGGCATCACACATGTCGATGGTGTCAGCCCCAAACCCGGCCCTGTCTAGCAATCCATAGGAACGCTAATGACGACGTGAAACAAGGTTAACGTTGTCGCTGCACAACTTGTATTTTCATCATACAAATTACATACATCAATCACAGAACCTCAACCAGGATGTCTCTCGTGAAACCTAATGCCTTTCACCATGACACCAGCTCTACGATAGAAATCAAATCTGCTTCAAAGTTCGCTCACCATCCCTACCATCCTGATGATACGTTAGTCGATAGCCGGATTTCCGAAGCAACGCTGGGAGGATGCCCAGGAAGCGATGGATGGCCTAAGGATGAGATGAGACATCGAAATATGTGCTCACAGGGAGGTGTCAGTAGCTACAGGGTAGGATGGTGATGCTTCGTGTGGATCTCCCTACTGACTTGTCTGGTCCAGGGTTGCTGATGTAAATCATGTAATGTGCATGAGTGACCTTGGATGAACTATCATCATGATCATCTGCTCCCCGGGCCTGTGCTGGTGAGCCGAAGAGAGTGGAGATGACAGTCTTTTCGATAGTCTCACGATGATCGGTATGCATCAGACTGATGAAGTAGTCCTTGGTTGCATTGATGGACTGATGCGCGTGTAGCGAAAACAACATCTCGATAACGACATTGGAAATGAGGTGACGAGACCGGTGTTTCTTTCGTGCAAATGTATAACGATCAACATCTACTACGAGTCACTGGATTGATTCACCTTGTTTTCATGCCAAGATATCTACTTCGGTCAATTAAAACAAGAACGGTCATCATCCCTCGGTATTATGTTGGTGATCTAAGCGCTGGGTGGTGGTATAACTAGCACGAATGCCATTGTAACGTCGACCAATTTTGCCTCTCACTCGCACACATTCTCTTCCAATATGACCATAGTCTCAAATGATCCCTCTTTGTGGCCAGTCATTGATGCATATCATTTTTCTAGCTATTTTGCAGGTTCGTAGAGAGCAGTCAAATATTAAAGCTGACACAATCTAACCTTGGCTACATTTTCGCAGTTGCCGCCTGTGTTGGAGTGACGTATGACTGGAGTGAGCGTGATAATATTAAGGGATTGCTGATATCTTACAAGTATTTTCAGCCCTTACGTTTGGACAAGAGGTATGTCGATGCTATGACTGGAGCAGCCATCTCGCTGACAATGGTCTTATAGGTCGAATTGGTCTGGGTGAGTAGAGTCTCATGTCAAGGGAACAGACATAAAAATACACTCGATTACAGAGGCAACGTTGGTCCTTAATGACATTTCTGTATTTCTGTGTATGTATCTTATTTGTCGTGATTGTCATGCTGTATTGACTTGAACGTATACTAGGTGCGCTACCTTGGAATCTTATTTGCTGCGTATGTTCGGAAGGCTAAACAGTCGATGTCGTGCTGATCGTCTATCTCTCATACTCAGCCTGAGCATGTTTTGTATGTCTTCTCGTTATTCACTGTTTTTTCTTCTTCTGACCAACATCATACAGACAGTCTTCCGACCATCTTGCTGACAGATACCGTGAGTCTTCTGTACACATGCTACTATTCTCCTCCGATTAATCGCGGTGCCCTGTAGCAGTGGGTGTATTGGTTTACTAACTTGCTGGTTCGCTAATGATCGCCACGCTATACTGCCACAGATGTGAGTTTGTTTGGAGTTTGTGCTACCCGAGGGTCACTGACTGCATTCATCAGGCCGGATTATGTTCGTCATACAGGATTGGATCAATGTTTTGGTATTTGCGATGCTGTGGGGTGAGCTTGGCATTTGCGAGACCTCATTGATACTGACTTGGCTGAAACATGCTGCAAGTCATCATCATCACTCGGTTGCATGCCATGTATCAAGGATCCAGAAAGATCCTGATATTTCTTATTGTCACCTTCCTGGCTGTCAACGTTTTTGACGGAGTGGTCGTCATAATGGCAACGATGCATATGTCAGGGGGTACGCTTGATTGTGGATGGAAACAAACGTGCATGGGGCTCATTGATGAACACCAGAGGAATATATTCTCTCCGGCTCTTATCAGTGCCGGCTTAACTATCCGGAAGATGTCTCACTTCTGGGTTCCATTGCTTGGATACTCGCAACTGTGTGGGAGGTCCTCGCACTATGTCTCGCAGTCTGGATTGCTGTAAAACACTTCCGTGAGCTGCGACGTCATTCGGCAGGAGGCATTATCGGGGACTGTTTCTCGGTGTTGATCAAAACTCACATGGCATACTTTGCGAGGTATGCTCATATTGTGATCGTGGTTCCCTTTTTCGCTGAATGATCGGACGTGGTAGCTTTGTTGCTGTTTCTTGCTTCCAGCTCATTCTTAATTTATCTCCAACAATCTTAGCGGTATGACAATCTTTCCCTTACCTCAGCATGCGACCATCATTCATCATTTTTATAGGACCTATATTCCTTAGAAGCTGAGACTCTTCTGGGCTTGCTTCAGATTTCGACAGTCGTGCAGGCGTATGTGCTGGGACCACGGCTGATCCTTGGCGTTCGAGAATACCACGCTAAGCTCGTGGCCAACTCTGACGCAGCATCTGGTATGACCTCGATCGCTTTCGAGGAGCGCGTGCATGTATCGACTAACAGTAGCGTGTGACACGCAGGAGGTCAATAGTCGTCTGCTCTGTAGGAAGCAGGGAAATTTGTGTCACGGTTTTCTCTCCATTCCAAGCCTCGTTGCAGTATTTATGTATCATGGTTAAAGTATTGAAAACGTTGAGAAGTCCTAGTCATTTATTAAATAAGCCGGCTCCAGCACTTGTACCAATATAAATGAAATTTAATTGAAGATATGCACGAAGCCACAGGCTGATGTATTCCAACAATGCTACTTAGCAGCCTGAGGGGGTGAAGGTCATATACATTTCCACCACTGATCATCCAGCTATGGGCTAATGATATCAAGCATGCAGGACAACGATATCGAGAAATTCTCATAATTGGTAGGATATGATACACTGTACTGGATCGAAGTCACATACGAAGTACTTGCACTGGTGTCGGTATTCGTGATAAATTTGCAGATTTGTGTTGGTGGCCTTAGGTATAATTTGCCTGCAAGAAATTCTAGAGCCGTGTTCATCACAACCACCTAACCTGGAGCGCCAAAATGTTTGCTAGTCTGTCAGGTCCACCAGCTCTCTAAGCCATGCGTGGAAAAAGGTGCACGACCGACAGTGTAATGGGAAGTTCTTCCAGTCTTTGCCCATGTTCAGGAGTACGATATCGAGAAAGAGCATAGACGCATTAATTCGGTGGCCCAGGCGATGCGGAAAGCGGCACGCATGTCGCTGAGAGACGGAGGGCTCAGAAGATGACTTGGAGGATGTTCAAGCTGATATAAATGAGAAACAGGATAGCAGTAGTGACGAGAGTGAGGACGACGAGGACGAGGATGCAGTGGTAGCTGACGATGGTGAGGAAGCGAGCCTGACGGACTGGTATCGCGCTGATACGTCTATATCGAGGGTGTATTGCGCATGACTGACGTAATACTCACGTGTCCACATTTGGGCACATATCACGTGGAGTCTGAGTTTGGTAATTTTCGTGATGAACTATCAGCGTGTCCGCTAGGGTACGGTTGAAAAATCGCCGTGACTTTTCAACAGCTGTTTATAAACAGGCCACCTCAGAGCATTTATAAACAGGTGTTTTAAACAATTTTCAACTAATAGTTATTAACTGGTTGAAAACTATTTATCAACAGCGTGAATAATGATTTTACAGTGAAAAATTGTGAAAAATTAGAACAACCAGTCAACTTTGCTCTTTTTCGATGCCGGCGCATTGCCCTGGGCCACCCGAATGTTCTGCGAGCCTACGACGGGTACCATAGAGATCAAATCGCGCAGTAAAGGAGAGCCAAGGTCAATATCTTCATCCACCTACAGAACATCATCCTCCGCTACCTCATCATCTCTGCGAGCGTCTATGAAGCTATCCTCGACATCATCCAACATCTCCGAGTCACTATCATATCCGGTATCCACAGCAGGCAGTGTCACGCCATTTGAGTTAGTAGCCGGTTTGACTCCTGTGGTAATAGCACGAAGAAGGTCTCTGTTGATGTCACGGAACTTGACTGTCGGTCGGTAGGGTTCCTTTCGTGGTCTCGATTTTATAGCCTAATGATAGGATACATTACTCATGGTGACCGTGCTGCACATTGACAAGAACGCAGCATATTTTGATGTGAAAGCAGAACCAACAGGCAAGGTAGTTGGAAGATTTTGTAGCAATATCCGCAAGTATTCGAGCACATCCCGAAACTCAGCAGGGGTGAGAGGCAGGGAATGACATAGCTAGCGAGCGCGTCAAAATAAGGTTGGCGGTGGGAGGGGGGCCCGGTTGTACTTTTTCGAGCCTCGGCAGTTCATTCAACGCACTATTCACAATTTTCAACAGGCCTTAGACAGCGCCGACTTTTCAACAGTGTTATTAACAGTTATTAACAGGTATTATAAACAGCTGTTGAAAAAGATCGACTTTTCAACCGTACCCTAGTGTCCGCCCAGCTGCTGCAGCTGCAAACCCTGTAGGAGCAACACTACAGGAGATGTTAGATACGTAGGTACTGAATGTAAGGATGATACTAACCTCAGCGACACACGAAGTCAACTGAGGGTAGTGCGAGACGCGACGGGAAAAGTAAACTATATAGGTACTTAGTAATACGTCGGTACCGATGTCCATAGCGAAGGTTTGATATAACAACAAACCCTACACTGGTCTATATCTGGTGCCAGGTTTACTTTCAATCATCATCGATATTTATGTAAAAGGAACGACTGTCTTCCTTCTATCTAGTTGGCCTTCTACGGGCCCGGGAGTCTCACATTAGTATCAACCTCTAAACCCACTATACTTACGAACAGACCAAATCACCTTGCTCGGGAGGTGGAGATGGCTACATCAATGATTTAGTGGTCGCCGTGTTTACTTTTGGAGCCGATACAACTTCGGCTGAGGATGTGGTATCTAGCTAATGCACGCTCGCGCCATGATTGGTCCTACAGTAACTGGTGAGGGCGCTTCCTTATACTTTAAATCTATGTGCTCATGATGTTCGCTGTTCAACACTGTTCTTTCACCTCATTTATGCTATTTTCACAGGAATTACAACCTCTCGACGACGGCAATCGGTTCTCATCGTAGCTGGAAAAGTCGCTCGAGGCAATCATTCATTTGAACATGAGAGCGCCAATAAAACCAAATGACGGAAGGTCATCGCTTAAGTTCCTACTTGCCCAATACTCGCGCCTACATCTATCCTCCAGCTATCCTGTACAATCTCATAGCTGGCTACCACGATCGGTTACTTTGACACCTGTCAACCTCCAGCCTTTATCTCTCCCCAAAACCATGGCATCAGTGCTCAGGGAGCACCGGAAGCCTTTTTGTGATATACCGCAAACCACTGGGTGAGATATGTCCCACAGAACTTTCGATGCCTCCTCACTCATTATGGTTGGGCGGAACTAAAGGTCAGATTCCTTTAGTTGATGCAGAGGAGATGTCGTGGACTCCATTTGCTATCCTCCAACTCCGAGATCAAAGCATCCTTTGAAGTCATGCTCACAAAATGGGCATATTTGGACACTCGACGACAGGATGAAACATATCCAGTCGCGCACCACCCCGGCGTAGATCTGCTTCGCCAAACGACCAAGAATACCAAACCTCAAAAGTTCTTTATGCCCGTCAGCGTATGCACGGAGAAGCATACGACGAATACGAGTGCAGAGATTTCAGTCCAAAGCGCACGTGAGTTATCACTGGCATTCCCGATGCCGATAAAACCTTCCAGGAAATGGAAATGTCAACACGCCCTTTGTGGAAACTCGACACTTATACCAGTGCAGCGATAGCCACAATGGTCGCTATAGCGTACCTCGCATGTTTGAGAGAGGGGGCTGGCGTCGAAGAGGACGACTGAACCCCGTCCGCAACCTCATTCTACTATGGTCGACAATGATATGACTGCAACTCAAGAACTTCCATCTACCCGTTATCACCACCTATGTCGAAATATGTACGAGGCAGGAAGGCGACGTGGTCCTTGGATAGCATCCTATCTATGATCAGATCCATGAATATCATGTGAACGAGCAATGGGCGAGTAGTTTTTACCTTTTATGAGATGAAAACGTTGCCGTTCATGAGAACCGAGCTCTCAAGCATTTCATGGGTATAAAGGAGGCTCAAACATATTCGAACAAGGCGTAAAATAGTTACCATCATGTAAAACAAATTTGCTGCGTCAAATACTATTTTCAACTTGCCCTCTCCGCAAAAGCCAGGAACAAACTCCCAACTCGGACTCCAAGGACCCTGGACATGCGGCAAGGAACTTGCCATAGTAAAGATGCAATGCCAAGTGCATCGCCAATGGCGACTAACACGTTAGATCGGAAATTGACTTGAAAACAGGAAGAAGTGCCAGCGGATTAAACGGAATCCCGAACGTTCTGGCTGTTATGAACGCTAAAGAGGAAACAAGTCCACGAGGCGAGGCTGCTGTATGATACACAAGGCGCCTAGAATACAAGAGCCGGCCTTAGTGACCTAGTACATGTGCACTCAAAAGACAATGGGGCTATTCTGTAACGCCGTACTATGAGTTTGATGAACGCTTGAAGTTACACATGCGCTGGTAACTTAGCACTGAAACGTTCTGGGATTCTAGGAGGACTGAAAAGTAATTGCTGTATAATGGGTTTGCATACACACTGCCTGCACAGGTTGGATGACGGCATCTGCATGGCCCAGTCTGTTTGATGATATATATATGATATTGCGCCTACCACCATGCCCAACTTAAATACTTCTCTGCTGCATATTGTCTCATCGTAATGGATATCATCCAAGAACAAATGTGAGTCGTGCATTCGTAGTTCGGCACCATGTATTTTGACAGACTACTAATAGCGACTCTTAGTACTCTTGATGTTAGGTTGTTGTCCTACTACTCCATCTGCGCCATTCTGGTGCCAATCAGTACTAGGGTTTTTATCTTTGCCGTCAGGACATATGTTAACATCATAATATACTAGCTATTCTGATATGCGACCATATGGCGACCCTCACAGAAGAAATTGTTTTTATTTGGTGTCGTCCAAAGTCGTTGTCTTCAGCGTTGTTTCTGCTCAATCGTTATGTCGCTCTACTGGCAAATATCTATATCTTGATTGGGAATTTCCTGCATGCTTCAGCTGAGGTCTTACATTTTATCATACATGTCTTAACATGGCAGGCTCACGACTTTTTCCCGCAGAGGTTTGATCCTGGTTCTCGAATATCTGTCCATCTGCTTAACAAAGACTTAGCTGTCCGACATTCGTGCTATCACAACAAGCGCTCGTTTTTTTGCAAGCATTTATCATTTGCCGTGAGTGAATGGTTTATTTTGAGAATTCATTACTCAAAATTTCAGTTATATTGACTCTTCGCATTTATGCTCTTTACGGTCGCAGCAAACTCTTGCTTGCTTTGTTAGTAATTATCATCTTTGTCTTTGTGGGAGGAGCTTTTGTGTCTGTGTGTGTTTGCATAGAATGTTTGGCTATGAAATCTACTGATCGTTTCTAGACAGTGATGTTTGGTCGTTATCCAGGCACTGTTGTGACTATCTTGCCGGGAGGAGCCTGTTATACAACATTTACAACAGAGAAGTACGTCATTTTCTACGCGCCTGGTCAAACTTAAACATTGTTGCAGAACCATTGGTTGGTGAACTCTAGACTTATTTGCATGTAGCTTAATGCCCTGACTTTATTCAGTCGCAGGCCTCGGAATGACATGGGTGGTCCTATTTTTATATGAATTGCTCATCTTTGTCCTCACAGTGACTAGGATTTTCAAAATCAGGAGATTACTGCGGTTATCTCTGACGAGGTCCAGAAGAAATATTATTTCTGTCATGTTTCAGGATGGTGAGTGTTTCGCTACATTAGTATCCTAAACACTGAACTAACCGAATGCAGGTGTGATGTACTTCGGGTGAGATTACCAGTGAGGTGTGATTCAAGTCAATTTGACCCCTATCGCTTAAGGGTGATGACACTGTTTAATATACCGAACATCCTGACATACTACGTGAGTCAACAGATAACTTATTGGTTGGGTCGCGCACTCACAGCTTCATGGATTCAGTGCGGTTCAGTGAGCAACCTCCATAATATTTTTTTTGATGACTATTCACGAGTGATCGGCAAGGGTACCATCATGGGCTGGCTGAGCACATTTACTAGCTGGTGAGTGGCTGGTGCGATATACATGGATAAAGTTTGAATATGCCCTCGGAACAGCATTTCTGTTACTCTAATCTCGCGGCTGATGCTTAACCTGCACAAATCGATTGATGCTGGCATTCTCTCCGCCCCCACCCAGGATGATGACAATTGCCTCCCTGTCCTTACCACTAGACTTGACATACAGTCCACGAATTCTTCTCACTATTGGTAGGAAGTTGGCTGGATGCCAAAATGCGGTACCTATATAGAAGGCGTTATGCAGGCGCTGGCTTTACCCGTCCTCGCATCTCGAATGATCGCATACTAAATGTACCTTATAATCAAACAGAATCTAACAGTAAATACTTGTATGTTTGGTCTACCATATTAGGGCACTGCCCCGGATGATAAACATGGATCGAAAAAAAGAAGAAAAAAAATAGGCAGATACATGTCACGATTTCCTCTCTCATGCGCCTTTGGTTCCAAAACATAAGAGTCGCACTATTGCGATAACGATGACATAACTCATCCGTGCCACCAAAATGATGAAAGGGAGGCAACCAATTTCCAACATTATTAGGTAATCCAAACCACGTTCTCCATCTACCGGATCAATTGAACAACTCACGAACGCCAGCCCAACCTGTCAGTCAATTCCACGCGCGGAAAATAAGCCAGCAATACTAAGCCCGAAGCACCCAAACAAGCAAGATGGATACCCTCCGGGTTCTGCGGAGAGATGAGGAATCATTCCTCATCTCTACCTCTTTCTTCGCATCGATATATAGGTGCTTCCCAAAGCCTGCCCTTCTCTGATCGTTGAAGCTTGGGAAGTGAATGTTAGGCATTTGGAGGGGAAATATCTATGTTTTTATTTATCGTGAGGAATGTATAATAACCCGGCAAGTGTCATCCGTTGGATATCATTAATATCGTGATGGGCCGAGCTTCAGTCACTCGAACACACTTACACAGTGACTTTTAAACAGCGCAGTCAGCGTTACATATATGTCTTGATAACCACTGGCAGGAAATTCATTGACCGTGACGCACTGGCGGGCTTCGAAGGAGATAAAGAACGGTTCGTTCGCTACATGATCACCTTTGATGCGCTAAACACCCTTCGACTCATTGACGCATCCGCTTCCCATGAGGTGCGTACTTTTAAGCCTACGATGAGCTATGTGAAATATCTCAAAACAAATATTGATTCCACAGGCGATGGAACTCCCAGGCGATCAACCATCAATTCGGTGGCGGCAGTACTTCGTGCATATATAACGATGAGTCTGTCCAATTATTTGAACACTTAGACAATAAGAAAAATGTAACGCTGATGAGATTACTTCAGGGTGTAGTACAAACATCATCTAGATTCTCATGAGCGGCTCCTGCGGCTGTCGTGTAGCTCAAAAAAATGACATCTCATTGACTTTGTATGGTGAGTACGCCATGTCCAGTTATGGTTAAGCTGGTTAACCACTCACGGGAACCGGGTGGCGTGAGCAGCAGGATCCGAAGATACTCAACAACTTGATATTCACATGTTCAAGTTCATCGTCTGCTCATATCAACTTTGTGTCGACTTTTCAGCAGTTTCCTGGATGATGTGGAAGTTGCCCCTGAAGGTACATGGTGTCGTGATCTAGTACTGGCACTGTCACTCACTGGGTATAGGTCAAGTTTTAGTCTCCGAAACACATGGTTTCTGAACAGCGCAATTGGCGTGACATAATATATTCTTGATAACCGCACTGGCAGGCTTCGAGGGAGATGAAGAATGGTTCGCTCGCCACAAGATGACTTTTGAATGTGCCGTTCACTCTCCAACTCATTGATGCATTCTCTGGTCATAAATGCGACGAAACTCCCAGGTGATTGATCATCAATCCAGTGGCGGCAGTACTTCTATTCGAATGGCATAATGATAGATGTGTCAAACATTCCTTGAGTGCGTTCAGCATTACGGTGGCGGCAGTGCCTCTGTTCGAAATGCATAATGACAGGTCTGTCAAACTTTGTTTGAGTTCGTTCACCATTATTATCCAAAGTACGCTCAAAATCAATAAGAAAAGTATAATGCTAATGGACTTGCTTCTAGATATAAGCATGGACTGTAACATCCACTGGATCCAGGAATCATGTTTCTCGTGAATGACTCGCCGGTCATGTAGCTCAGAAGAGGTTACCCTCCGAACGCGAATCTGTCCGGTGAGCAGCTCATTCAAAACAACACAGCTCAGGGTGAGCCACAATATTTTGTCCAATTTCGATTAAGATATGTATTCACCCACCCGTTTCATTCGGAACCGGATATTGTAAATAGCAAGACCCGGAGATATTTCCATCTGACGAGCTCACCGTCCTGCACTAGGTAAGAGTAAGTATATCATATGCAAGTGGCTGAGAACAGACATCCATCTTATAAAAACTCCTCCGACTTGACCAGTTCCTATTAACATCTCCAGACCAAGTACAGCGGCACACAATGAGTCTATTAAAGATCCCCTTCATCCTAGTTTCCGCCGTTGGCCTCCATATCTCGTTGACTGATCCTTCTTCACCACCGTCATCTAAAGAGAGGGTGGTTCACTCGCCGCTCGAATCCTTCATTGAATGGTTTATAAAACTTCGCGGTATGGGGTTAATGCAGGTGGGTTGCTCGTAACCTCTCGTAGCTGTCTTTATTAATTTGTGGACAATGACAATATAAGATCATGGCATGGGCAGCATCTTCTGCTGAAGTGGCTAACATCCTGGCCATGCATATAAGTCCCTCGCATGTTCCAGGAGGCATTTATGGCGCTAGAGTTGTGCAGCTTCTGCGCGTTCTTCACCCTACACCAATCACCCCTGCTTTCATTGCTGGCAGTATTTCCATCGCGATTGGCGGCGCATTGAGGCTATATTGTATGGCGACTTTAGGAAAGCTCTGGAGCTTCCACCTCAGCGTCAGAAAAGAGCACAGACTTGTGACAAGCGGGCCGTACTCGGTGGTGCGCCACCCGAGCTACACCGGTCTCCTTTTTCAAGGTATCGGTGTCGCCATCATGTACGGAAGTCAAGGATCGTGGATGAGGCAATCTGGGATCTTACAAGTGCCTTTTATTAAAGTATTAGCAATGAGTGGCTTTTTCGTATTTATCACAGTAACCCCTTGGGTTTCCATCAGCCGACCTGTACAGGAGGACCAGATGTTGCAGCGTGCTCTGGGACAAGACTGGGAGAATTGGGCAAAGAAAGTGAAATACCGGCTTATTCCTGGGGTTTATTGATGAAATATAATACTAGGCGCTTTGGGCGCACCAGTTTGCTTTTTGTACTTGTACTATAATGCAGGGATCGGTGTTCTATAGAGTTGATTATATGATGTACACCGTGTACAGGAACTATCTGGTGGACCATCCCACTTTTGTCTATGAAATAATTATACTGAAGCAATGAAGCGGTGTACGAAGCAGATTCTTGCCTCATTTGTTGTTGCAATGGACAATATCATTTCGTACATCACATAATGTGCGCGCTCGATACCAAAAAAGCAAACAAACGAGTGGCAAAAACGGGAAGGGGACTTCCATAATGACCGTGTTTCACTAACCTCGTGCGGTGGCGCTCAGGGAGATAGGATCCCTATTCGACTCCATTAAACTATTACGTTTTTCAGAGGAACCTGGAGGCTGCAAGTGGAAGGAGAAAAGAATGGATTGACTAACAAGCACTTTTTTTCTCATGGGCTATTACTGTCACGGACCCTTGACTGCCAAAAAGTTGCTTCGAAAGGGTTTTCTTATGACGTGTTGGTGATGTTGTCGTTTCTGTGATGAGGGAGAAAGGAGGGCATATGCAGATCTACGGGGAAGGCAGAATAATGAGAGCGTGCTACGCGTTGAATAAAACAAGATCACACATACCAAAGACCCCCCCTCTCCCTGTCTCGCATCACTACGGTGCGACAGTCATGCACAATGAACCGGATTCAGGATTCAGATATTGCGTTTCCATCCAAAAAGAAATGTGAGAAATCTGGATGCTTGGAGGGACTACCTATCTTGTCCGCTGTGTCGAATTTAGTCAGAATGGCTATGGAAGTAGATTAGTAAATTTGTAGTAAAGAGCGTCAAGACGAGACTTATACACCAAAACTGAAATTTGAGCAATGAGATTCAGATACACATCCAGTTGTCCTTCTCGCGAAACAGCATCTTTATGCTCATCTTCTTCGTGGAGTATGGACCTAGCCAGGAGCATCTGATTAGGTGGGAGAGGTTGCATCTGTCTGTGACGAGTGGGCATGCAATTAGCGAGCTCGACGAGAGCGCACATACCAAAGTCTTTACAAGTTTCCCTCTCCCAGTCTTGCACGTCAAAACATACGCGGCGTGACGGTCTTCATCAAAAGCCAGAAAGACCAAATTACAAGTCATCACGAGCCTGAAATCGAAGTTTAGTGGATCACAGGAGGGATATCTAAGCACTTACCTGGGCCCTCAGTTTATCAGTATACCAGGTAACACAAAGGTCACAAAGGTTCGATGTTGAAGCTTCGAACTCGAAGGAAGGCAGTGAGACAATAGACCTGTAAGTACTGGCTTTCCCAACGTTCATTCGTATGGGTCAAGTCGATGGACGTGGTGGCACAGAAACAAATGACTCCGTCGACATTGGTAATAAATACCATAGATCATAGCATGTAACACAGAAACTAAACGACTAAACAAAGATCTCTGTCCTCATGTATATACACGCGCTCAAACAGCACGTATCAATCGGACACAGCACAAGATATGTATGTGGGTACCAGGTCGCCTAGGACAACGCCCCCCAAACAGCCAAACCCGCGAAAAAGGTCATGATACCGACCAAGACGCCGACATAGGCAGCGGTATGCACGCCTATGCGTGGTAGGAAGGTTGGCGTGTGCAGCACTGCTAAGCTTGTATGGAGGAGGAGGACGAGGGGAGCGGTTATGATGAGTGGAATGTATGAACTGTCGTAGGATTGCGTGTGTGAAGTCGCGTGAAGGAAACCTCTGAGTTGGTCTGTTACAGGGAGGAATGATAGTTGGCCGGATATATCTGAGAGGGGGACGGAGAGGGGGGAACGGAGGTATGCTGCGCTGAGGAGGAGGGTGAGGCCTATGGAGAGGAAGATGGAGTTGAAACGTTGGAGACAGGATATGAAGACTGGGATTTTCTGTGAGGAATAATTAGGGTGTTAATTAAAAAAGCGGAGGGCACGCACGATGACAGGAAGCCCATAAACCTCCTCGAGCTCATCTCTCATCTTTATCACAAGCAACTTCTCTAACCCACGATCGATGCGTGATTCCACGCTTCGAGCTTCTCCGTCTTCTAATGCGTCTCCGAATGTGTCGTGTTCCTGTTGTGGGGAATGCGGGTTTGCTAGCACTGGCTCGGGTTCGTCGAGAGACCCAGATTTTATGCGTTCAAGGAACTCTGTTTCTCTTCCCTCTGGAACCATGAGATCGCGGTAAAGGGCGAGTTGTTGGTACCCCTGTACAATAGCAGCAAGCACCTCTGCAAAGTTGAGGGAAAGCCACCACACAGTGCGGAAAGCAGGGTCCTGGCAAGTAGGAATGGGATAGTCCATTGTGTGCCTGACTTGAAGAATTACGAGTGATGCGAGACGAAGACCATTTGTGATGAGGATATGTATGAATGTACTTGCAAAAGATGCATAGTCTGAAGGAAGTAGGAGAAAGGCGAGTGAGAATAGGGGGACGCGGAGGAGATGAGTGAGACTGAAGAATGCGCTGGAGATGAGAATTTGAGGTAGTGGGAAGGGGAAAGATGATGGGTACGGAGAAGGGAAATCTGCTATGGGCCAAGCCAAGTCAGGGAGGAATGCCAGCACAGTGAAAACCACTATTGCGAAAATTGGAACCAAAGCATTCATCAAGACTATTCGAGAGTATGAGCCTAGGAAAAAAGGTTAAGAAAACCAGCTGGCGCCATGATGTTCAGGGGAACGAACCGATGTACAATCCATTGTTTTGAAGCTCCCATTCAACGTCGTCGTCGTCTTCATCGTTATTCTGTGGACTAGGACTGGCAATGATACTACCGGCTGGTGAGCTCATAATTGCAAAGCCTAGGTCAGCATAAGCGTTGGTTGAACTATGCGCTGTCGGCTCGGAGTCTGGATCCCATGGACGTTGACTTGCCATGTGAGGTAACGCTGCAGCAACTGTTTGTATAACTCCTCTATGCATCGAGTTGGTTGGCAATGACCAGTAGTCTACTTCATGTTTTATACGCCTGAGCATGCACAGTGAGACCCTCCGCGTGTCCCATCGACTCAGCTCGTATAACCATTGCAAGTATCATTACACTCTACTAATCGCCGCCGACTCAACTACACGCCTTGTCCATACCCCCCACTGCCGAAACCTAGTCACGTTGCTGATGCTATGACAAAACCATATCAGCATCACGATCTCGACAGTATAGAAGAGAAAAGATGAAAAGGATCAGCTTTCGATGCATTTCAACAAGATAATGCTCCCATCTCCACATTGTACACCGGGAGACTTCGCGGGAGCACCACATTCCGTCCGCCCATCGAATAAATTTCATCCATGAAAAACCACAATTATGAAGATGGCAGCGATTTCAGGTGGACCGTAGACGTACATTTTTGGGTGATACCTGAAACGCAAAAAAAAAAAAAAAAATCAGTCATTGGTCGAAACGAGAAAAGAAAATAATGTCAGACAAGGCTGAAATCAATAATATCGTCCACATGTATGTTCGGAATGTGGTAAAGTACTGATAGTCATCACGAACTCCGGTGACCAACAAATGGAAACACAACTCACCGTTTACATCGACGGACGTTGAGCACGTCTACTAAATTTGAAAACTTTTTAGAAACAATTTAAACTTCCGACAGTCCCAATCCTTCGCGGAGCCGCAAATCTAGATCATGCCGTCCATTCCGAACTAAGTCTAGTCTTCTCCAACCCAATCACCATGCAATCCCTCCTCCGGTGGAGCGTCGAAAACTCCAACCCAAGCACCGACCCACCCACTACCACCTCCAATAAACTCGATCCTGGAATCATCGATCACATCCTCGGTAAACCAGATGCTCAACTCATGAAAGAAGCTCTTACAGTAGGCCTCGATGAAAGGCAAACTGAAGACGATAGATTACAGGCTCTTGATGATCTCGAGATGGTCCGTCCCTTTCATCCCGTGATTAAACGCTTCATGTGCTCAACATGAAACATGAAATATAGCTAGTTCAGAATATCGATAATGCGAATGGTGATCCTTTCGCGGATTGATTGATTCTGATCTAACGAATGGTATGACACAGACCTAAAGAAACTAGGGATATGGCAACCCCTACATAATCTACTCCTAACATCCGGTACGAGCGATGCACTCAGAATGCAAACCCTGTGGATAATCGGCACCGCACTGCAAAATAACCCAGCTGCTCAACTCGCCGTAAGTCATCCTTCTTCTTCAATGCGCCCTCTTCCTAACACGTATTCGGCTCATGATTCACATTCAATTCACTATAACTAACAGTACTTTGTGTTCACGTTCTATCTGATAACAGTATCTCGACCTCGACCCCCTCTCCACCCTTCTCAAATCCCTTTCCCCCTCATCCAACTCCGCTGAGACCCGCTCACGAGCTCTATACGCGCTTTCTGGCCTACTGAAACTGAATGCTGCTGCTGTGCAAAAGATGAGCGTGGTGGACGGATGGAGCGCTTTGAGAATGTGTCTGGAAGGTGCGTATCGTTCCACAACTTCTACCCTCTGTTCATGATGATCGACACTCACACATCCGACGAACACTAGACTCAGAAATCCGAGTCCGCAGAAAAACAACATTCCTGCTAAACACACTGCTCCTCCCAACCTCCTCATCCTCTGAGGTGAATCTCCAACCAAACATGAGCCTCCCCACCTCAGAGAACGCACCACCCCAAGTCCACGCAAATTCTCATGCCTCGATGCTCTCTGATCCGTCGTCCGTCTCTACCTCTGCTCTCACGCTCGCTGTAATTCAGAACGAGGGAGAGCAGGGTGGGTCTTTACTCGATGCGTTGATATCAGCATTGATTGAACCTGTCCCGTTCGGTGTTGATGGCGAGATGGACAAGGATGACGAATTTCAGGAGAATATTGTTAGGTGAGTCCGATCCTAATCTTAATCCCGTATGATCTTGTGTTGATGTTGGGACGGAACTACATAGGATCTTATACACGTTTGCGACGAGCTGCAATGGCATGTTTTCACCTACCCAGAAACGCAGTCTCTGGGGGTTCTTGGGAGGGGTTACTATGATGCAACGAGAGGAGAACTTGAATTTTGGATTGACGAGTGGGGAGTGGGAGGAGTTGAGTGAGGCTGTGAGGTCGTAGTGGGATGCATGCAGTAGGGGTCGTACTTGAGGTGGAATGAAATGGCATTTTTTGATATTTGTTTATCACGACAGCACAGCCAGGCGTTATGTAGTGGTGCGGCAGTGATCATGTGCTGCGGCAAAACACCTTCGCCCCTAGCAAACCGTCATTGATAATCATTACTCAGACTTAACCTTCATCATGACCAGCTGTTGCAGCAGACAGACTATCATCCTAAGCCTGATGCCCATATTAATCATATCTATCTTTTTATCTCTTTACACCATCCCTTGCTACTATGTGCCAGACTGTCACGAGTACCTTTAACAAAACACTATTCTTTCTTGAATCTTCCTAAGTGCCAATACACAGCGCCTAAGACAAACCCTAACCCTACCCCGAAAGCGTCTACCAGTTCAGAGATTCCATTAGCGCCCACGACACGTGTCTTCGATGTGACTGATGAAGAAGATGAGTTCTTTGATTGTGATTAGATTAGATAAGATACAATAAGATAAGATATGGTCACGTGATACTTCTTTAATATTCTACGACGTTCTATGGTACGATTCCCTTTTCTATTTTATGATTGGTCAGTAGTTGTAACTCAGTTTCAATCTCCGTTTCAATAGTTGTATATAGTTAGCATGTCTTGGTCGATAGTTCCTTAGTTCAAACCTCTTGTATCTACAACTGTAGCAATCCAAGACGTACTTGCTCTTCTCTCTCTTGTCCGATAACCTTAGTCGAGTCCTAGTCTCTGCCCAAGTGTTAATTCATTATTTGGGTTGTGACATTAGGTTTGAACTATAGGAGACTCCGACTCTCGCATACTGCTCGCATCCATTACTATATCCTTTGAAGCCTTGGCCGACCAAACGGTTGACCAACGATTCAAACGATCATCTTTACTCGTCGTTACACGTGTCTCTCAGCAGCATATTTGCGCGAGACATACGTCTAACATCCATTACACATTTTATCTTGCCTGGTCTAAACAACCGCGACCCTTTTCTTTGAAACCCTTTCCTTTGCTCACTTGAGCGTTTTCTCTACCGTTAGTCTTTCGTAGTTAGTAGTCCTATACCAGGCCCTGCCTTACATTGCAGCCGCCAGTATACGGAGGCATTGACGACATTAGGCGTCTCACTACAACTTGAAGTGCTGGCCCAAAACCCTGCCTGCTTCACGTTACTATAGTTTCCTTTTTACGATTACCCTTTTCCTTCGTACGCACGTAGTACCTTTCTGTTGAGTTTAGTAGAACTGTCGCATCTGCGGATAGTCTTACCATCATTACCAAGAGGATTTAGATACAGTATCCAAGTGAGACTCGCACTTGTAAGCTTCGGCTGGAAGAGTGATAACTTGTCCTTGGTCTGTACCCTTACGGTGATTGAGAAGTAACACACACGAAGCACACCACATTTTTCTCACTTAACAAAGGTGTAGTTTATGTACTTTCTTTTAGTTAGTAGATAGGGAAGTGTCAGTAGGGTTGACTAAAGAACCCTTTGACCCTGAAGTACGAGGTAGATCCGATTAGTATCGGGGACCGCTTCAGTTTTCCATTTACGTACTCCTTTTTCCCTCTCCCTTTAATCATCATTCCTTTTCGGGTGGACCGTTACGACTCGTCCACCACTTCATTATTCCTTTTCCGGAAGGGCCGTTACGACTCACCCTTCAAACTTCTTACATCATTAGTAAAGCGGGTTCCAGAATACAACTGGTACAATGACTAAGAAGACTTACTCCTTACATGAGTTTCACGCACTTGATGAGGCTATGAATGGGCCTAAACAGCCGTTCAATTGTTACAAATGTGGAAAGCCGAATCACATTGCACGAAACTGCAGAACTCCGAATTCCCCTCCCTCCTCAGATAGCTCCACACCTCCTAAATGGTTCCAAGATTTCTTAGCTCATAGAGAAGCGAAGAAGAAGAAATCAGAAATTCCCAAATGGTTCAAAGATTGGACCATATCATCAGAAGGCAAAGAGATGCTGGCTAAGTTGAAAGCCAAGGCAGAAGCACTTGCTAAAAAAGCATCAGAACCGCCTAAATGGTTTAAGGAATGGGAAGCTTCTAGAAGAAATAGAATCTTAGAGGAACAAGAGACAGACAAGTCGGGCAGTAGATACTCGATCCTTGCGAACTTTGCGGATGTAGAAGAAGTAAATTTAAAGACAAAATCAGAACACTTCTATCTTCCCATTATGCTGAAAGGAAAGAACAAATCTGCAGATTTGAAAGCTCTTGTAGATTGTGGAGCATCTACGCTCTTTATCAACAAACATTTTGTCAAGGAGAACAGAATTCGTTGTAGAAAATTACTGTGTCCGATTCAGGTTAAAAACATTGATGGATCTCTTAACGCCTCGGGATCGATGACTCACTTCGCTGAACTAGGTCTTAAAGTCGGCAACCATGAAGAAGAAAAAGTAGCATTCATGGTTACAGATCTAGGAAGCGATGATGTGATCATTGGTATCGATTGGTTGAGATACCACAACCCTGAGATTGATTGGAATGCAGGGAAGTTTTCGCTTTCACAGTGCCCGGTGAAATGTGAAACTAAGAAGGAGAAAAGACTCCGAAACAGGGCTGAGAAAAAGAAAAAGTCGGAAGAAGTCAATGATGTATCCGGCTTGTTGCCTGTAATGGCAGATCAAGATGAAGAGGAAGACGTGGCAGTTAAGAGAACGACCATGGAGGAAATAGAAGATGAGGAGAGTCCTGAACGATTATGGATTTGATACAAAGCCTCGGTCGCCACGGAGCAGAAGGTAGCAGAAGAAGCTACTAAGAAGAAGCAGTCGGTAGAAGAAATGGTACCCGACTGGCTTCATGATTACCTGGGAGTTTTCTCAGAAGAAGAATCTAAGCGCTTCCCTGAAAGAAAGAAGTGGGATCATGCGATAGATCTTAAAGATGAGGGCGATCTTCCGCCAAATGCGAAACCTTATCCGTTGTCACCCAAAGAGATGGATACATTGAAAGAATGGTTGAAAACCGAGACTGCACTGGGACGTATTAGAAATTCACAATCTCCAGTAGCAGCACCTTTCTTCTTTGTGGCCAAAAAAGATGGCAAGTTAAGACCGGTGATGGACTATAGAAAGCTTAATGAGAAGACGGTTAAAAATGCATATCCGCTACCGAGATCTCAAGATTTGATTGATGCTTTAACCGGTGCCACAATGTACTCTAAGATGGATGTACGATGGGGGTACAACAATATTCACATGAAAGAAGGAGATGAGTGGAAGGCGGCCTTCAAAACGCTGTTTGGTCACCACGAACCGACCGTGATGTATTTTGGACTCACGAACTCGTCTGCAACCTTCCAAACTATGATGAATGAAATTCTAAGAGACCTGATAGATGGCAAAACAGTAGTCGTCTACATTGATGATATTATGGTCTTTACGAATGGAAATAGGGAGCAGCACCAAAAGGTGGTACGAGAAGTCCTGAAACGGTTAAAGGAGAATGACCTGTTCTTAAAGCCTGAGAAATGTAGCTTTGAACAGTCTAAAGTCGAGTTCCTTGGATTGATTGTGGAAGAAGGCAATGTGTTGATGGACCCTGTGAAAGTAGAAGGAGTATTGAAATGGCCTGTTCCCAAATGCGTAAAAGATATACAAGCATTCATGGGCTTTGCCAACTTCTATCGAAGATTCATACTTGGGTTCTCGGATATAGCCAGACCAATGAATGATCTGCTAAGAAAAGATGTCAAATGGGACTGGACGGAGAAACAACAGAAAGCTTTTGATGAATTAAAGAAACATTTCACAGAAGCCCCCGTCTTAGTCATGCCAGATGTTGAGAAGAAAAAGAAAATAGAAACTGATGCTTCCGATTACGCAACAGGAGCAATTCTCTCTCAACTGATGGAAGATGGATTATGGCATCCGATAGCATATTACTCTAAGTCAATGAATGATGCAGAAAGAAATTATGACATTCACGACAAAGAGTTACTAGTGATCATTAGAGCGTTGGAAGAGTGGAGGCACTACGTGCAGGGAGCACCTCACCCGGTTGAGATATGGACGGATCATAAGAACCTAGAATATTTCATGACGAGTCAGAAGTTGACCAGAAGGCAAGCCAGATGGAGTCTTTTCCTGGCGGAGTATGAATTTACACTTCAACACAAGCCTGGCGTGGTTAATGACAAAGCAGACCGTCTTTCTCGGAGATCAGACCATAGAGGGGGGGTAGAAAACGACAACTCAAATCGCATTCTTTTGAAACCTCAATTCTTTACCGTAAAAGCTGCTAAAAGAGGTCAAGTTTTGGTGCATGGAGAAGAAAAATTACTCCAAAAGATACGAAAATGCACAGAACGAGAGCCTGAAGTTGCTAAAGCACTAGAAACGCTAAAAGCGGCACCGGTTCAATTGCATAGAGGAATCAAAGAGTGGAATGTGGAGGATGGATTGGTGTTATTCCGAGGATTAGTTTACGTTCCAAATGATAAAGAGATCCGCCGAGAGATATTGGAGTTGTTTCACGACTCTCCACCGGCTGGACATCCTGGACGAGCTAAGACCTTAGAGTTGATTTCCAGAAACTATTGGTGGCCTTCAATGACGAAGTATGTCCACGATTACATAGATGGTTGCGATAGGTGCAGACAAATGAAAGTGCTCCCGAGTAGACCAACGGGGCCTTTACAGCCAAATGAAGTTCCGGAAGGACCTTGGCAGATAATCACCTGTGACCTGATAGTGGATTTGCCGAAGAGTGAAGGGTGTGATAGCATATTTGTAGTCGTTGATTGATTTTTGAAACAAGCACACTTCATTCCCACCACCAAAGATGTAGACTCGAAGGGTATTTCCGAAGCTATTCTTGAAAAATGTATGGAAACATCATGGAACACCGAAGAAAGTGATTTTAGATAGAGGAACTCAATTCATATCGAAGTTTATGGGACAAATATCAAAAAGATTAGGAACGAAATGGTCTGCGTCGACCTCCTATCATCCCAGAACCGATGGACAGACTGAACACGTAAATCAAGAAGTCGAACAATACTTGCGGATGTTCATGTCATACAGACAGAATGATTGGGTGTCTTGGCTGCCGATAGCAGAGTTCTCACATAACAATGCAGTCACAGTAACTGGTCACAGTCCGTTTAAAGTTCTCTATGGGTATAACCCAGATTTCACGATTCATCCAAACTCTATGTCCGTAATCCCCGCTGCTGATGAAAGAGTTGATCAAACGAAAGAAGCAAGAGATGATGCCAAAAATACTCTTAAGATGGTCAATGAGCGCATGAAGCGATTCTACGACAAAGGAGTAAAAGAAGCACCTCAGTATAAAGTAGGAGACAAGGTCTGGCTTGACGCAAAGAATCTTAAA